AGGTCCCTGCACACTGGTAACGGCCACGGTGGGCCAGACAGGAGTTGAAAAATCTCCGCCATCCAGTGCTTTTCTGGCCAATGTGGGGCTACCAGAATCATTGACAGGGCTCCTTCTCTCACTCTGGCCAGAGTGGGAGGAATGAGTGCTACTGGTTGAAAGGCATACAGGAGGGTCTTTGGCCACTTGTGTGCCAGTGCATCCACTCCCAGCGGGGGTCCCTGATCTCTCAGAGAGAAAAACATGGGGCACTGAGCTTTGTCCACTGTAGCATAAATGTCCACAATTGCCTTACCGAATCGTGACCAAATCTGCCTCACTACCTCGGGGTGAAGCTTCCAGTCTGCGTACAGCGGGTTGCCCCTGGATAAGAGATCTGCCCCGTAGTTCAGAATGCCCGGCACATGCAACGCTCTCAGAGACAGCAGGTGTGCACTGCCCCACACTATCAGTCTGTGTGCCAGTGTGTGTAACTAGGGGGACCTCAGCCCGCCTGTCTGTTTACATAGGCCACCACGGTAGAATTGCCCGTTCTCACCAAAACATGATGACCCTTTAGCCACAGGAGAAAATGTTTCAGAGCCAAGTGAACAGCCAGCAGCTCCAGACAGTTTATGTGAGAAGAGCGCATGTGAGAGCCCTATTTCCCATTCACTGTTCTTCGTGAGTGGCGGCCCAACAGAGAGGGGTCCATCGTGATCACCTTCCTGTTGTGGACAGTTCCCAATCTGACCCCTTGAATGAGGAAAACTGGGCTCCTCCATTGTCTGAGAGCAAGAGAGCAGTCTGCAGTGACCCTCATACGACAGTGACCGTCACGGTGAGGGTCTAGCCCCAGAGAAGCCACCCAGCGCTGAATGCCTCTCATGTACAGACGTCCCAGAGGTATTTCCACCACAGAGGAGGCCATCAGGCCCAAGAGCCTCTGGCACTGTCTGAGGGTAACTACGTCACCTCTGCGAAAAAGTGCCAGACATGCTTGCATCATCTGCACTCTCTCCGGGGACAAAAAGGCCTTGGCCTGGACCGAGTCCAGGGTGAGCTCTATGAATGTGATCCGTTGAGCAGGCATCGTCATGCTCTTTTCCACATTTATCTGAAAACCCAGACCCATCAGGTGTTGTGAGAGAACCTCTGTATGACAGGCCGCCTCTTGTTGGGAGGGAGCTGCCACCAGCCAGTCGTTGATATATGTGGCTACTCTAATGCCCCTCTCCCTGAGAGGTGCTACAGATGCCTCGGTGCATTTTACACCCTTGGGCTTAGACATAGGCCAAATGGGAGGACCATATACTCAGAAGCTATCCCCCGAAAGGCAAATCTCAGGTATTTCCTGTGCGGGGGATAAATCGGAATATGGAAATAGGCGTACCTTAGGTCGATTGACGTGAACCAGTCGCCTGCGCGCACGAAATGCAGCAGCGAAGCGTGTGTCAACATTTTGAACCTGTACTTTCTTAGATGACGGTTTAGGGCTTGAATGGCTCTCATACCCCTCCCTCTTTCTTTGGGACAAGAAAATACCTCTAGTAGAAACCGTTGTGGCTCTCCTCGGGAGGCACAACTCTTATGGCTCCTTTCTCCCTGAGTGTGGAAATTTCTTCCAAGAGAAAATTGGCGGATTCGCCCAGAGCTAGTGAGTTGATTATTTCTTTGAAACGAGGGCGGGCGATATTGAATTGGCGCTCTGAACATTGTCTCTGCTTTTCCCTGGGTGGCTTTGGAACACTTCTTCTAGTTCAGCCTGGTAGGCTGACAGAATGGCGGAGGCATTTATGGCTCTCGCTGACAGCGCCGTTGCCTTGAAACACTTGAAAGCAGTCCGTCTTGAAAAGGAGAGACAGAGCTGAAGACGACGAGGAGCTCCTCTTTTTCCTTCGTCAACAGGTTGGTGAGCGTGAGCCAGCGTGCTCTCTCCTGGAGGACCATCAGACCCATGGCTCTCCCCGTAGCCTGAACGGCTACCTTGTGGAGGTGGAGGATGTGGTCTGTTATCACACAGATTTCTTCCCACACGGAGGTATCTGGTTTATGTCTTCTTCTAGTTCAGCCTGGTAGGCTGACAGAATGGCGGAGGCATTTATGGCTCTCACTGACAGCGCCGTTGCCTTGAAACACTTGAAAGCGGTCCGTCTTGAAAGGGAGAGACGGAGCTGAAGAAGACATGGAGGTCTTCGGGTGGAGATGACTCGCCACCAGCGGCTCAATAGGCGGCATATTGCGGAGTCCGCGCGGCTCCATCCCTTCACAATCCAGCAGTGAACTTCCCGTAATGGGGTGTTTCTCGCTGTACGGCCGGTCTTTCCACGTGACAGCTATCTCCTCGAGTAGCTCCGGGAAAAACGGCAACAGTTGCTTTCCCGTCTTTTTCGCCTTCTGCAGTCTCTTGCCATCAAAGCGGGACTTAGCAGCTTCGGCTTGAGTGACGGGCCATGGGATATTCAGCCTGCCGGCCGCTCGTCCGCACATACCTTGCATTCTGAGATCCAGGGTGGATGATGTCGGGGGTTGGTCACCTTCATTGGCGCAGAGGGGCTTAGCAGCCCCGGTGCTAGCCGAGAAAAGGGATTCCTCCTCCTCCTCATCATCTGACAGAAGGAGCTCCAAGTCTGCCGAATCTTCATCCTTATCGGCATCTCCCAGGGTAGAACGGGTGGCTGTGAAACCTCCAAATCCCCCTGCCTCCAGCTCCGGGAAAACGATGTCCGGGGGTGGAGGGGCTATATCCGCCCAGCTCAGCCCAGGTGTGACGGTCAGAGCCTCGGACATGACAATGTCTCCCTGCAGCGGCGCGGCAGCCTCGCCAAGAAGCGGGTCTCCCCCGGACATGTTAGTCTGGTGGGCTAGCCGGCGACGGAGAAGCTTTTGGGGGAACGCAGCGCAGTGGATACACTCGTCTGTTGAGTTTACGGCGGCCCGGGCGTGGGAGAGTCCCAGGCACGCCACACAGACGGGGTGAGTGTCCCAACTGGAGCAGGGGCATAGCTTATGGTTTTTTGCGGCTTCACTGTTGTTAGCCGTCTCCATGGTTAGCCAATGGGCTACAGGTGCTAGCGAGACAGACTACAAGCTTGTCGTCAGCTGGGAGGGGGTAAATATTGCTATTTCCTGCTAAGGTTTAGAGTGAAAATGGTGTTAACACTCTTAAAATTTAATCTGTATTGCTACTAGGTATTGCTACCTATAACAGAAAAAAACAAAACGGTATTGCTACCTTTATTGATAAGCGGAGTATTGCTACTCTGGGTAAAAAATATTGCTACTTTGAAGCTAAAGTGTTGCCACTTCAACCACGAACTAGCTTGAAAGAGTATTGCTACTGCTTCAGGAACTAGTGACACTATATGACCAGCAAAGCGCCCAGCGACCGAGTTGTGCGCTCAGTCTGCGGACAGTTCAGCTTAGCTAAGTTAATACAGGTGTCGAAAAGGCTTCTGTGAGAAGCGAGAAGAGGTTTTTGAATGACGGCTGACGCTATGCCTGCCTATGATATAGGGGGAGGGTCCCCTCCCCTCCAGAGATAGATGTCATCCTTACAAGCCAATGAGGGCTGGCGTAGTGTTTTTAAGCTTCTGACGAGGTCACGCAGGAGGCGTTCCCCATAGTGAGACACGAAACGAATGCTATGACAGAGAACTCTTGTTGTTCCCGTTTCGGACCACTGCGTCCTATATGTGTTTAGCGTAACAGCGTTATAACCGGCTATTACTCTTTTGATCAGAAAGGCCAGTGTAAGCCGTGTTAACTTGAATTCGGCCATTGGTTTCTTTCTGTGAATGAAGGGAATTACTCCGAGTTTTGGCGCAGGATACGAACTGTGATCCGGCCTCTTCAGGCACACGTTTCTCTCGTTCTTTTCTCCCCCTTTCACTAGCGCACACAGACACACACACACACACACACGCACACATATTCCCATGTAGGCAATAGACCACGGCAGGTCTTAGTTAGGTGTGCGCCATCAGAAGGGCGACCACGTGGGACGAAGCAATCCCCCCCTCCTCTCTCCCTTTCATCCACAGACACACACACACCCACACTCCCAGGTCTTTGTTAGGTGTGCGCCATCGTGAGCGACCACGTGGGTACAAAGCCATCTCCCCCCTCTCTCCCCCTCCTCTCTCTCTCTCATCCACACACACAACTCCATTCTTACTCCTTTTCCTGCTCCATGAGCTCACGTCTTAGTTAAACAAATATACACGACAAGTCCCAAAAGTTTCTGATGAGTCATCCACCATGAGCACTTTTCAGTTTTCAGTTTTCAGTTTTCATGACTAAGTGATGAATGGATCCAATGGAGAGAGCTCTTTCCTGCTTGGAAATATACTCTATTGATTACAGTAGAGTGCAATAACCCATCATACAGGGAGAAATGAGACGTCCCTGCGGAGTATAGAATATTTACAGGTTATGACATTTTTCTTCTGTATGAGGTGAACACTGAATTTGCACTGAAGTGGTTTTTTTAAAGCTGTAGTCATAGGAACTGGAAAATGTGAAGCAGATTTCTCCATGAGCGTAGTAAAACCGATAAAGTATTCAAATTAAATTCCTCGTGGATGGTTGCAGTTATAGCTCCAATGTTTAGACGTGTAGTTACTTCAATAATGAATATTATACATGACTATTCAATGTGTTGTCTTCTCCTGCAGGAAGAGGAAATCAGGATACCATCACTTCTAAAACACCGCCACGTCTCATGAAGGGAAATCTTGTATATTTAACTGACTCACTTCATTCTCATCTCTCTGCAAAGATCCATTTTGTAAAATAAAGCTGTATTTTTTTCATATAGAGACTCAAACAGTATTAAACGTATGCTGCTATACACTTGTACCATGTGTAAAAACTATTGATGTGATTGTCCGATGTGTATGTGTAAACTATTTTCACATTTTCATTAAAGCATGGAGTGGTCTTTACTCTTAAAGGAAAGGTGTGTGTATATGCTGAGTCATGATTAATGCATTTTAAACAAGAATGACCAGAGACAGCTCTTCTGTAAATCATTTCATTTATTGGACACAACTTAACAAAGAAAGTTCTGCTGTTGGTCAGGACAAAGCCAATTCTGCCATAAAAAACTGAATTAAAAAGTCACAAGGGTTTGATCCAATTTCAGTCAATTAAAGACAAACGATACAAACACTGAGCGGACTCTGATACATGATGAGTGGAATAAATTATTGCCTGTGTGGGATAAAGAACCTGGTTTTTAACTGTACATAACATGAAACTGGATTTTTTTCAGCACATAGAGAGAGCAACGGTGGCTTTATGTTCTGTGAGCTTGGATTTTCTCGACCAGTTGGGCGGCATTAGCCCCGGAGAACTCGTCGATCTGAAAGACAAGAAATAAAGCATTCATTAAAAATGATCCACTGACGGTAATGCTGCTTCTCTGATGGATTGAACGCCTTTTTTATATCCAGTTTAACTTTTCAGCTCACTTCGATCCTCATGCATGGTAATGGGAGTTTGATTGAAATAAGTACACATGATTTCTTCAGACATCAGCGGTGTTAAAGGACCACTTTGTTGTTACTCATGTTTTAATAAGAGCAGAGACAATCATTCTGATTAAATCAAGTCAGTGATGAGTTGTTGGGGAACAAAACCGGACTCGAAACAAATAATGATGTTGCTCCATATTTTCCATGTTTGAGTGTAGTCTTACCTTCACGCCATTCTTGTAAAATTGGAATGTTGGCATGCACGAGATTTTACATTGTCCACTCACATCCTTGAAAGAACAAAGAGGACAAACGTTAGATCACTGGACTGAGTCCAAACTAAATACTTAAAAGGTGTCCAAGCATGAAACAAACAGGTTTATACGTGATGACAGCATCCAACAAAAAGTTCAAGTCTGACTCTTCAATAAAGGAGTGTAAACTCAACACAGGAGATAGTAGGAGGCGGAGTCAAACATGGTTTTGAAGCTTCACGTTAGCAGCATCATAGAGCACAAATTCACCATTTTCACATGGTGAACATTTGCCAACACAGGCTATAAGCTAAATACACACACACACAAGTGGCTGAATGCTAATGTTGGCGGTTGTCTGCCAGGTTATGAGGCATGTCAGTTTCACCTTAACATTGTCTAGATTTTTACTCTTCGTTGTATTTTCAGTTACTGATTAATTGAGAATAAGAGTAAATAATTCAGAGAAGGGGGGGAGAGCCTCTTAATAATGCCTCTCAACAAAGCTGTGAAAAACCTGATGGTAATTTAGGTTGAACTCTAGTCCCAGATTCCATTTCTGTAAGAATTACAAAGCTGCCTCTTACGTCACTTGGTTGCTGCTGTGAGAGGGAGAAACGTTAGTCACATGAAGCAGCTGGGGATCCACATGGCTTTGTGGAGTAGATTTTAGAAATAGTCCACATTGTTTTGAGTATTAATGACATCGTTACCAGCGAAAGGGAAAACCTTTGTCTCAACTAACAACAGGTTCAATGGCAATTGCCCAAAGATGATTCACCATTACAAAGTCCAGAGTGTTACTGGTTTGGGATGGAGACCTTGATTGGGAATAAGATACAAGTTGTTGTGTTGCATGAACACTTGAAGTGACGCCAGTAAAAGCTCAAACGATGCTTTGCTGATGGAATGGCCGTGTACTCAGATCAATATGTCGCATGCAAAACTGCAGACTTACTTGCTGTGTTCGATCTCTTAATAGACAGTTTGATCTCTCTACATTTAAATCTATGTAAAGATTATCATCACTTCAGTTAAATTCTATGGTCCTTATTGAAATCATTTACAGTCCCAGCCCTCACACACACTTACCTGAGCCTCATCCACGTCCACCTTCAGGAAAATCACATTCTTGTTTTCAGGTTTTTTCGACTCTTCCTGCGAGAGAATCAATGATCAGTGAGTTTGAAGGACTGAACATGATGACTGCTGCCACATCACGTCAGGGGAAGAACATACTGGGGATTTCTCTTGGATAATTAAAAATACAGTGTCAAAAAAAAAAATTCTCTATCATTTCTAAAAAGGTTTTCAGGTCATCTAATGTTTCCATTAAGAAGGTTGACAAAAGGTTTCCACAGCAACAAATGAGCCTCTCCAAAGAGAAGCTTTAGCTGCTACAAGAGTCTCTGATGACTGGAGAGGGCTCTCTTAAATAACTAACAGACTACAAGCATTTGTGTCTGTAAGAAAAACACAAATATCCACACAGCTTTTAAAGGTACCAACACCATCTCAAAAACATTTTACGTCTCTCAGCTCACAAAGGTTTACGGTCATTTCCAGCTCAGTAATTTGTTTCTTCTTTTCCAATAACCTTTTTAAAAAAACAAAACGGTTGCTATGGCCCAATGAAAACAATTCACTCACAACAAACTTTGGGCCGATCTGTTTACAGGGGCCACACCACGTGGCAGTGAAGTCCACCACCACCAGCTTGTCTCCAGCCTCCTTCAGGATGTTTTGGAAATCCTCCTATAAAGGATGCAAGACAGAAAACATCAGTAAAATGGCTCTGATTAACCAAGATGGACTTCCTTATTTCAGCTTATTTATTAACAAAAGACTCTGGAGACATAAATTTTGAGAGAGTTGGGACATGCAGGAAAGAGGCAGCCGGCCAGACTTGAAGCCGGAAGACCACAGCCTCCGTACGATGGGATACAACCAAACCACAAGGCCATCTGCGCTCAAATGTACTTTATATTGGCCGATGGCATGGTGATTATCTGCAGTTGACAGTAAGGGTGCCTGCGATTTTTAAAGAAACATTTCCTTTATCTACATGAAAGCTTTCACTTTCAGTTTGTAGAACAGGCACATTAAAACTCAAAAGAACCAGACCACAACAATCATTCTCTGGCATCTTATTTGTAGAATTTAAAAACACAAACATTTGTTTATCCATGTTGCGTTTTGTTAATCTCAACATAAAGATATCTGAAGCACTACTCATGCCCCCCACCCCACCCTGAAAAGTCTATGTTCGGCGTATTCCCTTATAAAGATAAGATAAACTTTATTCATCCCAGCAGGGAAATTTCGGTGTTCCAGCAGCCAGCATACAAACACACAACACAACACAACACATATATACAAACACACAACACAACACATATATACACACATATCCCACCCATACAAAAAAACATGAGCCCACAATACAGTTTAATACATGATATATGCAACTCAGGCTAAAATTATAAAATTAACTTATTTATCCCACAATGGGGAAATTTACATTGTTACAGCAGCAAAGAGCAAAAATTGCAGACAAAAAGTGAACACAGTACAATTTAAAAAGAAAAAAGAAAAAAAGAAAAAAATAGATTTAAAAAAAGAAAATCAGCTATTTGACAAAAGTGTAGTCTGTAATATTCAGTGTAACACAGACATGCACACAGCATAATATAACATTATTATTGCAGGAATATTATCCCATTATGCTTCAGTTTATGTGTCTGTGATGTCAGGCTTCAAAATAATGCTAAATGTGATCAAGAACCTAAAACTAGTAAGTTACATTCAACAATGCAGAACCAACTGGCTGCCCAGGAGGATAGGTGCAAAAAAAAAAAACGGACCTTGCTTAAGTAATGTGTAGAAGAATAAAAACTTTCCATCTGTTTACATCAAGCCATAATAAAAAAAAAAATAATTTAACATTGGTAACTTGAAAATAACATTTAACCCCCGTTATGTTAATTCTAGAGCACATTACAGTCCTGAAACACACGGTGTCAGGCTAAGGCCTACTACACAACATAATGCAGCTTTAGTAATGTTCTTTAATACTCTCTTTCACAACACACCTTATATTGAGCCTATGCAGCATATTTAACATGTAAGGCCTCCGTCCTAGCATTTTTTTTTCCACCTCAGCTTAACATGAATAATTCTGGTTTAAACGACTGTCTAAGAAAATGTTCAAAGTCCACACTGACACACACACATTCACACACACACACTCACACTCACACTCACATGGTGGCGGATAACGTTATTCACCACCATCCATTTCGCTCACATGTCGCATTCATCTTTGAACCCCCGTTAGAATAACACTGTCTGAAGGTTAAAAAGAGAAACACCGCTTAGGCTTCACATTAAATCAAGACAAAACTCACCAGGTTTTCCACTTCGCGAACCATGATGACTGATGAATTAACCTGTCTTTGTTGTGGACGATATAGCGGTAAAGTTTGGGAGTTGCTTTTTCCTTTCACAGGGAACGAACGCGGCGTTTTTATTAGAGTTGCGTCAAGCTCGTCGCCGGCAGTACGAACCAAAGCGGAAGTTGGCAGTCGTTGTAAGAATAAAAGAGAAAAGGGATTATTGTACGCAACAGTGAAGCACTGCACAAGCATCGTACAAGTAAAAATGAAATTTCATTGCATTTCTTACACCGTATAAAACCTTAAAAGTCATTATTTCTGTTTCTTTGTATGTGTTGTAAATTATTTGTTGTATTAAATACTTTTATTTTGAAGGTATTCAGTAACAGAACGTTATGTATTTCCTGCGTAAGGACACAATGGCACTATTTAGCTTTACAAGGTTTGGGTGGTGTCACCACAGACTGTTGCCACTGTTTAAGTAAACCATACAATTATTTGTTGCAGGAATATTGTTAGTTCTATATTACTTGTCTGAATGCTGCAAAGTATTTTTTAAATAGTTTGGAATAACAGTAGTCAATGTCGATTCTAACGGAATATTAGTATTTTAATTGGCAATAACATTAACTCCTACAACAACAGGCGATTATATATATTATTATTAAATATCTAGCTATTCATTTCAACAATTAAAGGTAAATATATTGTACGGTGACTCAAGTCACAATGACTTGACAAATTCTTGATTTACCGTAATCGACTGAGTCAACGCGCCGCCCAATTCTTGTGAAGTAAACAATACCGCCCCTGTGAGACTTTGCTTTATGACATCATCTGTAAGAAAACCCTTTCCACTCGGATTGTATTCTTCACTTTAACATCAGGACACACAATTCATTTGAACCCAAAATTGAATTTACTATTGATAAGATATTCGTTTTAAAATTCCTAATTTGTTGAACTCTTTTTGACACTTTGTTCAGATATGTTTAACTTTGGACTTCAACCTTGTGAAATTCTGGACTAACAGATATGTAACCATGGAGCCGTGTCTCTAATTACCACCACAAACTAATGAATTTCAAATTAGTGTCTAAAAATACCATCTATTTCCCTGATCAAACAAAAAGCTGCACTTGGCAGGAGGAGGCTAACAGAGCCGGCTCTATTATCCAGACCAGGGGTGGGCAACTAGCGGCTTGGGGGCCGCATCAACCCTCAATCCTCATTTTTACATATCAATTAATTGGAAACATGAAGAAAACATGAATAAATCTGCCATGAAATCAAGAAAACCAGAAAAATGTCCATAATTATATTTGATCACTGGTATATGTCGAGTTAAATTTGAGACATAATCGACTGTAATCGTTTTTGTATCCTACAATTTGGCCCCCTGACAGTGAGAATGAAATGAGTGTGGCCCTTGCTGTGACCAAAGTTGCCCATCCCTGATCCAGACCCTGCTCACTTTTGGACTGAAAGAAGCACACGTTCAGTTTTTACCCCTGGGATTAAATGCAGGACATGCATACAGTAATAACAGACTTTCTACCGTAAAGACGCAGTACGTTTGCAATACGAAGATCAGCACACAAGTAAAATGAATTATGTCAAGACAAAACATTTAAAAATGCCACAAAATTTTATTATCTATAGAAAAGCTCCTACTAAGTACAAAGCACATGGTTAACAATGTCACAGTGAGTAATGCATGCACTGATCATCCCGGTTCAGTCTTGTGTTGTGCATGGAAAGTATGAAGACTATTCCATGGATGATGGTCGAAACTCACCTTAAAACGTGTGAGTACTACAGGCTCTTCGTTTTTACCAACATATGACAATTAAACAACAACAGGTTTTATTCTCCTATCCTGACTGTTTTAAAAGTCAATAGTTTAATTTTGTAAAGCATTTTGTAAAAGTGGCTTGAAACCCGAACAAATGAAACCTCAACAAAATACGTTTCATTTCACAATCACAATTTAAAGAATGGATTGCTTCTGACATCAAGCCTGAACAAGAATATTTGACTAGCACTGGAAAATATAATTCACATTATATTCCCTTCATGACTAAGTTGCTAGACTAACTGTGTGGCTGCCTTCGAGCTGCTAACAGCTACAATTCAATGTTTCTATGAAACTAATGCGCTACATGGTCGTTATGTTAATGTATCTGGTTAGTGATAAGTATCTAAGGCTCAATCCTTCATGAATATAATCTGTAATAATGTGTAAACCATGTATTGATCCTGATTTACTGATCCTCCTTGTCTCTTGATCACACTGCAACAACAGCCTTGCCGATATTTTCTCCTTGCAGCAACCCCATAAAAGCAGCTGGCATGTTTTCAAAGCCTTTTGTGATGTGCTCCCGAAACTGCAGCTTGCCCTGTGGATTCAGAACAAATACAATTCAGAAATGACTCTCAATCAGAAACATGAGAAACCCTAATAACTGAGATTCAAACTGTCACTAACCTCCTTTAACCATCCCATCAGCCTCTTGATGGACTCAGGATGCTTGTGCTCCCACCTGCTCTGCATGAAGCCCTCCATCTTTAGCTGTTTGACGATCATGGTAAAGTGGGGGTACGGGCCTAAAAGAGTGTTGGACGGAGTACGGAAAAGAAATAAAACTTCCAGTTATATTGCAGGGAAACGAATTATACCAACAAAAAAGGTCTGCTTATGCATTCCCTTTGATTTAGTTAACACAATGCTGCCCTCTAGTGGCAGGAAATAGTCAAAAAGATTTTGCTTACAACATAGGGAAACACAGGTCTCTTTTTAAAACAAATGTTTATATTTATTGTAAAACTATGGAAAAAAATTCTCACTTTGATATAATGAAAGCTGATGTAATTTTTTGGTTATTTTGTTCTATGATTGAATTGTGCTTTGAAGCTTTTGCAAAATTGTATTCACATTTTTTTCTGCCACTACCAGCATACTACTAATAATAATAATAATAAAAAATAAAAAAAGATATAAAAAGTGTATAGAGGGAAGTACACACCTGTTTGGGGGTTGGTGTCATTGTATGTAGAAATGGATCCACAAACTGCTATTCTTCCAAAGTTCTTCATTTGTTGCAAGGCAACGCTTGAAGAAGCCCCTCCAACCTAAAATCAAACCGAGTTAAACCACTAAAAGAGCAATAATGACATTTAACGTGCTCAAAACCGCTACAAGCAATGCTCACATTTTCAAAGAAGCAGTCGTATCCCTCCGGAGACGCCTTCTTCAGAGCCTCCTCCAGGGAACCTACAGTCTTATAGTTGAAGGCCTCGTCGAAGCCCAGTTCTTTGAGGAAAGCCACCTTGGCATCAGAGCCTGCTGAGCCGACCACCTTGCAGCCTTTGATCTTTGCAATCTGGCCAACCATGGAGCCCACCGCCCCGGCTGCAGCGTTCACAAGCAGGGTTTCACCTTTCTGGAGACCCAAGACTTCTTCTATCCCGTAGAGAGCTGTCAGACTGGAGAGGATGAGAAACCAGTTAAATCCGGCAACAGAACCTGAGATACATGACTATTTCCCCCTCTGTGCCCTTCATAATGTAAACTGTTTGTTATTGCTTGAGGTGACCTCAACTCACCAGCTGGACAAAACATCTGACGCCTTCTCTGTTTATTTCTCAAAAGGAAGACAAATCTCAGCTGTTCATGGAGGACAGTTACACAAAGACTTAATGGTTTCAGTCCAGTACTAATTTAGAGCGTGTGTTCCTCTAATAGAAGTTAGAACTTTAGCAAAAACAAAAAAAGGGTCTGATTGATTGTAGGCCAAAAATGATAAGACTGCTCAACCTAATGAGAGCTGATTCACCAACAGTCCTTAAGAAGAAACTTCTTCAAACTCATTCATGTAGTGTTCGGAGAAAATTCTAATGTTCCAAAAAGTCTTCCTGTCTGGTTGTTTGTTGTCTAAGAACAAACTCTAAGTGCAAAATGTAGTCCTTATTAAAGAACTGTTTGAGTGTGAGAGACCCTATGGTGAGAACCAATGTTGCCATGGTAACAATCTGTAAGTTGCAACGCTGCTTCCCAGCGTCTATCTTCTGGACATTTCTAAAGAATCTTCAAGGTTCTGAATGTGGTTACTGGGCTGGCCATTTTTCAACTGGGAAAAAACGTGACATACCCAGATTGAACCATGTAGTTTAATATAGACCGGAATTAAACTGCTTTGTGCAAATGGCTGGATCTAGCTGTGTTACATCCCATAAGCTACATCCAAATTCTATCTTTGTGAAACTAGCCCACACGTGGGAGTAGTCGGGCCTACCAAATGTTATTTACACTTAGAGCCAGCTTCCTGTATCTCTAAAAACTGTTAAGTCTTTCATCTTCTTTTACTTCTTGTTTTCTGCACTTTTGTTTTGTCCTCATGATTCAACTCAGTCTGTCAAATTGTTGTAAACAAGTAAAAGTAAATTGTGGATGTGAAAATGAGTTTCAACTTCTGGCTACCAGATGTTACTCCTCTGCAATCAGTTATGTCTGTTTAATATGTGTCTCACCCCGGCATGCCAATGGAACCCAGAGCCAGGGACAGGGACACGTCCTGTGGCCATTCAGGCATTACAGGAACGAGGTCTGTCCCGTCGCTGACTGAGTGGGTTCTCCAGCCGCTGCGGCTGACAACATGGCTCCCCACAGGAAATGCTGGGTTCTTACTCTGAATCACTCTGTAGAAAAAAAAAAAAAAAAGAACAGAGAAAGAGTTTGTGTTCGTCTGTTGTGGTATCCTTGACAACTGCAGTACGTCAAACCATCTGGCCAAAACATGCAGGCATGTGGGTTCACATCAAAGAAAGAAGATACACAACATCTGGTTTTAAAAAAACAGTTAACTTTAGTCACTTTCAAATTGATTTAGCATGCTTATCAACAAAACAAAAACGCATTTGAACTTCCAGCCAAGAACATTTTGTGTTTTGTCCTTTCGGTTACTGTAAATCAAAGGCTTCAGTAATTAGGAGCAGGTGCAGGGTTTGCTGTGTTTGCTGGGTACAAAATGACGCATGAAAGGCATGTGTGTGTGTGTGTGTGTGTGTGTGTGTGTGTGTGTGTGTGTGTGTGTGTGTGTGTGTGTGTGTGTGTGTGTGTGTGTGTGGTAAATGTGCGTTCTTACTTGGCAACTTGAGTTCCAATCATCACATCGCCCTCTTTCATGCGAAATGCACTGAAGGGCCTGGACACACAAATATGCAACATTTTGGGGGATTCATGACTGAATTTGTTGCTGTTAAAACAATAAGAATCTGAAGGTTTTTCAGATGCATAATCCTGCTCACCTCATATACGGGTCGACGCTAAGAAACACAGCTTCCAAAAGAACCTCTAAAACAAAAAAAGATACGAAACAACAATATGTAGGTGCATGATGGCTTATTGAAAGTGGAATCAGACATAAGACATCTTCCTACCTCCATCTTTGGGCTTAGGGAGCTCCTCCACTTTGAGCTCAAAGTTGGTATTCTTCGGGAAGCCGTCAAAGTGCTTGATGAGGACCCATGTCTTAGCTTGGACCATGGTTCTTTGTTTATGGCAGCTGTTAGTGCAAGAGCAGTTGTTTGATATGAGACAGATGGTAACATTTGGTACATTAGTGCAAAATGCAAAACACTTCATGTAGAGAGTGAATTACTGTAAATGTTATTTAGGTGAGCCTAGTTCAAACATAAAGTTGTGAAAAAAAGGGAAATTTAGATTGATGATTAAATATAATATGAGTTGGTGAAATTAACTTTCACTAGGTTTATTAGAAGTGTTAACGTAATTCCGAATTATGCAATGCATACATGTCATTGAATAGGAATGCATGATACACACAACAGAAGAATACTGCACACTAGCACAGTCATATCAAACAGGAGGAAACAAGTCCAATACCTGTCACAAGTCACACACCTTTCCAATGACTTAGAATGATGCAAAACAATGCAATCGTTATTTCCCAAGCAAAGTTGACAGTGATCCAAAATGAGCACGGTGATATTAAATTACCACAAAACCGGAAAGGAACAGCAGAGAAGTGAACTTAAAGTTGCTTTTCACTGCCAGTCTGTTTTATTTTCATCCGTATCCGAAAATAAATACGTGCCCTAAATTGTCCTTTTTAAATCAAACACATCGATGTTAACTCACCAGATGTTATTCTCCTTAAAGAAATGGAAGAAGTGGCCTCTCAGTAAAGAGCACAGGGATAGGAGACAGACGAAGCGGTGGTTTGCTTTAAAGCATGGGGAAGAGAGAACAGTGGGCGTGCGTCAATATTCAAACGTTAATCTGATTGGTTTGGAGGTAGAACGCAGCCTCCGACGTAGAGACGCATGACGGAGGACGTCACGTTGTGTTTGCGTGCCGACGTGCAGTCTGTTTGGATCTAGGCGCGAAATTAAAACCAAACAGGGCCGACAGCCGGAGTAAAACTGTAAGTATTTCAGCGACAGTAAACATGAATAAACGACTGTAGGTGATGTGTCAACACGCGAAACTTTACATTAGACGAATGCGCAACGAGTAATGTTAGTTAGCAGGGTCGATATCGTTTTAGTTGTTTTTACAGGGTTGTGTTCCGTAAGGGATAATAACCCGTTTAGGTAGCGTATCTGTTAGCATGCTAAAAACAACAGAGGGAAGCTTAGCAGTCGCTTTTCAAACCTAGGCACATCTCAGTTACAAAAAAATATACACACACACATTTCTGGAACAACTGTTGAAAGTTAACGTAAGCTTTATATATGTATAGAGGTGTTCTTTAACTGCGGCCTGACTTTAAAGTCAGAACTACGGGTACCTGTAAGGACCAACTCCGGTGGATAGTCACCGCAGGGAGTGGGTAGTTTAATGATTCTGTTCATTTTGTTTTTTGAGTTGCAAGATGGTGTAGCACCCAGGTGAAACTTTTGTGTAAACAACTATGGAATTGCTTAAACGAGTAGCCAACTTACTCTTTTCACCACATTTACATTCAGTTCTTTAGCTGAATCTTGATGAAGCCCCTTATTCCATATAGGTAAAAAAAAGATAGGGTAAATAAGGTAAAAAAAAAACAGTATTTTGACAATGTTACACAGTATTTTATTATCATTCATATTGAGACACAATTGTAAAAAAAAGATATTAGTCCGCTGGCATTGATATTGAAGGAAGTGTGTGAACAATTATGAAACGCAAAATGAATAACATTCAGTCCTGCACAGTGACTATCCACCGGAGTTGGTCCTTACAGGTACCCGTAGTTCTGAGAATAAAGTCAGAACTCTATTTTTTATTTTTATGTGTGGCCCTAATCCTCTTCCGTACATTAGTGCATTAGTGACCAATGCAAACTGTGTAAAATCAGACATTAGAAATTAAATATTTTATCAAGTTTGTCTGCATTAAGAATGTAAAACCTACATCACTTTTTTCATTTCATGTAATGGTTTGCTTACTTGCTTTCTTTGGTATTCTGTTGGATACTCCATGGAAAAAGAAATGTCACCGCTGAGCTGTTAAAGTCAAAGTTTGAATAAGATTAAGACGGAGACGCCTGTGTAGTACTAAACGTGCACATGCAATAAATCTTAGCTTGATGAAGGCTATATAGTTTAGGTTTGATAGCTGGATTACCTGAAATAAAACAAAAAAGGATTTGTGTTTTGGATGTCATGGCTCTAGCTGATACGATTTTTAATGACTTTGAATGTCAGGCGATTCAGCTTATCTTCTGTGCTAAGATATCATGAAAAATATACTTCTTTGAATATTATCTCACTTGTTTGTGTTGGCTTTTGCTTAATACTCCATAACCTACATTGTTTCACTGTTTGACTGACTAGCACAGTAAACAGGAGGGGCACACATTGTTGAACCACCATGTTAGACGGTGGCCAGTTTGTGGAAGCCCTGGGCCGTCTAGGTTATCCTGGTGCATCGTCATTGAAGGGGGCTGAGTTTGACTGGCTGTTTGACTGTGCCCCGGAGAACCTTCACTTCTTGCGTTTCGTCTGTCGGACCCTCAACCGGAGCAATGTTCTCACCACAGAGGAGGCACAGGCTTTTAAGGAGCTACGGAAATCCGGAAGGCCAATTCTGGATGAAGCAGCCCTGGGCGAGGTCCTGAAGACCATCGGTCCTTCAGACAGAAGCAGTGCCAACATATTAGGGCCCTCTTTTTCATCCTCATCCTCAGTGTTTGCAGCAGAAGGGGATGTGGCCACAGAGGACTTAGAAGCAGAACTTCAGGCTCTGCGTAAAGAGAAAGACCTGAAGCAAAGACGCTATAACAGGTTGCAGGTTGTAGCCACCTCCCGTGCAGATGTTGACCTGCGACTTTCAGCAGAGCTTGAGAGTGCTACATGCAAGCTAAAGGACACCAGTGCTTCCATCGGAGCTGAGAATGCTGGCACCAATGCGCTGTTACAAAACCTTACAGAAGAGGTGTGCAAGCTTGCTTCATACCTTCCAGGTCTGGAAGCCAAGCAAAAAGGAAAGGGAGAAACTGCAGACGCATCAAACCTTTGTCTCTCCAAACACCCTGCTGTGCTGATCTCTCAGATGTCTTTGGATCCCTACCTGCATCAGCAGGAGCTAAACACGAAAACACTCACTGCCTTCACACAGAAGCATTTCTTTCAGGGGATCTCTGACATTGTTGAGACTTCCTGCTCTGAGCGCTTTCAGGTGCTTGACCTCAGTTCTTGTGAAGATGGAGAAGAGGAAGAAAAGGAGCATGAGGATGGAGAGAGGGACGTGAGGGTGGTGGAGCGCAGGAGGACAGAAATGGCCAGACTTCAGTGGTCTCATATTGTGGCTCAGCACCAACTGATGCAGGCCACAGCTGAGGAGAAAAGTCTCAAAGTTGGACTGGACTGGCTCTCTGAGAAGTCCTCTCATACTAAGGTAAAGCAGACCTATTCAGTGTGTTTTATTTTTTGTAGTGTGTACTATTGTTACTGTTCTCGCATCACTCTTTAGTTTTCCTTCATATGTATCTCTTCACTCAACCAGAGCATCTCAACCTCCTCCTCACTGCATGTCCGTGAAGTTGTGTCCCGGAAGGAGCTGCAAGCGGTGGAGGCTGAGCTGGAGGCTCTGCTCCATGGACCTGTACCTGCTGCCCTTAGGGAGTCAGCCAGGCTGCTTAATGTGCCTGTAGTGAGGGGAGACCTGGACCTGCAAGTTGCAAGACAGGAATACTACACCTCCAGACAGAATCAGGTAAGTCGATGGGGATATCACCTAATCAACTTGAGTTTATCTGTATACACGTCTTTTATGGACAGGTTAAAGATCAGGGTAAGCCATTCATTCCCCCTAATGTTTCTACATAGGACTGAATGGTCTTGCTCTACATCAATTTAAAGTGATGCCTGAATGCATAATAATGTTTAAGAGTGACCTTCTTGTATTCAAATAATTATTTTTTAAATTTTACATTATATTCTCTTTTACTGTATATATGTGTATTAGTAATTTGAGTGTTTATTGCATGGCCTTGCGGAACAGTCTTTACATTTCACTGCACATCTGTATGAGCATGTGACAAGTAAAAAATCTTGAATCTTACTGAATAGATATAATTCACAAGTCACTCACAGATGAAAGTCATGGTTTCGATCATCTACTGTATCCACTGAATTTGAATCATGCTACAGACAACGTGGAAACAAGTGGCAGCAAAGTAAAGTTAAACTTCATTTTTGTCTACCAGGTACGTGACTACCTACTCCGCCAGAAGGCCTCCTTTGACCTGGTACACCTGGCTCAGGAGATGGAGCATAGGAGGTGGCGGATGTGTTTTAAGCAGCTGGAAGATGTTAACAGCAGACTGACAAAAGAAGGTGAAGCTGCAACCCTGAGAATTGAGTCCCTTGCACACCCTGACCTTGCTATCAACCCCAGGCCCAACCCTATCATCAGCTCCAAGGATGCAGCCTTCAGCAGGTAAGGGACTCAAGTCCGATATAAGACTCAACTAGGAGCTCAAATTATTCAGAGCTTTTTCTAACATGAGTTGTGCCTTAATATCAGAATTTTAGATGTCAATTTTAAAATGATAATACTTGTTTACTTCATTTATTAATTGAGTATCTTAATCTATAAGGGAAAAGGAAAAACAGAATTTAAATTTCCACTCAACTACGCTGCAATATTGTAGTGCATTATAGGTTTGATGCCCATGGAACTCTTTAACCTCTTTCCCCAGACTGCTCCAGATCCTTGACCATGATTCAGACCACAGTCGATCAGAGCCCTTTCGGACATATGAAGCACTGGACCAGGCTGCTCACGACCTTGCAGGAAACCTCCAAGTGACCAGAGAGGCTCTAGCAGGCGCCGGCCGTGAGCAACACTACACAGCTGCTCGACTCTACAACGACTGTGAGGCGCTCCACAGGGCCATGTACACCGAGCTCCAGCAGCTGGTCTTAAGGCCGCAGGTACGTCAAACGGCCTCCACTGACCAGGAGCAGCTCTGTCCCAATGCACAGGTGGGTTTGTTTCCTTTTACTTCACACACTATGGTCAACAGTACAGAGAGTAGAAGCAATCATAAATGTGAGTCAGCTGATTTTTACATTATTCATCACTTGTGGTGAGCGAAGCTGGTAGCACTGTTTTCATTTGCACATTGTTCACATATATCACAAGGTCAATAAAAAGGGATAAAAGCACTGGATGATGCATGAAACTGCGTTGCTGCATGACACACTTTTGTCTGCTTTGTTGAGAGTTTTCAAAATTTCTTATTTAACATCTGAAGAGGATAGCTTTCAAGTTTCTCACATGTAAAACTGTGTTGTTGTATTTTTTTTGGGAACTACGATTGTCAAAATACAAGAATAAAAACTTTGAAATGCTACAAGTAAAAATCAAACTAAACCCAATATTACGGCAGGTAATTTTCTTGTTTTATTTACGGAAAATTGCAGGCAAACTTCTGCACACTGCCTGAATTGCTTGTAATTTTGCAATTTGGATAATTTCTCTGCTGTCACCTCCTCTGCAATGTATGTTTGTAGGAAACACATGACTATCATTTTGCATCATAATGAGAAAAAAAAGGCTTCGAGAGACCTCTGTATTTGCGTACCTTTGAATCTGTGTGGACCACCACTATTATTATCGGGGAATATTTTTGCCAGCAGTAGATGAAGAATTTACACATAAGCGCATAAATTAGATAAACATTTTTAAACCACCTATACTATTTTATTCCTCGTAATTTCAGTTTTAGATGTTGCTTTAAAATGACAACTTTTTTCCAGAGGTGCTAAAAAGATAATTTCCTCAAAAAATCATTGATTGATTCTGAGAGAGTACCAGTAATGTTTGATGTTCATGATATAAACCCTGCCGTTGGTCAGTTCAGGTACATCCATAGGTCAATGTATATGCTAATACATAATGCAGTTTTTCATTTCTTAATTTCTCCTTCCTCTTCCCCTATCTCTACAGGAGCTAACCTCAAAACTTGTGGAAGCAGAGTCCCAGCTCCAGAGTTTGCAGCATGTAATGCAAGAAATCATGGGGGAAGTCAAATCTAAGCGTTCCCAGCTGGAGCGCAATGCCCTCCTCAGGCGGGAGAGGGATTTATATGTCTACTTCCACTTGGATGCACGGCTACTGCAGAAAATAGTGGAGGATGTGGAGGGCAAAATGACTGCAAAGAAAGGGCAGCAGTAAAAAAAAAAAAAAAAAAAAACCTGCCAGAATGAGTGAGGAGAGTGTATCATCAGCTCAAAAACAATGAACAGTGACACGCAGACACAAATTCAAGATTCATCTCCTGACTCTGTATTGACTCATTGGGAAAACACTCAACCTGGGAAAAGCGTATTCATATAAGGATTGAGATTTTGTTCTGAATTTGTTTAATTGAACTATTAAGAGATTAATTGTTGAATTCAGTGTATTATTCTGACTTGTGACGCTCCTAAATATAATATTTTAATTTTTAATTTTAATTTTAATGTTTTTACTTCAAGCCTTCTGATTAATAAAGTAAAATGTTTTGTTAATGGATATTTAAGTTGTGAAAGTTTTTTTTTATTTTATTTTTTTAAATTGTTGAATTCTATTTCAGGAGGGAGATTAATCTGCTGTGCACGAGACCCTAGTGAATAAGCTTCAGCACATAATTGGATGTCTCTGTGTAACTGACCTGACTCTCCCCTTTGCCCTGTTTAGGTCATATAGAGCTGAACAGTCAAAGATCGTCAGATGATCACAAAGAGTAGACAGGCATTCAGACAGAGAGGAGATGGAAGAGTTTAGCAGCAGGTTGTACTCAGGACCTCTGTCTCAGGCGGCACAGAAGATCCTGGCTGTTCTGCGGACCCAGAGTCTACATGAGGCCAGACCCTTCCACAGCGTCTCCTCAAATCACAGACAAAGGCAGTCAGGGCGTAAGCATTGAAGTACTCCAGTTTAGATGATTCAGTATTAACCCCTGACAGCAAAGATTAGGAACTCTTGTGTGTCAATTGATTCATTTGCCTTATTACTTATAAGATAGTCCTTCTGTAACTATTTTACTGACATGATGGAAACAGTAGGAAGACACTGTTGTAGCTAAGAAATATTTGAGGAGATTTTAACATTTATATCTCTGCAGCAACAATTAGTAACATTTGTTTCTGTAGATATGAAGAATCAACATGATATGCCCTACTATTTTATCAAGCCTGGTTTTTACAGAGTAAACCTGTAAAATAAAAATAACCACTTCACTTTGTTGACTGGTATTGTATGTATGAGGTATTACAAATCTACTTGCGTATCATTGATAGGTCTGAATGCTTTTTCCCTGTACTTCAGCAGCACAATTAATCAATGCATGTAAGTTCATTAAAACTTAATGATTTTGTTTATTTCCCAAATGTTCTGACAGAGTTGATGGTTTTCTCCTTCGTTGTCTGTGTATATATCAGTGGGGAGGTTTTATGGCAGCCAAAGGGAGCCCTGGGCTCAGAGCAGCTGGAGCATGAGTCAGGAAGAGAGCAGAGACAGAGGCACAGAGCGGTGAGGCAGATGAACAAGAGACTACACGCGGATATTATTCAAACAAGTTCTCATGTTTAGTCAGAGTATTTTATGGAAGCACATTTCTAGAAAATTTATAAATAATAAAGAAGAGCCAGTCTTGATATAAAACATGTCCATAGTTGTTTGTAATTTACTTTTTATCACAAACATCTTCTGTCATCAATTTTTGTGTATTTCGTAATTGGATTTTTAAATCTAAACAACTACTTTTCATCTCATAATTATGACGGTTTAATCATTGTAATTATAATGCATCAACTCATAATTATGTTTTCTTATCTCTCTCATCTCAATTATGACTTAGCATTGGGATTTTACATTTTGGTTTTCTATAACTGGAGAAAATGGGCTTCTGCATATTGGTGCAGAATTGTCTTGCAGTGAAACAGTAATTGTCCACAGTTTAATAGATGGTATGAGTATTAACAAGTACAGAAGGACATTGCACTGGATCTTTGACAAAAGAAAATGTAATTTTATTGGTTGAACTTTGGTGTAATAGGCAATTGATAATGCTTATGAATAAGGTTATTTTCTACCCGTATTATTATTATACTTTGTGAGTGTAAAGCAGAAGAAGTAAAAGGATCCCCTTTCATAATGTTCTGGTTTAGGCCATGGCCCCAGCCCCAGACTTCATACCATAACTCCTCCAACCAGTGGCAGAGCTCTCAGACCTCGGCTTACTATCAGCCGCCCCAGGCCTCCTCCTGTTCCTCCTCCTGCTGGGATTCAAATCTCCAAAGAGAGGCTGAAGCCATTCATCAGGGCTCGCCGATTTATTCCCCGAGAAAGTACTCTGAAACTCCCATGAACCAGTCCAGCCAGAGTTTGTCTTTCAGTCAGCGAGAGATGAGTGAGACAGCAACGTCATCCTCCCATAGAGACAGAAACACGCTTTCCCATCAAATACCTGAGAGTGCTTTTGAACATCAAGCTGCAACATGGAGAAAGTAAGTGACAAGAGGGATATGAGAAGTATTTCATGATTTCTAATGAATGTATGCATTTTCAAACACAAATGTTTGTAAATTAGGAAAATTCTTTGACATTTTTCTTCATACGATGAATCAGAACACAGTTTAAAATCTTGGTATTCATTGATGATATTCTGTCGCTGTTTTACAGTGAAAGGCATGTGTTATAAATGAACCACACTCTTGTCTCTACACTCCCACAGCTCCATTGAAGAATTCAGGCCGTCTTTCACCCTCAGTCTCTCTCCAGATGTCGACGGTACAGATGAGGTATTGTTCCCTTCAACAAAACAACATAACACCCATGAGGAGAATCCCGCTTCTGCTTTCCCCCCAATTTCATCCTGCTTTGAAAATATTGAAGAGACAGAGAAAAACATGTCAGGTGCACAGAGAGAAAGGGTTAGAGGGGGCGAGTGCCTCCAAAAGTATAAATTAACTTCAGACATTCAAGAAAGGTGGAAGCAGCCTCTACCTAATGAAGGAGGAATAGTCTATCAGCAACCATGCTCTGAAACTATCAATACTGGAAGGATTCATCTACCTACAAGACAGCAGACCTACTATGATGCACATGTACCCATGTTGATGAGAAATCCAGTCAGGGAGACAGACACAGGACAAATTCCCTGTATAGAGTATGTAGTGCAGAATGGTGCTTTGCTTAAAGAGAGAGGCTATCCAGATGTAACCCTGCCAGATGAGAAGAGATCAACCAATGACATGGGAGGATTACAGCTCAATGAAACCAATAAGAATGCTGATCCAGAGAGGAATTTGTTGTCTACAAGCATGGATACAAGCTTTGACTGTGACGCTGAAACAAACAAGCTTGTAGAGAAAGAAGAGTTAGACTTTAAAGACAGGGTGAACATATTTGACATCAAAGATTTCCAACCCAGCCTTGAGAGTGAAGAGCCATCAGTGGGATGTCACACTGAAGGTCAAGAAAAGATCTTCTCTTCAGAAAGGGAAGACCACAAGGTGATCCAAGATGAAAACACTCAGGACATGGGTCAGATTGTGATTGAAACAGGAGAGAGGCACCAATCTGAAAGACTACTGGAGCAGTGTGAAACAACCACTTTACTCCAGAGTGATAACCTGGAGAGAACCACAGAGGAGGAAGATGCAGAGAGCAGGGCAAAGGCAGGCGTCAACAGGAGCACCGGAGATAAGATTAAAATAGAACAGCTTTGTTGTTCTGATGTCCAGCTAAGAGGGAAACATTGGGAGAGCTATCACAGAGAAGTCAGTGAGTTATCTGGTGGAGACACTGAGTCAGAAGATAGGGGGAGAGACGGAGATGAGTCAGTTCTGCCTCATGAAGATGGGGAGGGTGAGTGTGCATTCACATTTGGCAACGTTTGTTTTGTTTTGGTTTCCTTTGCAGTCATAATGAAACAGACATACTTTTTCAAATTAAAACAAGAAAGTTTATTTTTTGCCTTAGAAGTGCCATAGATGCAAGATGAGGTTATAAGGATTCTTAGCTTTTTGATTCATAAAATTCATAGATTTTATGTTGATTTGAGTTTTACCCCAGTGTGACTCAAATCTCAACAAAAGAGGCGGTTTTCATAATCTACCACTAGATGGTGCTAGAACACTATTTTATGAAGATGTTTGAACCATTACTGTCTACAGCAGCAGTAAATGCTCTTCTATAAAAACATATATTTGTTGTCAGCTAACCATACTAAGCAGTAACTAAGTCATTGTATTAATTAAATAAATAGTTACCACTTTATGTTTGTATAGAGGAGAGGGACTCTACTAGTCAACGTCAGAACACTAGACCTTAGGGTTGTCAGAACACCAGACCTTTAAACTTCAATACAATACTTGTAGAAATCTGAGATTATTGCTACGTCTTTTAATACCACTAGAAACAAAATAAGACTAATTAGTTAATTAATTAATTTCTTAATTTTGACACAGTGTTGGTTTTAGGAGCATTTCAAGTTAGGTATAAACTCTTGCCAGTGTCATCTTTTTTATCATAGTGGAGGCGATGATGCTGATAAAACTGAGCACTGACGGAGGGTGTTGTGTGTCAGCTCACATTACAGCTGCAGGAAAAAAGCTTGAGTCTCAGCAGCTGGGACAATGCTGAGTCACACACACTATAGACTTTAAAAAACACACACTCAACAACACCAAGTGTCGTAACAAAGTGTCAGTTCGATCTCTGCCAAGATTTCTGGAGTTGGCCGACCTTGTCCTGTCACACCCCTGAGGTCGTACACACAGATGTACACAAATGCTTACTCATACACATGTTTTACATAACACAGCAGGCTCATTGATTTCAGGGTAAATCTGAAAAGTGATGATCTGATAGAAATTATTTCTCCTCCTCCTATCTCTTTTTCTCTAGAGGCCTCAGGTAGGGAAAGCTGTTCTACCCCGACATTGTCCCAGGAGAGCAGGGCAGAAAGATCAGGGCTCAGTGCTCCCTGTCTCCATGACAACAAACAAGTGAGTCTCTAAGGAACTATGTTAGAAGTTGTGTTTGATACATCACATACGGTCAGCAAGAGGAAACAGAGGGCTTGAGGCAAAGATCTTAAGGGACATTTTAATACATTTATTAAAATGTGTTCCTACCTTGCTGGGACTTGTTTAATTCAGATTTATTATTGTGTCTTTATTTTTCCTCCTTGTTGTTTGCCATCCACTCTACCTCAGTAATTCCTGCAAGCAAAGACAACATTGTGTACAGCAGGAGCAACCCGCTGAAAAGTCCTCGGTTTTTAAAATCTGTTTTCAAAAGCATTCGGCTTTTATTTCCCTGATGCATATAGAAATCAATCTAGATCGTGTAAAACAGGGTGCCTTCAGCAGTTTTGCAGCATGCTGACAAGTGATAGCTCTCCAATGAGTCGTAAAGTAAGACAAAAGGAAAGCTTGATGAAGTAGTCCCTGTGCATATTGCAGAAAAGGAGAGGTAGAAGAGCTATAAAGGGAGGAGAAGAGAGGTAGAAATAGGTGCAGGACTTCACAGTATTGCTCCAATCAGCAGCAAACACACCAAGCTATTCCCTCACTTCTCCCCATCATCCCTCTCTTACACCTTCCTGCACCCAGCGCTGGGCGACGGGCCACGGCCTGCCTCCGTTTTCTATCTATATCCTGTAGCACAGCACCCTGGGGGGGGTTCATGACTTTGTCAGCAGGAAAAAACGGGTTGTGTTTACAGAGAAATGAGGAAGACTCTCCTCCGGGAGCTGAGTCACAGGAATTCCTTACATACCGAGCCCTCTGCTGACGAGTCCACAGAACCATGTGCATACAGAAACTCACACGAATGAACGTGCAGACTCTCTGTTTTTTTTTTTTTTTTTGCATAAATAGAGAGAGAGTATGAATAATGGAGATGTTTTGAAGATGATGGGAAGGTTACAGAGAGGTGAAGGTGTTCTTTTTGGAGAGGGGAATACATTTTCTGTCCGTCTCGTTTTTCCCTTTAACTTCTGATCACATTACCGTCGTCCATGTCAGTCAGTGTCGATACGGTGAATCAAATTGGCAGGGAAATCTGTTGAAAAATATTTTAGATATGGAAATTTGGCACTAGATAATCAATGTTGATCACAGAGTCCGGACAACGGTATATTGCCACATCCATATTTTGTCCCACCCTTACTGTGAACAAACCACACTACAATTTAATTTAGTTGCACCTCTATTGCTTGCATCTCTGTAAGCTAAGAAAATAATTCTACATTTATACATACACAGCACGGCCCACATACTCATAGACATGTCCTACACATTTAACCTGCCAGTTCAGTTAATTAAAACGCTTTGATCTATTTGAGTTTGAAATATTCATTGCCATTGTTGTTTTTGTTCCCGTCATGAAAAATAAATGAGTAGGAACAAGTGTGAGTGGCACAACTTCAGGCAGCCTGTCACACAAACACTGCCTTGACTGTCTGTCTTTTTTTCTTTGTCTGGTACACAGCGCTCAAGGCTGAATGTGTGTCCTCTCCTCACATCCTACCCCTTTTTGTTTTGCAGCTTTTTCGGCTCAGCTTTCACTGCCTCTTTTACAAATTTAGTATCATCCAAATAGACGCAGAGCATGAATGGGAATAATTGAATAAACCATGGATTTGTCACTGTGTTAAAGCTAATTATGCGCTGCCAGAAATTTAAACTTCATTCAGCCGACTTTTCTAAACTGATTTGCTGGTATGTATTGATTCTCTGTGTAACAAAACTAACACAGACAGACAGAGACTGTTTTCTGGGGCCTTCTTATATTGCAGAACGAGTCCTTCTAAATCTATTTTTGCCTCTCCGTTTTCCTCCATCTCCTCTATCCCTGTCACCTCATCTTTTTTTGGTGTGTAGACTGCTAATGGAGGTCTCAGCGGGAGCAGCTCAAGCGTTGTACTGACCCCAGCAAGCATTTATGCTGCTGGACAAAGCTCCTCCTCAGTGCTGGACTTGGCCTCAACTGTTCTAAAACCAAGCACAGAGCAGACAGAAAGCAGCCAACCTGCTTTTAAAACTCAACCCCCCTTGATCCCCTCCTTCGCCTTAAAGTGGAAGCATAAAGTACATCATCAAGAAAAAGCTCACCAACCTCCTAAAATCTACCTGCCAAGGTGTCATCCTAAATGGGAGCCACCACGTTCTTCACAAGAAAAGGCCAGGGATATTCATGGACTGAAGGAAGCCAAAGTCAAAACAGAAAACCCTGAACTCACAGCTACATCCATACACCTTCAGAACACAATTAGCCAGTCACATAAATCAAGGAGAGGACATCAAGACCCATGTGCCTTAAAGCAAAGCCAACAAAAAGCTGAAAAAAAGTGCTGTGAATCTGATTCTGCAACCTGCAAACCACCCAAGAGCAAGCGGGCCAAACGTGAGCCTGATCAGGGGAAAAATAGCACAAAAGTATCGCATGCACAGGCTAATGGTATTGAACTCCAGAACCAATCCAAAGCTGGCTGTTTGACAACTTCCCTGACATCTGACCCCAGAGTGAAGGATTCTGGGAGGATGAACTCGGAGGAGAAGAGGCAGATGCTTGAGGAGGCTGGGAAGGCCAAAGCACTAGTACTTACCTTGGTGTACAGAGATGGGACAACTCAGTTAGACCCAGAACAGGTGAGTAGAGCTCTCTGAAACCCTATCTTAAAATAACATGACTGGTGCAAAATGTTACCATCCATCACAGGGGTATTTTGGTTTTACTTTTGTACAACATGAGGAGTTGGAGATGTGTTTTTACAGTCAGTTGTCTAGCCCTTTGTTGTGAGTATACTTTGGATAACTGCAAATTATTGTTTCAGTTTCACTTTGCAAAACAGACTTTGCTTTGCCTTGTACAGATAATCTGTCGCAGTCCTTACAGGATTAGTGTAAACCATTTCACATGTTGTTTTCTGCTTCATTAATGTTTTACTTGCATTGATTTCCCTCTTTGGTTCCTTGACACAGAAAACGACTCCTCCAGTGTGTGGCCTCCTCTTACTGATGATGAACAATCTGAGCTGCAGCTCACCAGAGAACTCGTTTGCACCAAACGACAGTCTGGTTTACCTAAAATTAGAGCACACACCTGCATGGGCCCAGCAACACACACACCAGAGCCAGGCGCTCTTTGCGAGGTTTGTTTGTGTGCAGGTGGATGTGTTGGCATTACAGTGAAGTGTTTAATGCTTATCTAGTTTAAAACAGCAGGAATGTGTGTGTGTTCCACAGAGATATGCTGCTACAGGTGCTATCAAGATCTCAACTAGTGGTGTGCTATAAAGCCAAGGATCTGCTGCGAACAGCTCTGCAGGTTTACAGAGGAGACCTCAGCTGGAAACAAGGCAGAGTGCACACGAATAAATGCACAAACATGTAGTCATGTAAATCTGGTTCCAACTGTTTCATTCTGCTTTAAAACACTTCTTTGTACATTCATAATCAGCTTTATCACACGCTTTGATTCAAGAAGCCTTTGCTTAAGTGGTACTCTTCAAAGATGAATCTTATAAGTGTTAAACACTTGAGCCTGAAAAGTGGCTGTTTGAAGTTTTTTGGTTTTAATATTTCTGCCTGGAGTGTTTTCAACAAGACCACCTGAGTTATACCTGGGTTGTATGATCATACTCTTCAACAAAGAAAAAGTACAAGTAGTTTACTAGATTTTAAAAAACAACATTTTTAGACGGGTTATATTAGGTTCTTAAAGATTGAATGAATGAAGGTCTAACTGAAGAAAACAGCTACGTGTCAGACCATGCCTACTGCAGGCAACATTTTCATAGATGTGTTGTTTTTCCTCCATTTTTTCCGCCAATGTCCCATCAGTAAAAAGCTCATAATGTGCTGTCCTCTCTCTCTGCAGTGGCAGGCTGTCGTATCCAGGACCCACAGGTGTCAGGCTGGCTCCTGGATCCTGCAAATCCCTCCTCTTGCTACAATGACCTTCTCAATAAACACTGCAAAACACGCTGTGTCATACCTGCCCTGGGTACCAAGATGGTCAGTTACGTGACGATAGGTTTTAAAGTTGAAAGGTGTCTCGTTAAGACATTAGGGTCACTTTCAGGCCCATACTACCGTAGTCCATACTTCATATTACCCTCAATCTTTATTTATATAAGTTAGAAGACAGTCACTCAAATCAACATTCAGATATCCAAACCTCAAAGGGATGAAAACCTTTTAGTCAGTTTATACTTCATTGAAGCACTCCTTGCTACATTGACTGCCTTTTCCTCCTTGAACAAATCTGAATCTTCTTCTAAGAAAGCAGCTTCTCTTCACCTACTCTACTCGATGTCTCTCTATCGGTCTGTCTATCTCACTCTCAGGTTTCTCAGGTCATCTCACGTCTCTGTTTGCTTCACTGGCTTAACATGGAGCTTTGCTCTAAACTGCAGGTAAGGTGATGTGCGCTTACACACACAAACACACACACACAAGTAAATGTGTATGTACAGTATATACACATACCTGACTGACTTTGTGTGTGTAGAGCCGGGGGCTGTGGCAGCTGTACTCAGACATGGAGCTGAAAATGATCTCTGTTCTGGCAGGTGAGGACTCTGAATCCTTATTGTCAGTGCAGTGAAGAAATACATAAGAATACTGTCAAAAAAAACAAACTATCAGGTCATGTTTGTCAGTAAATACTCGGGTTGTTTCAGCCATGGAGAGCCATCGCATCCATGTGGACGAAGAAGCTCTCAGGAGGACTTCAGACCTGCTGGGGGTAAGACACAAAATCAAACACATTTAAAGGCCGGCGTATTTAAAAAGTTTTCCTGTTAATGTTATAAATAAGTAGAGCAGAACAGTTGGACTTTTTTTTATTTTATTTGGCTGCTGGCAGAGTTTGTACTTATCGCTCACAGCCAGGAGTTATCAACACTCGCCTCATGGTTAATGTTAATTTCCCACCAGAACACAACAACGGAACCGCAGCAGTGAACACACATACTTTCTGTATGTGTTAAAAGATTGAAAGGAATAGATTTGATTTACTATCATTTCCAAGTAACACACTGCAGCAGTACCTGGCTGAATGACAAATACCTCTACTATTGCAATCAATGTTTAGGGTAATAATAATAATTATCATCATATTAATAAATGTCATGTATAAACTCGAGTAGCAACATATATTTGTATGAAAGTAAGCCAATGCTTAAGCTAGTTCTCTGTATGTATACATACAAATGAGCCTTAACTTTAAGACCACTGACAGGTGAAGTGATTAACATAGATTACTTCTTCACAATGGCACCTCTCAGTGGGTGGGATATGTTAGGCAGCAAGTGAACATTCTGTTCTCAAAGTTCATGTGTTGCAAGCAGGAAAAACAGGCAAGAATAAGGAAGTGAGCGACTTTGACAAGGACCGAGTTGTGATTGCAAAAACGACCTTGTCAGAGTATCTCCAAAACTTCAGCTTTTGTGGGTTGTTCCCGATCTGCAGGGGAGCGAAGGTGTGGTCTGATCCAACTGAAGAGCAGCTGGAGCTCAAATTGCTAAAAAAAAAAGTTCATGCTGGTTGTGATAGACGGTTGACAGAACACAGTGCCTTGTCGTTTGTTGAGTATGGTGCAGTGTTGCCACAAACCGATCAGGGTGCACATGCTGACCCTGACTGCTGCAGAAAGTGTTTCCAATGGGCATGTGGGCATCAGAACTGACCAGTGGGGAATCAAAGAGAGTGACCTAAAGGATTGTGACAACAGGCTCAAGGTGTTCACTTGGCTCACTGTGAGATACAATGTATAAACAAATCTGATTCCATGGAAGCCCTCATCACTTTCAGGACTTAAGGGATCTGCTGGTAATGTTGTGATGCCAGATACCACAGCACACATTCAGAGGTCTGAAAGGGGTCCATGACCTGGTGGTTGGTGCGCGTGCCTCATGTTCAGACGCTTGAGTCCTCGGGGGGGGCGGGCGGTTCCGGGTTTGGGTCCGACCTGTTGCTCCTTTCCTCCATGTCATTCCTCACTCTCTCTCTCTCCCTGTCGAACAGCCCTGACCTGGCGCCCACACAATATTAGGCAGGTGGTCATAATGTTATTATGGCTGATCTGTATCTATATGTTATAAATCTCATAGGTTAATCAGGAGATCCTCTTAATTTTCTACACCAAGAAAGGTTTTTTATAAAAGGTATTTTTTAATGCCATATGTTTTAAGCCATTTATTTCCTTTTGAATTAGCTTCTTTCCATAATGTTTGTCACTTTAAATAGTTTATAAATGAGGTAAATAGCAAACGTGACACTTATCAGTGTCTTGTTCTAAATAAAGCCTCTTTTTGTTTATACCAAACAAAATGAATGAATACTTAGTTTCAGCCAGGCGAGATGTTCAGGGTCAGCTCAGATTTGCACCGCATCACTCTTAGCTGATTACATTTTTTAGTCTGGCTGCCGAACCACAGTGCGGTCGACAGCTGCTGTATTAAAACAAATGGGAGCAAAACAGTGGGAGGATGTGAGAAACAGAAGAAAACCTCCCTCCAGAGCCAGAGAAAGAAAAAAATAACTGTTTCTCTTCTCTTCTTCTGGGGAGGATTAGTGATGAGGTGGGTGGACTTTCTCTGGGGACAGTTCTGTTTGCATGCAGATAAAACCCAATTCAGGAGACTACACTTGAGAATGGTCTGAGACACACCAAGACACACATATGACGCTTGAGAATGCACACATGTTCCTAACGGAGAGACGCATACACTCTCAAACCCAGTTACAAGTCTTGCAGGCGCCAGCGGGGGTGTTGTTGTGGAGCTTTTTGGAGTGGTTTTCTTGCCGTGTTACTAAAAATAGGAAAGAGAGTCTGTCTTTTTCCTTCAAGAGCCTGTGCTGCAGGAAGGAGCATCACTGTCTGCCTCAGCACACACACACACACCCACACTCTGAGGCACTGAAGTTTCCGCAGGCTGCTGCAGAGTTATGTGCGCGCACGCTTGTGTTTTTGTAATAGGTGCCTGTGTGAGTGCAGCCACGTGTGTCCCCACTGTGTCGTGTCAGATTTCTTTTTTATCCGACCTGTCAAGTTCCCTCCGTCTGAACACCAAACAGAGGATCTCTCCTGTCTGTCAACCTGCGTCCTAAAAACACACTCGCATGGTCTTTTTTTCTCTTTTTTTTTTTTTTTTTTTGCAAGTGTTTTTATAAACTCTGTAGGACAAAAGTTATGTTTGTTTGTCTGACACCACTTTTAAGGTCAGTGAAGCATCCTTTGTAAATATCCATCATGCCAAGATGAGACTGAAAGTCCAAATTTTCACAAGATGCATCCAAAAAGATGCCCTACAATATTCCACCACACCCGCTGTGTGTGTGTGTGTGTGTGTGTGTGTGTGTGTGTGTGTGTGTGTGTGTGTGTGTGTGTGTGTGTGTGTGTGTGTGTGTGTGTGTGTGTGTGTGTGTGTGTGTGTGTGTGTGTGTGTGTGTGTGTGTGTGTCAAACAGCACTAAGGGGGCTAGCATCCAATATTGATGAGACAGTCTGGAGGCTGCTCTGGGCGAAGAGGGAGACAGAGAGAGGAAGAAACACATTTTGGAATTTTGGGGATATGTCTGCCAGCTCCATTTTGTCCGACTTCCCTGTCTTTACAAATATCTGCGTTTTTTAAGGGAGGAACAAAATATCGATACGGCAATATATCGTCATCCTGACATCCTGTGTGATACAATTATCAAAGCGCAGTTGCCAGATGTTGATCTTTCAATTTAAAAATAAAAATGTGGTGCCCTAAATAGATTTCCACTGGCCATTCTCACCACCTCATGACTCCTCATGGTGGTGCTTATGATAATGAATGAGGGTGACACGAGCAAAAGGGAATTGGCCAAAGAAGAAGTTGAAAATGGAACGAATTGAGAAGAAGACGGAAGAAGGTATAAATACAGAAAGGTCCAGTCTTTTCATCACAACTCAATTATTTTTCCTAAAGATTATTTGTAGTGGAGAGAGAGTAGGGGATGAGACGCACCAAAACAGCGTCAGGATCAGGAGTCAAACCTGCAACCAGCGCGACAAGGACTGTAGCCTCTGTACATGGGGTGTCTCTCTTATCTGTTAACTCTCATTTCATCACCTCAGCGCGCCTCACCCACTCCCCTCCCTTTTGCGTTTCAGTTCTTATCTTGTTCTCTTTGCTCTCGGGTTGTAAAGCAGTGTTTGCAACTTCTCTCAGGCATGAAATGAGTCACTGTGGGTGTCCCCCACAGCACACCCTGACAGGTTTATCATGGTATACAAGTGTAGTTGGCTGTTTCTGTGTGTGCTCCTCTGTACATATAGATTTATTTAGGAGTCTGAAAGTTGTAGCTAATGCTGTTTGTGGTCAGTCTGTCTGTGGGATCCTAACAGGCTTGCTGTGCGACTGTATCAGACACGCTAACAGAGTGCTCCTCCTTTTGTCTTTTAAAGGAAGTTCTTACACATATGAACACTCCTCTCCTCAGACAACCTTTGTTTCTTAACTGTAGGGCTCACACCCAGTCCTGGAAAGCGTGTTTGATGATGTAAACATCTTAAAAAAGTTTTACTCAAGCTAACCATCAGGGGCGTCATGCGAGGCCAAACCCAGGGGGGGCTAAGTTAGAGTGGGGTCAAAGGTCCTTCATTTTGAAACATATATAATCAAAGGCATAAGGTCTGAAGGTCTGATGAAAACCTCTCTGAAGGGTTTTCACATCCAAAATGTTGTTAGTATTTGTGGCATAGATAAATCTCTTTGTCTCTTTTTTTCTCTTCCTGTCAGACTAAGATGAAGCAGTTGGAGCAGGATGCCCACCGTGCTGCTGGAGAAATATTCTTGGTCACCAGCAGTGCTCAGCTTCGGACAGTGTGTACCTTTGTGTGTTTTTTTTTTAAGTGTAAAAGAATTTCTTCTGTGTTTTTGCACTTATAGCCTCTACATCAGCAGTTGTGTTTAACGTGCAAAACTAACAATCACAACGTCTGACAGCCTCACTCGTATTTTATTAAAGTCAGAAAATGATCCTTTTCCCTCATAGTGTTTGTGTGACTGTATTTAATAAATGTATACACTTTTCTACATGTGTGTTTCTGTGTGTTTTGTGTATGTTGTCATGTTATGGTTCTGTGGGTGTTGTGGTTTTGTAAGGTCCTGTTTGAGAAGCTGTGCCTCCACGAGCGCTGCGAGAACAAGAAACTTCCCAAGACCGTCAACAAACAGCAGCAGTCAACATCAGAAGCTGCAGTACGGCACACACACACACACACACACACACACACACACACACACACACACACACACACACACACACACACACACACACACACACACACACTTACACACAAACACACACAAGAACACATCTATCATTTTTGTCCTCAAATCAATGGTAATCAAATCTAACATAACAAACGGCCAAAAGGAACCATAGAACATAAAAGATCTGCAGCTAATAACAAAATATTTGTTTAATAAATCCATTTATATTCTACAAAGACAGCCAAGTCTCTTTTTTTTTTCACCTTTGTCATGTTTCCACAGTTGCTGCAGCTTCAGGACCTGCACCCTCTGCCAAAGATTATTCTAGAGTACAGACAGGTCAGCCATGTTTGCACCTTTTCCTTATTCTAGTGTTGTAGTCAAGACCTCAAGAGTGCTCTGATACTGAGACCGAGTCAAAACCAAGACCATAAATATTACTGAAAAATCACCATCTTGTGTGCAGCAGGCGTGTCACTCACTTGGACCGCACCATCAGGAAGGTTGCCGCCGTAACCAGGGGTTAAAAATCAAACTACAAATGAGTTGAAGTTATTCTTTTTTTAGGAAGAGGCATTTTCCTTAGAATCAAAGTAAAGACGTGGCAAAATAGCCAATCAGTGGTGGTCTTGATTTAAAATCCAGAGTCTGCCCAGTCTGAGACCGAGACAAGACAGAGTAAAAATGCTTTCGATTCCAAGACGAGACAGAGATCTTCAAAAACATTTCTCAAGACTAATATTCATAAGTCATAATTGTCAGAAACCGTTTAGTCAGCAGTTTTCTTTTCTGATTAAAGTCTCTTGCTGTCTTAATCAAATGGAAAGCTAAATGTTTGTTCTGGATTCAGGCCAATGTTCCTCCTTTAAAACTCTTGGTGTAAATTGTATGGATACATTTTTGCAAAAGTAGAAAATCTTGAATTATTATCCCTTCTTTTCTATTAACAGTTGTCTACATTGTAACCTCTAGGTTCACAAAATCAAGTCCACTTTTGTTGATGGGATTCTCTCATGCATGATGAGCAAGGTGAGTCTACATTAAACTGCTGTTTTTATGCAGGTATATGGAAATCACTCAAATATGAACTTATAAAACAACAAAAAAGTATCACTCTCAGGTCACAACAGTAACCTGGATCTCTCCTGAGCTGGCCTCCTCCACCTCTCAGTCCAGTCCATGCCTCTGCTGTAGAGAAAAGCTACGCGTCAGTGTTTTTACAGTCTTCTCATGGACTCTGTTTTCTTCTGTATGGAAGCAGCAGCTTGTGTTTGTAAAATCTGTGCTTACTCAACTCTGCAGATGAGTGTGTCTGGCTGTCAACAGAACTGTTTGGCTTCTGATGGTGGTGAATCATTTGTTGGTCTCAAAGCCAGAGTGAACAACAATTCCAGCAAGTGGAGGGGGCTGCTGACAAAAACTTTATTACTCATAGCAGGGATTCAAAATATGGAGTGCTATTTGTGCTGAATAGATACTATATGTAGCCTCTTGGATGCAAGTTAGAAAAAAAAAAGTAGATTCTTCTCAGACTGATCTTAGGTGATTTCTCCGCTGTGTGAGAAACGGTTGAGAAAACTAATTTTCGCCATCTTGATCTTTGTAAGTTTGGCGGAATAAAACGTTTTTCAAGATGAAAAAAAAAGTTTATCCTCATTACTGTTGATTTTTTTTTTTTCATTTTTTGAAAACATTTGAAAGAGAAGTTTTAACCAGTCAGAGAAAGTTTGCCAGGATCATTTCCAGAGTTTCGTTCTTGGATCTCTAAAGAAAAAATGTAGCGGGGGAACAGAAGTTTGCTGGGAAAAAAAATGTTCTCCTTTGAAAAAAGGTGAAAAAACAAGTTACAGCATTTGTTTTTGTTTTTTTGTTACCGGTATGTAGAAGTCAGGAGGTGGTTCATTTCAGCATCCTTGAATAGCCTGCATTTAAAAAAAAGTCTTGTTTTCACTGACAAAAAAAATAACTTAGAAACTAAAAAGATAATCAAGGTAAAACTTTATGTGCAGCTGTACTTCATCTATTAATTTTCTACTACCAGCTGAACATCAGCCATGTTGACAGCACTCTTCTTATTTATCATGCTGATAAATTTGCAAAAAGTACAAATGTATGATTGCTCAGTCCGCTTACTGCACCAACTCTACTGGCACTTCATTCTGCAAACAGATTGTTCAGACTGGGCAGCGTGTAGTCTTACAGCGCTAACAATGTCTAACAGTCCAAAAGCAGATCAGAGTGAAGCTGTCGGCATGTTTTTAAACAAAACGGAGAAGAAATCAGTCTGTAAGAAATGTATTTGAAAAATGTGTTTTATGTTATGAAAGTATTCAACTTTAATATGTTTCATTGATCTGTTTCCCTCTGTGTCTGACTCTCTTTTATCTCCTTCCTTCCTGACAAAACATCAGAACTACATTTCCTCTACATGGCACCAGACCAGTGTGGTGACAGGGAGAATCTCAGCGAAGCACCCAGTGAGTAAGACCCGTCTGCTTCCCCTACACACCATGTCTTTATTTATTTGTCTTTCTCTGGTCTTGAAACACATAACATACATAGCTGCTGTAGACTGAAGCTGCTGTGCTTTACCAGAGCTCTCCATGGTGCTGAACTGGAGTCTGGTTCAGAGCTGGTTCAACTTTCGAACTGTTCCAAGAAAAGGCCCTCAAAAGTGACCCAATATTATCTCAACAATGATCAAAAATGCAAAAAAACCTCTTAAAAGGTCACAAACATAAGAAATCATACTACCTTTCTTTTTTATAAAGAGGAAACAAATACTTTGATGAAATCACAAATAAGACACACATCAATGCGAAGTGATAGAGGTCGGTAATCATAAATCATAAGTTCCTCATGCATAAATAAAGGTTAATTATTAATTCAGAACTTTTCATGATTGAGATAGACTTCTTTGTCAATATTTTGATAATCAAAATGTTTTCCCTTCATTCCTTCACATACAGTCTCTGAAACTCAGACACAACGTGCTGGAGAACACATTTTAAAAATAAGAGAACCGCAAGCAAACGCTTTTCTCTCTGCTATCTCGCTCTCTCTTTCTTTCTCACCCCTCCTCAGTATGGGACTGAGTCGATAACTCATTTTGACATAACCCAGCTGTCAGGGTCCAGTGGTTCTGTCACTGAATACTGCTGGGACACACACTCACACGCACACACAATCAGCCATGTATATATAAAACAGTGAACACACTGAGATTTCCAATCTCATTTAGGAATTTGTGCAAAATATATGTGACTGCTGTGCGGCTGCTGTTCAACACCACTTTGTTGCGTTCATTAGGGCATGATCTGTGCAACAGATTTCTAAAAGTCTTCTGTTTCGTCTGACAGAATAGAATGAGCTCTGCTGCTTTACTGGTTGAAACATAGAGCTAACATTATGCAGCAGAGAGGGAGAAGAGTCAACTCCCACTGGTCTCCCCTTCTTATAATTCCAGCGTATGAATGAAGTTCAGTCATTATTTGATAACCAACGTGTCACATGAAGGACAAAAGCTGCAGTTTGTTCATTTTGGGTCGAGGGGGGTAAAAAGGGAGCTGCTCTGATATTCAACACCCTACTCACACACACACACGCATTCAAATGAAGAGCGTTGCAGAGGGGATAGCTTTCATCTGCTGTGGGTTCAAACAGGGTGAAGCCAGACTGCAGTAACAAACGGGTGCCTGATTTAAAGCAGGGCAGCATTACGACTACTGCTGAGCTTAAAAGTGCTGCAAGAAGCGAGAGACGCTGCAGGGAGGATTTTTTTCTGCTCTTCCTCTTGTATTTTTGTCGGCTAAAAGCCAAAATATATGTGCGAGTCTGCATATGCAGTGTTTCTATCTCTGGGTCTTTTTTCTCCTCTGCTTTTTCCTCTCTTTCTCTTAACCTTAGTCTATTTTTTGCCATTCATCCTTTGCTTTTAACGCACATTTTTTTTGCTCCACCCATCTCTTCTTTCTTGTTCATATGTTACTAATCCTCCCGTTCACTGCATGAAGCTCATACACTGTCCCTTAAATAAAACTTTTTAATTGCGTTGCAACGGGGAATATAATATTTAACGCTTCCTCATGCTTTGAAGCATCGAACGCTCATACAACTCTTCCTTGATGCAGGAATCCACCTTTTATCTTTTCCATGAGTCTTACATGATGTTCAAACATTTATATCCTGATGCCTCCCAAAAGTGCATCAAGTTTACTCAGTCATGCACGTCCAATGAAAACAGATTTATGAGCTGTTCATATCTGGCCCCATTTCTCTCTATCTGTTGATTTAGCAACCACACTACAAACCTTTGGCGCTATTTTTTTCTCCAGACAGATCTGTTTTTTTGTAGATGAATTATGGACTATTGCAATATCTAAGACTCCTGCTTAAGTTTGTTATTGATCAGTCGTTGTATGTTAAGTCTCACAAGTTTCTAGGGGTGTGTGCTCAGTTTTCTTCAGAGCTTCTCAAGCAGCAAAATGCTCATTTAAGGCTGCTCTGCATTCATTCATTAAATGTCTCACACTTAGTGAAAATCCTCCCCGGGCTGATCTAAGCTCTTGACTGCAGTGTGAGTGTTTCATGTTCTCTGCTGACTCCCTGGCAGTCTGGCTGAACCCTCACTGACTGACATATAAAGTATCATACATTTCTCATCTTTTTTTACTCACATTAGGGAGAGAAAAGTGGGTGCTGAGTTGGAGTGTAGTTTGGATTTGTAATAAACAGATAGTACCATTTAAAAAAAACAAAAAACTACTGCCAGAATACTTTAATAATTCAAATACCAAAATCGCTCTGCAAAACGTAAAAGAAACTATGTATTCATTGGATACACACTGAGTAGATTGCAAACATGTACTAACCTATTCAAAGTAAAGTTTTAAGTGAAAAGGCTGTTAGAGAAAGCGTCACATTATATCATGTAACATATGTTCTTTACCTTATGCATACAATTCATGACACTACTGTAGCTGAGAGGAATTTATTTATTCATATTAAATATCTAACCACTGGGATTTAAGGCTGTTCCAATGTGTTTCAATAGTAACCCAGTTTTATACTAATGCTGACTGGCTATAAATAATTTCTCTGGCATGTCACACTGCGGCCTCAGTTACCCATGTGCCACAGTTCTTCAGACAAGGCCACTGTCATTTACACTGGTTTCGTTCAGCGTTGCGACCAGGACTGATTCAGGAGTTTAGAATAAGGTTGTCAAAATGTTTGATACTTTTCGATACCACAAGTTTTAAAATCATGCAATCTCCATTATTTATTGAGAGATAGTATCGTAAAAATACCAAAGCTTTAAAAAAAAAAAAAGTTAAGATCTACAGTCATATTTTGAACCAAAAGCTGCAGCGAGCAAAAGAAAAGTGGAATGTTTTGGTAAGACAAGGAATTACCCTATACTAGGTGCCTAGGACAACTACTCTATATCCGTTGCCATGGTATTGCAACCAATATCAAAGTTGTATCTGACTTTGAATTCTGGTATCGTGACAACCGTAGTTCAGACAGACAGCTGTTGATTGCTCAGAGCTGCCTCAACCCTGGATCTTATTCCCCTTTGGTCAGACAACTCACTCCACCTATCGGCTCTTGGTTTAGCAGCCAGGTGCTGACCCATCTCTATCTCCTCGCGTTGAGCATACAGATTATGGCGAGTCTGTGTTTGCTTCTTGTTACAGTGTGAATGGAGATAAATTCTACAGTGTGTGCATGTAGCAATGTGTGTGTTTGCATATGTTTCTCTTAATGAGTCATAAAATTGGTGCAGTGTGATTAAATTACCCCCACTCCAGTGTGGTGATTCAGCCGTCCCCATCTGTTTCACCAGGGAGAGCTCCTCTGACTCTCTCGCTCCATCTCTCTGTGGGTAACATCAGGTTCATGAAAACACACGGCAGCGCAACTTTGATTTAATGTAAGCACTGCAATCTGTGTGTAACTAGTGCTGGATGAACTGCTGCGGCAATGTGGAAATGGAATTGGTTATTAAGGTGTTTATGTAATGAAGTAGTACCATTTATTAATTCATAGTGAATGCAGATTTATAATGTTACATTCAGGCATAGTGTTTTACACAGACGCATCCTTCCACACTAAGTTTGTTGGAGGCTTAATACAAGCTGAGCAGCTGGGAATACACCTAGGTGCAGAATTTCTTATCATTTCAAAATAAATGACAACAAAGCGATGCTGCTTAGAAATACTGTGCTGACAGCCTGTTTAATGCAAAATTAATAATTATAACTAGTATCTATATAAATGGACTTATACTCACACACACTATCACTAAAAAGTTACAAGATAGGTTAAGAGTTATATATCCAAAAGCTTTGTTCACATACCTGTAGGCATATGCAACATTATCAGTCCCAATCTGATCCCAGATGTAGATTGTATGATACCTCTTTGCATGCAATTCAGGTTTCCGAAAGGATGATCATTTTGTTGTTTGAACAGAAGTTGCTCCTTTACAACAAAGCTGCAGAAAGTCATTATCAGAGTAGGGTTGACTAAAGGCTTCCAGTATCACACCGGACAGGAAGCAGACGGTGTGCAGATTTCATTTGATGCAAAGTGTTCTGATGTTCAATCTGGTGTGAGTCGTGGAGCTAGATCTGGAAATGCTCTTCAGTTAACTAACTGGTTCATGAGCACAGGTGGTCTGGGTGTTCAGAATACTTAAATGTGGTTATTCTTAAATCAAAGAGCAGATTGATCTTTCCGAAGGAGGGGAATAAATCAGTCAAATATGCAAGCCTATAGTGCTGTCTGTGTTAATGCTGTACTTAAAGTAGCAGTAAGCAATATGATCATTCCAGTGCAAAAAGAAATAAAGCGACAGGTTTTCACTGACACATATCAGATATTCAAAGGAACGTTGGTATTTTAACCAGAATTCTAATGAAATAATGTTGCCTAATGTAGCATTAAAGACTCCTTGACCAGCACTCATTATGACCCATTCATGCATATTGACACAGCCTTGCCCTTTCACAATAAATATTTCATGTGCTTGTTCAGTTATCTGCATATTACCTGCTAATGAAGCAGCCTTCATCAACCAGCATGCATATGTCAGCTGATCTAAAATGCTAAGCGGTGCGCTTTTGCAACTAGTGTCATTGTCCCACTCTTCTGGGGTCCATGTACACCCACTGGAGTAGCGACATGTACCAATTACGAGTTCATTATCAGGCCATTGTGAGTCTGTATTAGCACATGGAGATGGGGGAGGGGGGGGTGAAAAACACCAACTCTTGGTTGTTATTGAGAATAAGGAACAAGGCTGCTCACAATGAACAACACAGAAGAGAGGCACATCTGCATGATGAAGTGGCCTATTCAGAGTACATGAGCGCAGGAGAAGCGTTGGTGTGTTTGGCAGTCATTGGTGCAGGCAACCCAGGAATATTTATGTATGTGCTGTTTTCCAACAAGTATTCATGACGGCACTTTGATGTAATTAGGGGAGGAACAACAACATCAGCCAAAATCCAATGGAGCCCATCCTGTGCCAACACTCATGTGCATGTCTCGTTTGCATTTTAATAGGCCATACATACTGTGGGACGCCATGCTTGCTGATTGCATTCGATATCGATGCTTACCTGGTGTGTTAGTGCGCCTGCTTTTCTTTATTTGTAAAATAATTTAGAGACTTTTACATTTATAAGAACGTAAGTGAAATACACAGATTTGTTTTATTTTTTGTGTGTTTGTGTTTTTCTGCTTCTTCTTCTCTCTGTCTGACTCACACAGCGTCTGCTAATGAACCGTTTCTCTGTTCCTCATGACACAGTTGGGGGGGATAATGACTTTGACCACTCACTGTGCAGGTGTAAACGGTGTGCGTTCTCATTTGAAGTTGTATCTATGTCTCGGTCATGTACACATTCTGTCTCTTTGTGAGTCGTTGTGCACATTCAGTACATATGTACTCGTCTTATCTGACATACAGCCCCTGCAGTGATTTTTTTATTCCAGTAGGTGATGCTGTCACAAGAGCTGTTGGTGTCATGCATACTGAAGGTCATTGAGCAACGTATCACCTTGTGCTTATGTAATTGCAGCGTCTTTTTGTGAAGAAAAAAAAAGGAAAACATTTATTATTGACAATAAGCCTCGTTCATGCTGTTTGTATGTGTGTGAGAATAACAGGCTGATCCTCTGATGCACTAGAGGTTTTCATGTATATTAAAAACTGTGCAGTCAGCAGTAAACACTGCAACCGGACCCAGAGTGATTCATATTTCTCCTTGTTTTTTTAAACCTCTCATTCATCTTTTCTCTCCCTCTCAAGCTGCAGTGACGCAGGGAAAACACGCTTGAGCTCCTCTTTGATTCTTTGATTCTCTTCCGGCTCTAATCTCTTATCCCTTGATTTCTGTTTGTTTTTTTTCTCCCACCTTTCCATCTCTTTGATCGCCTTTCTCGTTTTAACACTCTAGCATCCGACGTCCCGCATGAAAGCAAATGGACGTTTTGGCTTTGTATCGAAACACAGGACACTGAGGACAGTGCTCACTGTTGAGTAAAAGTAGTCGACTTCAAGTGTAAACAATAACAGACATGTGGTTTGTAAACTGTCGGTCCATTATCTGTGCTCCTCTATTGGTCAATAATTGAGTTATTATTCAGCAGGATACATCATGAAGAGTTTGTGTAATATTTGGTGCGTGATTTGTTGCATGACTGTATGTTGAAGACTTTATACTGCTGTCACAACCAACATGTGCATGATGGGAAAGCTGAGCGTTCCACCTCCATCACACTAAATCTCCAGTCCAATCACAGGACATGAGAGCAGCCACACACACACTTATAATTACCTGCCCTTTGCTTATTCATCTACCCAGGGTACACACCGCAGGTCTCATGTCTTATGTGCACAAGGAGCAACATAGCTGAACCTGTGTGTGTTTTTGTGTGTGTGTGTGTGTGTGTGTGTGTGTTTTTGTGTGTATGTGTGATTGTTTCTGGCTCCTGGTCCCTGTTGTATATTTTCCTCTGTCCACACCCTGCCACTGCAGTCCTCTCTTTTCATCCTCCCCTCCCTCCCTTCCTCTCTTGTGAATAATGAATGAGTTGTGAAAGCAGAGAGCTGTTTTCTCTCTCTGGATCACACACAAGCGCGCACATGGACTGTGGGGTCAAGCTGACCACATACGAGCGCCGACTCATGATGGGAATCCCTCTGATGTTAGTGTGTGTGTGTGTCTATGCACACACTTTGTCCTGCATGTCCTTGGTTTAAATATCCTCCTTATGCACACTCCTTGAGTTGTGTGTGTGTGTGTGTGAATGTGTGTGTTTTTTAAAAAGTGGATACAGTGGGATTAACAGGGATTAAAATGGAACTGCTGAGTCTAAACCCTTTTTTCCCTTTATCGAACGCTTTGTTATCAATTTTCCTTTTTTCCTCTTTTAGGCAGAAAAAAGTTGCATATGTGTAATATGGTACATGTGTTTTTCTATATCAGCAATGTATCGTGTTACTCAGTGGGTCGATGCAGGGTGGGCCAGGAACCCAGTTAGCATCAAGCTGTTCCTATTTTCAGATGTCTTATCTGTTTTTTTAAAAGACCTGAGGTGTTGCAGGAACCTTAGGACTCCCAGTAGGGACAGACTGCACAAGTTCAATACGCCTAGAGAGAAACACTGCCCAGCTCCACTGGTCAGTTGTTATCTTGAATCAAGGAGTCTTTAAGTAAACCAGCACCCAACAAGGTTTATTTTCTTCACAATGTATCACCGTTTCCTTTGATTATGACATACAGAGGGAGAAAAGCTGTTAAAAAAAGTCGCACCATCAGCCTGCTCTATGCCGCAAGCTATCTCAGCATGCTTGTTCAGCAAGGCACAATGACTGGGAGCTATGGTTGCGTCTCAAGCAGTGTGTCTGCACCATCAGGCATTTTGTGTTTTCTAAAGTCAGACAAACAAAGCAGCTAAACACTACATGATGTTTCCACTGCTTGGAGAATAAGCAGGACAGGCGTTTGATGTTTAAAACCTGTGCATGTATTGCAATGGGAAACATTCACATTAACTGATCATCAAAAATCGAAATTAAATCAATTACAGAGTAAAGACATGTGCTTGGTGATGAATTAAGCACACCCAGTTGATTGTCACCTCTATCTTTTTATTACAGCCTCAAAGAGAGCCTGCTGGGAGCGGCTGCAGCTACATACAGCTGACCTCTCTTCTTTTAAGTGGAGCTATTTTTGTTTATTTAGGTTTCCACACAGCAGGAAATTTTTATTCTGCAGAAAACAATGTGTAAAATGGAAAGACCCACTTTAATAGAGTAATGACACTCTGTTCCAGTACAACTTTCTATAAGTACACACTAAGCAGGGCGACAGTTAACTCCTGCTGACTAACAAATTGTGTCTTCTTCCGAACCAGAACTTCCAGGCCCTGCCGAGACAGCCGCTTCAGATCATCAAGAAGCAGCACATCCAAGGTAAAGTGCTCACACTCTCAAAAACACACACATGCAGAGACACTCTTACACATCCGAGAGGATTAGATAGTGGCAACTGCCGAAGTGTGTGTGTGTGTGTGTGTCTGTGTTTGTGTGTGGGAGAGGAGTCTTTTCTGAGGGTGTATAAAAACTGATGAGCACAGAGCTTGTAAAGATTGTTTATGAGGATGATAAAAGTCTGCAGCAGCAAAGGGACTGGTCAAAAGGGTTTGTTTGCTGAGTACAGTGGCCTCTGATGTATAGTTTGTTTGGGTATAAATTCAAGTTGTGCAGCTTCTGTTTGCTTTGAGGACAGTGATATTCAGAAGTGCATTGTAAGCCTCATAGTGATAACATGCACTTTATTGAAGTATTGAAATACTTTACATTTTATATTCACCCTATGCAGACGCCTGTAAATACAGAAGACCAAAAATGCACACATTTCCTATTTGATGTTGTTGCTTTGCCTCCTAATTCTTTATTTTAGAGTTTGGTATTGTAGAAAGTTAGATTAAAATATATGTGTATATTTTTATTACACCAGTTTAGATGCTTTAAAACCACATTGAAGTATCAAAATGCAAGAAAGAAATGCCTGCAGTCCTCATGCACTGTGCTTCTAACCACCCCGCAGGGTTTCGATAAGGTTCAGATGGCAGAGCGTGCAGTCATTCAGTCAGACATTCCTCAGCATGGGCGGACTTTTATGTGAGACAACTTGGGCTGTGAAACGATCCATTTTTATAATAGTGATTAAAAAATAAAAAACATCAATTAGTCGCTATAAACTGTATTAACAACGAATGTGACTCCCACCCCTACCAAACACTGCATTATTTCAAGTGATAAAAGCGGTTGTATCATGCACAGCCCTCCAAGGAATAGTACTATTATGTCTGAAGTACTGGAGCATTTTGATTTCATTTAACTGTCTTTTAGCTTGGTTCAGTTTTTAGTGAGCTCAAAAAGGCCTGTTTGTCCAAGATCAAACTTTCTGCTATTTCCAGAGCTAAAAGGTAACCTTGAGGTGCAAAACTACTTTGAGATGATCTCCTGGTACTTGAACCATTAGCATATATTCTAATGGATATCACAATGTTATGTTCCTCTGGCTTGCACTTATGTTGGTTTGATGAGATAGAAAATATGGCGGACAGTAAATCAACAGATTGAAATCTAAATGATTCACTGGGAGCATTGTTGTCTGAAAGTATTTACCTTGTTACAGAGCCAGATGAAACATCCAAGAAGATGAACAGCTGTACATGTCTGATGTTGTATTTGATTATTTCCCATCACTCCCATCACTTCTTCCTCACCCGTCTTCTTTCCGTCTCTTTTCGTTCAGAGGAAACTTTTAATTACCTTGTCTCGCCCTTGTTGCACACAGTCATTGTTTGATAAAAAACTGCCACACTGCAAAACTGCCAAGGCTGACTGTTCATTTTCGGAGACAGTTTCTTTAATGCTCCGTGGCAGTTTTATTACAAAAAACCTGTAAATCATGGAAGAACCTGGCTCAAGAAATAAGCTCGGCATTGATCACACTTTTTAAGGTTAGAGCAGAATACTTCTTGCCTATCCTCCCTCCTTTCTTTCCTGGAGGTTTTAATTATCTTATATATAGACATTTATTTTCAACGCTCATCTGAAAGGCTTTTAATACTCATCTGCTTCAGAGGCAGCAGATAAGCTGCCTGACGGTGTGACAAAAAGAACAGTTCTCCATTTGCAGATGAATAAAACATCAAAACAAGTCCTTCCTTCTGTTGGCCACACCGTATCGCCTGTCAGTCACAGCCAGCGGTGCAACACCCTTCTTTATAGCTCTATTTCTGTCCCTCACTCTTTGAGTGTTTCTTTCTTTCTCTCTGTTTGAGTGATTCATAAGAGCTAACATCAGCACCTCTGCACCTCACTCACTCAGATTCCCCAGAGCCCCTTGTCATCAAATCCTCTTCTCTCTGTATCCCTGCTTCATCTCTTACATCACCCCTCCTTTCCTTCTCTCTTGCTCTTTATCAGTTTGTGTCCTGAGGTGAGAGGTGAGGCCCCATACACAAGTAATTACATTGCCAGGTTGTGTGTGTGTGTGTGTGTGTGTGTGTGTGTGTGTGTGTGTGTGTGTGTGTGTGTGTGTGTGTGTGTGTGTGTGTGTGTGTGTGTGTGTGTGTGTGTGTGTGTGTGTGTGTGTGTGTGTGTGTGTGTGTGTGTGTGTGTGTGTGTGTGTGTAAGAGAGCAAGGCCACATTTCAGTGTCAGCATGTTTGCGTGTGTGCTGCTGTCAGTGGATTTTCATCGTGCTGACGTGGGATGTGATGGTTCATCGTTGCCCATCAGTCCTCCTGCACTGCGGTCAGCACTTCAGTCCGACTCCTCAGAGCAGAGAGCGCAGTGATAGACTGATCTGGATCGGATTCTGATTTGCCTCTGAACGGGGCGTTCAAGTTCTCAACATAGCTTCTCATTAAGTCAGATGTCGTTAGCCGCCCACTATCTCTGTCTCCCTGTGCCTCTATTTCGATCAAGCTGACAATACACCCAGGTTATTAGAAATAAATTACAAGGTATGCTGTGTGTGGTCGATAAGATTGTTTTTAAATCTGCTGTGAAATAAATCAATTTGTTACTTTATAAGATGCTCTGCTTGTTTGTAGGAATGCAATCTAGTTTAAATGTGATTTTTTTTTGTAAGTTTTAATTATTTTTTGAGACTATCAATCATGAAAAGGTTTAGGGCATGATAAAACCCAAAGGTTGCCTTTATTGAATCCTGTCAAATATTTATTTGATTAACAATTAATGTATCCAAAAGGATATAACACTTTTATTACCTATGGGTAATTAGTTATTTTTGCTCTATAAGCAGGTACTACAATTCAGCTACAGGAATACTGTGTCGTAAATAGTGAGAAATATTTTGCAGAGGTGTACCTCAGGGCTCTGTGTTTGGTCCCCACAGGAAAGGAGGAGGAGGTGGTGACTGTTCATCCTCGGGCAATGTTCATTCCTCAGGACGGGTGGACTTTTCTCTCTGCAGGTAGGACAATAAGTAATGTTATATCAGAATGTTTTGGGTCTTTTAAAAAGCACTTTTTTGAAAATGTCAACCTCATAAGGGTTTACGTTTTGTCATGAATTAGCTTCAGTCTTGATTCAGTTGATTCAGCTGCTCATGCATGTTATTGCATTTACTGCTGACCCAACCATTTACTAAACGTGAGGGAGCAGAAAATGAATTTACAGCAACATTACTTCAGTTTTTATGGTTCAGCCGTTTGGATAAAATGGCAGTCCTTGTGAAAATTGATACAGCTTACTCATCAAAGATTTATGTAGTTTGTAATCAAAGTCAGACCTAAAGCTGACCCAACCGAGCCCAGCTGGCATTATACAATAACTTAAGGGTGTAGCTCTGGTCCATGCCGTGCAGACCGAGGGCAGAGCTGGAACGCTGTCAGGCTGGGAGGGCTTTGTGGAGGGGACGCTCCGTGTCTGCTGGACCTGACAGTGTGACACGCACTTACATAAGCCGGCAGATGAAGCCGGGTTAGCAGGAGGACAGTAGCAGGATTCATAATCGCACACACCCACACCAACACACACGCACACATGTGCTCAGGCCAGGTTGCCATGGAAACAACCCCTCGTAGGGACCCCTCGCCAAGTCACCCCCTTCATGTCCTGCAATGTCCTTCCCAAACTGGAACAACAGCTGTGCGTGTATGAGCGTTTCAACTACTATCACTTTGCACAGTGTCCTCAGAAGAAGTTCAACTCAGGGGCACGTCAAAAGGTATTATGTGTCAAAATGATTCCTGCATTTGAAAGCGGTGTGTGTTTGTATGTTTAGGGGGGTATGAAGCAGTTATTGTCTTCATTGGGAGTTTATCGCTCCCCCCCTCCAGTATAATCAAAATTATGGCGTAATAAAAAAAGAGAAACAGAAGAAAACGAACTGTTCTTTACAGTACATTTAAAACACGCTGCATGTCCTCAAGTAACCTGTGAGTGTCTAACGCTTGTGTGTGTGTTTATGTTTGCAATTGTCAACTCAGTTATTTTTCTGTTTGGAGATGTCTTCTGGGTGTGTGTGGGCTGGAGCTGACAGAGAAAAAGAAAGCCTAGCCAAACTAAGAACAAAGACAGGCCCTCATCTTAATTCCCTCATCAGCCTGTTAGTTTAAAGTCATCTTTTCTACTTTGTTTATTCTCCAAACTAGTTTAGTGTAGCCGAACACATACAGTTGTTGTGTACTGTACAACACATACACATCAATACATGTTGTGTTAGTAGTAAGCAAGATCTTAATGCAGAATAATGTGTTGGTATCTACTACTGTACAAAAGTGCTACTTGACAAAATCACTTACTGTAGAGCTTAACGCGTCCATCTAACAGGATGAAGCTGTTACCTAACAGTGAGGGTAACAAAAATGTTGCATATCAGGCGCTGTCATGAAAGAGGTCATTTGGCAGATTTATGGATCGTATGTAATATATCCACGTCGAGGCGGGATATTTACACTTTTGTAGCATCTCGCCTTCAACGTGATTGCCACAGAGGAGTAATAGAGGAACCCAGTTGTTCCACCGTGTTGGCTTTGGAGCTAGTAACAGAGGTGTTACAGGGTGAGATGGGATCAATGTACAACATCAGAGCTTGCAGAACACCGCTGTTTGTGTGTGTGTGTGTGTGTGTGTGTGTGTGACTGAGAGAGTGTGTTTGTGAAGCTCCTGCTGCTTATTTACACGTCGTGCATCTTGTGCTTCCTTAATGCTGTGACACAATGTAAATTCACCCACTGGGGCACCACTATTATGTTGTTGAAGAATCAATATAAACAGAACAAAGGTTAAATGATGCCGGGGCTTCGTTACAGTGCTTCTGCAAAAATGCAATCAAGAAAGGGGCTTAAGAATGGATTCCTTTACATTGAGCTTTAATCTAGACACAAATTTCAATGTTGGACATTATCTCAATAATATCTCAAGAGATAGACCAGCAGGATCTTAACTGAACTGACCAGAGTTATCCTGGCATTAATTGTAGGATTTATTTGTCATTTTGGTCCTGTCCTTCCTCCTCCTGGGTTTATAGGTATGAAGCCAACATGGTCTGTATGCTGTTCAGTTCAGTCCTCCTTGACGCCTCTTTAGACCGGCCACAATCCCCAGAGGACACTTAATGTTCTCAATATGCAGCTTTTAGTCGAGCTCTAACGCTTTTATCCATAACCTTCATACTCCACTCTGCACTGCAAAGCATCACTGAGGGCTGTTCAGGGTGCTGTGGGTGGTGGCATTAAAAATGTATGAGGCGCGGCTTCGTCCCCTAAATTTGTTCGTATGCTGTCCCGGGAACTACAGGAAAAAAAGTGACAGCTTCTCTATTCTTTTTCATTTCAGCAGTCTCGAGTAAAACACAACCCTGTTCTGTCTGGAAAATGAAGAGGGGCATGACATTTGGAGTTAGAAAGTCATTTTCTGCTCTTTTAGATTGAATCACTTCAAGTGCATAGAGAATTTGCAAATGGTTTATTACAGCTATGTTTATGACTAATGAAGGTTTTCATTAGAGATGAATAATTATTCCATACAAAATCACAAATATAATCAGAATCTGACAGAGACCAACATAATTTTGTTTATGCACAATGTTTTATTCAAACTAATATTTTCAGCTATTTTAAGCTCCTGCAAGAAATGTAATGATTGTGGACAAAGCAGACTTTGCTGATCATGTCCTGTACATGTGTAAGTGGTGTTTTTTTTTTTCCACAAAAGAATTAACCTGGCTTCTATTAACTGCCAAACATTTTATCCATCAGGAGTCTTTGCCGGGGTAAATGCAAAAAAAGGCTGCTTCAGCATCACACACTGATGTTCTTTGTCTGGCAGCTAGAGATGGGTATTGTAGGTCTCCAAAAATGGAGACTTGAAAGATGTCTAAATGTATGTGTATGTTATGAATTTAAAACAGGCGGCTGCTTCTCAAATGTACAGGAAAAGCGAGTCCTGATTTGTTAATTCAAACTATTTTGTTTGATTCAACAACAGAAAAAAAGGAAGACGACTGTATGACATCACTAGTGGGCTAATTAGCCGACAGCCGGCGCTTATGGAAAGCCCTGCATTAAATAAGAGGGACTGTTAACGTTGATACTTATTGTATGGGAGAACCGTTTGTCCGTGAGCATCGGTACTTTGGGTACTGACCAATCACGTTTGCTGGTAGCAAAAATTAAAACGGTTCTCCGTACTCATTCACTGTGGAAGCTACCCCGCGGCAGCAGTTTTAGACTTTAGAAAAAAGAACAAATGAGGTCATCAGCCTTCTCACTCATGGTCTTGTTTGCTCTCAAAGGTCTAAAAGAGGCATCAATATTCATGACAGTCTGTTTCATAAGCAGCTAAAAAAATCTTGCTTTGAAAGAAATGAATACTCCCTTAATGAGAAGTTCAAAAAGATCTGACCAGGTCTAGCATCTCCATAAATCTTTGGCTTTACAGTTTGTGTGGGTCATAAATAGAACTGAACTGAGCCAGTTCAAAGAGATAGCTTACTGTACGTCACAGTTATTCCTGTATGGATCAATACAAGGATCTTTATTGTGGCACTTTTTCTGCACCGATAATCTCAATCAGAAGAACACCTTGAGGAACACACACACACATTTTTACCCACAATTAGGTATGTGCATGCATAGTCTCATAAATGTACTTCATTTTCTTTGGAGATCCGCCTCAGTATTCTTCCTTTCTATTTCTGTCCTGCACACATACATGAATTTAAACACTCTCTCGCTCACACACAAATCCTGGTCAGCAATATGTTTCTAAAGCTGCCGGCCATGCTGGGAGGAAATGTGATCTGGCTCATAAAACATGGATGGGATGATATCTTTAGAAACTGCCTTCCTCACCTCATCACAAGCACAAGCAGACGTCTCTGTTCCTCCAACTGGTCACCCAACCATTACCCTTCCTCCTCTCCCTCCTTTTCTCGCTGCCCCTTTTATCATCTTTACTAAAATCGTTAAACTGTAAACGTTGTTTGCTTTAAGATGCTGGAGTATTCTCCCCTTTCACTTCGTCTTGATGACACGGTCAAAAATCTGTGTTACATAACATTTGATCTAAGTTTTTATAAATGTTACTATTCCTAACTTGTCTTTGCACGATATTTTACCCCTCGCAATCCCATGCAGCTATCCCACGTAATTCTCCTTTTCCCATTCTAGTAGAAACGTATTACAGCTGGTTGCTTCATCCAGGCTGAGAGAAAATCCCTCAATTTCCTGCATCCGTATGAATCATTTGCCCTGCCTTTAGAAGGGTTTAATTTGGCTTTTAAGCAGCCGAGCAGAGGAGAAAATGTGTCGGGGTGAAATGCACTTTGTGGATGTGTGTCTGTGTTATGTTGTGTCAACTTGTGTGTGTGTATACCTGCGACTACATCTTGAGAGATGTTTCATTTAAGATCCGACAACTGAGCTGTCAGTGCAGGACCTGTCACTGTCACCTTCCACAAAGACCTGTGTGTGTGTGTGTGTGTGTGTGTGTGTGTGTGTGTGTGTGTGTGTGTGTGTGTGTGTGTGTGTGTGTGTGTGTGTGTGTGTGTGTGTGTGTGTGTGTGTGTGTGTGTGTGTGTGTGTGTTTACAAAATCCATTATCAGTGAACTCAGATATATTATAGCGTGTTTTGAAGGAACAGCTATCTCTCTGTCAGTAAGTATGCCTCATTTATTCCCCCTGGTTATCTCTTAGCGTACATAAGTGCACCGAGGCCAATTTCTTAGACGATTTGCTCTCAGACGCCTTCAAAGACAAGTTGTTAATGTGTCTGTCCTGAAACGGTGTCCATCCTGCAGTCATCCGTTCCTGTCATATATTCGATTTCACATTTACTGCTTCAAATCTTTTAACATCAAATAATCCGTTTTTGGCCAAGAAAACAATTGACTGATATGAGAAAACTTTGCAAAGTCATTGAGCTTTATTGCTTATTATGAAAGCTTCACTTACACACATGAACAATGGTTAAAACACCTGTTATTTATGATTACTTTTGTTGTAATTCTTCTTCATTTATTAATTGAAGTAATAATGCAACTTTTAGTGAATTGTGTTTTTTAGTTGCATCCAGTATTTGTTGATATATCAGTTTATTTGTAAGCGCCAATACATGGAGGCATTACTACAGTACATGTATCTAGGACCTCTAGCCAGGGCTAATTTGCAGTCCTTGTCCCTGATTTGGCTTTTAGGAAATAACACACATGATACAACAACACTGTGAAAGAGACAGCAGACATAGATAGACAATGACATAGATGCATAAAAACAAAGAGTAAAGCAGACATAGACAGGCAGATTGATGAGAGTAAGACTCAAGAACAATAACTGAAGTGACAACTATGAACAAACAAAAAGAAAAGAGAAGTAATGCTGTGCTACAAAATGCTACATTAACACTCACAATCCTCAGTTCTCTAGAAAGACTCATATTAGGGTTTTAAAGCAGCATTTATGTGACTCACTGGAACCTGATTTTCTTTAATAACCAAGCTTTACATGGATTTATTTCACCGCAGCGTTAGATTACCGGGGAATGGCTGAAAAAAATTGGATCACAATCTTGGCATTTTAAACATCAGTCAGAACATTTTGTTGGATTACATAAAAGCTGTCAGAGTATTTCCTGATGTAAGATCTGTTGAGCTCACATCTAAGCACATGTCCAAACCCTATTGGATACATTTAGTTGTGGTCTTTGTAAACTTTTTCATACAAGATAATCACATCAAGGTATGTAAGACATTCTCTCAACTTTTTGTTGAATGCAATAAAATTGTACATCCACTTATGATCATGTTATTGGATCCTGATGTTGGAAATTACACTTTGAACCAGCACTGTGGTTGGACAGAGTTGGAGAATACGTAAATAAGATATAACTAAATAGTTTCTTTTTATGCATTTTTGAGCTGCTGTATGTTTGATTATCTGACTGCTGTGGATAATCATCAGGTTTTCAGTCCGGCTCAGGGAGTTTAGAAAGCGAGTTAACATCAAAAGCGATCATTAAGCTTTGAGGTGACTGACTGAAAAAGAAGCCGTTTCTTTCAAGACCCGTCATTTGGCAGTAACACGGGGAGAATCATGTAGGAGGAAGAGACATCCATTTCTCCTCAGACAGTGACCTTTGCTTTTACACCGGGAGCTGTTGCTCTCTGCTCTCGTTGACACTATTTGCCGTCGCTCTCTTCACCTTTTTGTGCACTTACAACCAAAAGGAACTTTTCATATTAATTTTTCTCATTCCAACATCCATGACGGGGCCCAGTATAATGAACACATTTCACTATAATGCACCCCAGTAAACCACCACCACCATGACCTCACTTAATGTATATCCATAAAGTACAGTTATCACCTTTGTTACCATGTCAGGATCGTACAGGTGGTCATAATGTTACGGCTTGTTTGGTGTATATATTTATTGTTACATTGTGACAGTTTAGTTTAGTTTAGTTTATTTGCACATTATTTGAAAGAAGAGTCAAACAGAAAATTAAAACAAATATAAAATAAAACACATGTGCAGGTGAGGTAGAAACTCATGAGGGCTTATCTCAAAACCTCACCTTAAGAGATTAAACAAACTTACAGTAAAAATAACAAAGTAAGAATATTTACTATCACAAATAGAATTTGCCCCAATTGAAAATTACAAACAAACTTTGACTAGTCCACTCTTGTGATTTCACAGACAGAGAGATAGATTGATTATATTATCCCAAATGGGATATTGATATTTTCAGATTGGTTTAACTGGGAGTCAACTGGTAACATATGACATACCAGTATGTTGTATGTGTGTGTTAGATTTCTGCCAGGTGGAGCTGCGTCTGCTGGCTCACCTCTCCTGTGACCCTGAGCTCCTCCGCGTTTTCACCAACCCCCGGGCTGACGTCTTCGCCATGCTGGCCTCTCAGTGGTATGTCTTACAGGACACACACACACACACACACACACACACACACACACACACACATACACACACACACACACACACACACACACACACAGGTTCTCCCCTGATCTCCGCCAAGGTGAGTGTGGATCAGTGCTTTATAAGTAAGTCCTTGGATCCCGGAGCACAGAGGGAGTGCTGTTTCAGCGGGAGACCTAAAGGTCAAGGAATGCATCAGAAAGTGGCAGAGCCTCGGGGACAACGGAGCATTCACAATAATCGCATAAAATCAACCGGAGAGCAGCTCGTAGAATCAGCTGTTTATGGCGTGCTCCTCTCTCTGAGTGATATTCTGTCAATCTGCCAGTCTGCTCTGCTTCAGCACTTTGGACAGCGACACATTTACACACACTCATTTGGCCATTTTCTTAGTAAAATATTCATAGATCATCGCAGCATAAATTCCCACCTGTACAACACGAGGCTAACAAAAATGATTATCAAAAACCATTAAGACGCCAAAAGCTTTAAACCACTTGCATACACCTACATAAGTGTTGCGTACACTCCCCCACTTATTGGCCTGATGCATTTATAATTTATGATCAGTATCACACTCGTCACTCTTATCATTAATGATCAACACTAGACAGACACCTGTTCATTTGGCCAAAACAGCCCACAAAGCGGCCATCAATCCCTCGACCTTGACCAAATTACAGACAATAACATAAACTTAGCTCCCCTGACGCACACAAAACTCCGGCTTCAGGTGTCCCTAGATGACCTGACTGTTATCTGACCTCTCGCCCTTATTTAAAAAAAGAAGATTTAGAAATGCATATGAGCAGGAAAACAAAAGATTCCTCGGTGATTTAGATATAAAATAAAATAATTACAGAAAAGATAACTTTAAATATTACACAAATTTATTTAGAGATTCTAGTGGCAGAGGAGGAGGTGCTGGATCCAATCAAATAGGTGCCAGTCCTGGTCTCTGAGGTAGCGACAGGAATTTCTTTTTTTTACAAATGTTTAGACAAAAGAATCCACCGTTCATGACAGCCCCTTAAAATACCTTTTATCTCTGTCAATAAACGATTGGGAAATGATTTGTTTTTCACTTTTCTAACCAAAAGTCAGTCATTAAGGCAGAGTAACACTGAAATATTTCACAACCTCCATGGGTTGAATGCAGTGTGTCGCTGTTAGACTATATTATTGTGTTATAATGTTTTATCTCCGTCTTTCTTACTCCAAAAGAGTGTTAACACTCACTTATAGATGTGTTTAGTGGTTTCAGTTATTGTGTGTATCTGTGTGTATTTGTTCAACCTTTACTCCTGTAATTCATCTCAGTGCAGTCTGCGGCAGAGGGCAGTCAGTTAAACAGATTACCTGGTCCCACAGACCATGTTAACAACTCCACAGAGGCTCTACATTGCGTGCGTCTCTTTCACCTTTAAACAAATTAACTTGCGTCACAGCAGCTCTGCTGGGGTTAATACAAATGACTCTTTTTCTCTTTCTCTTTTTGAACCCTTGGATTCTTTCTCTTTAAAGTCTTCTGTTTCTTTCCTTTGAGCTTTTTTTTTCTGAGGATTTCTTCAAGTGGTTTTGGTCTTTTTTTTCTTGCCCTCTCTTTCCTTCCTCTGACAGTTCTCTCTCCCTTCTTATACCCATTCTACCCTTTTTTTTTTCCATCATGCTTTTACATTTTAATTTCACACTTTCTTCCTCCCACAATGTTCCAGACTTATTTTTTCTTTGCCTGTGTAGCTACGAAGTTGATTCCTTTTAACTTGGAGTATTATTCAGATTTTCTAAGTCTCGTTTTAATATACTTATAAGTTTGATTTTCTTTAAGCTGGTGTCAAGAATTAACAATCACCAGCAAGAAGGATTATATCTGGAAGGTAGAAGCTTTTCTTAGATCCAGAATGTGACGTAAAACAGGAGGCAGTGGATTGATGCCTGTCCAGCAGGGGGCAATAAAAACCCAGTGTGCATTTTATCCTTAGCCAGAGACAAAGTGGGAAGGTTGACCTCTGGGTCAACCACTGGAGGTTAGAAGTTACCTACCAACAAGTACCTGAACTCATCAGCAAAATATTTGTCAGTGTGTTTCTAAGAGAGAAAGTCAACAGCAAAGAGGAATTTGAAGCATAATTACTTCAAATTCCTTCATTCATTATCACAAGGCTGCAGACACCAAGATGTTTGACCTCATAAAACTCTGGAGTCTTTGAACACTGACCAGCAGTGGCAGCTCCCCGTCAGCCCCCTCCAGAAATGCCATGTTGCAGACTTGTCACCCCACCCAGCCTGATCCCCTGTACCACTGCTGTCTACAAGTCAAGTTACATAACTGTCTGTCTGTGTAGCCCTGCCTCTCTCCCCTTGTCTCTGCACTTTACTTAAGCACCGCTATCCTTCTGCACTTCATGTGACCTCCAGTCTGGCATTATTTCTTCCTTTTTTGATCTTTCATGTCCTAAAGTATTTCTTCTGCTGTCTTTTCTTTCTTCTCATTTTCCTGTCCATTTATTTGTCTGTACTTCTACTTCCTCTTTGCGCCACCAAACCACATCTCAAGTCTTTTCTTCTTCCACTACAACAATCAGTATAGTATGATTAATAAGTTAGTAAAAAATAATCAGACTTTTGTCATGATTGTGTCAATATAAAACCTTAACCTTCACCTGTTATGTTTATAGAGACAACAAGACTATGCAAGTAGTAGAGATAAGAGTCATTAGTGATTGAAACTGTAAAGAGGACAAAAAAAATGATTTAAATCTGTCAAATAAGTACTTTATTATATGCAATTTGAGCAAAATTAAGCTTTAATTATTTCAAAAATTCAGAGAGAACAATTAAACTTTAATTATTTCAAAAATTATACAATAAAATCTGCTGATAATTCTCAGGAGGACGGCCGGGGACATCAGGAACAAGACCCAACTTCTCCAAATTGAATTGCAACCTCTGATAAATACTGTGTGTGTGTTTGTTTTCATTTATCATCGCTATGCCCCTCTCAGCCTGTTTATGTCTGCTTGTCTCTCAGGAAGGGGGTGAGTGAGGGTGAGGTGACTTCTGAGGACCGGGAACATGCCAAACGTATCGTCTACTCTGTCGTGTACGGGGCAGGTGAGTTCAAATACACACACACACACACACACACACACACCTGTTTGTTCGTTTGTCGTTTAGCAATTGGATACGACTTTAAAAGTTGATTGTGTTAATGTTTTAATAATGAAATAAAATACCACAGAAAGAAAGAGGGGGGGGGGCAGTACCTTAAAAATGGGATTATTTCTCTCAGGAATTTAGGTTATTTAAACTCCAAAATGCCCTCAGATTGCTCCAGGGAGATCACTGTTTTCTGAGTTTACTTTCATCTTTTGGATCACATACCGGGGCGGAGGGGCAGGAGGGGATAAAAATAGAGGGAGTGGGAAAGATAAATGTTAATAACACTCCCGTGGCCCATAAAGAGACTTGTCTGTGTCACTTGTGACCCATTTTTGTATCGCACACACATGTGCATGCTCTCTTGAACATACACAGGCACTCACACATGCACACTCAGGACACCTGTGTGTGTGTGTGTGTGTGTGTGTGTGTGTGTGTGTGTGTGTGTGTGTGTGTGTGTGTGTGTGTGTGTGGACATGTTGTCGATATCTGGGCCAACCAATCATAAGCTCTGTATTAATGTGTGTATACAGACCTGAAAACGTGAGCATGTTTACGTTTGCATTGTGCGTTCACCTGTGTGATAGAGGCGTGTTTCGTTTTACAGGCCGCTTACACTCTTCATCAGGCTTTATTGCCTCTGGTCAATTTAAATGCTTTTGTAGAGCTACATTATTTTCCATAGGCTCACGTCATGCTCAGCGCCACCTTCTGCTTCACTGACAACATCCTGACTTCTAGTTTCACTGTTTCATCTTCACACCCCTGTAGCCTGGTTTAATTACAGTGTTGACGACTTCAGAGCCTGCTGTCAAAGCTACTATCTCACCACTCTACATCATCTGCTCCAAACACAGTTACTCACACATTATTAATTACACAGACCTGACTGCATGGCTTCTGCTCTAAATGAAGGTCTCATTATTTTCTATTTATCAAAAAAAAAACACACAGAATTGATCACTATAAATAACATCATGTTTTTTAGCAAATGTAAAAGACAAAGAGTTTCCACAATGTTTCCCTTGGATTCAGTTCATTTAGATATAGATTATTTAAATCGAACTAAACAATAATATTGATTTGATCTGAAGTCTGTGGCCTCAAGCTAAAATACAATAAAAACTCAATCTAAAGGGGAGCGCAGGAAGCCTAGTGGTTAGTGCGCCCCCATGTACAGAGGCTATAGTTCTCAAAGCAGACGGCCTGGGTTTGAATCTGACCTGTGGCTCCTTTCCCGCATGTCATCCACCACTCTCTCTTTCTCTCTCTTCCCAATTTCTGACCCTATCCACTGTCCTATCTCTACATAAAGACATAAAATAATTATGTACAGACAGTTATTAGCAGATCACAGACATGGGCAGAAACAAACAGGTGATACATGCTGAATAAATCAAAACAAACACAGTTAGGACAGACATGTAAGTAAATACAGTTATAGAACAATAACTGAAAGCTTTGCTATGAAACCATGTGTAAAAAAAACATTTGAACTTGTCTGCTACATTTTGAAAAACATATTCTGGGGCTTACTCACATGTGGACGCATGATTTGAGAAAGCATGAATTCTTGCACAAAATGTTTGGATGCAGATTATATAACTGATTGTATAATGGGATTATTTGTGGTTAACTGATTTGACATGAGGGAGTCACATTTAAGGACGGGGAAAGGCAACATGTGGCTACAGTAAGTCACACGTGTATTGATAAGCAAATCATTTTAGCAAAACTAACAAGATGGTACAAAAAACTCTTTTATGCAGCCACTCAGCATTGGGGAGTTAGATATTTTGGCTTCACTTTTGGGCCGTTTTACCGTCCATTGTTTAGCTCTTCATCTTTAAATTGTAATTAATGTGACACCCCCTTTGAAAAACTGCATCAACAAAATGACAATGACTTAACTGAGCCATCCTGTAAACTCACCTTATCTTAGAGTAGGCTGTTTATCTTAATCAGCACTATCATTACCAGCTGTTATTTACAGCCGGGTCGTACTGAAAACACAAAATTATAAACCTTCTTGGTCATATTGTCCCCTCAGGTGTTCCACTATATTCTTAGAGTTTGGCATTCACTGTATCACTTATCAGAAAAATAAGCTTCACTTGGTGAAACCAGCATAAACCTTGAGTAGAGGAGGACAAAAAACTGAAAGTCATGGAGATTTATTTTTCTTTCATTTCTCTAAGGTAAAAAGAAAACTCTTTTTATATAACATGCTGCTCCAGTGGATTTGTTACTCTGTGTTCTTTGACCCGAACACAACATATATTATTAAAACAGGACATTCACTGTTCTCCCTCCACAGAACATCACGATAAAAGAAGAAATTGTGTTATACCAATCAGCAGTGAACCTAAAGCGCATGGTTTGCATCAGAGTCTGCAGGGAACAGGGCCAGTAGCATTCTGTCACTGTGGATTCAGTATGTTTAGAGTGCATTCAAGAGGTCAACCAAATCTGACGCTCTCAGGCTCATCATGGAGCGCTCTGCAGAATTTCAACTCTAGAAGGAGTCATACAGCTCAGCGGGAGAGAAAACAAGCATTAGCACACAAACAACCATAAACGCACACTGATGAATGAGTCAGTTCTTGGGAAGTCAACAAACAGTAATAGCTAAATGTGTAAAAGCTATTCATTTGAGACTTGTAGGGCGGCACAGGATGCAGTTTAAAAAGCAGAAAGCCGGGGCTAAAAATACAGAGATGTAAAATACAGCGGAAGAGCTGAGGCAGATGTAGCAAATGTAGGCTAAAGGCAAGGAGGAAGAAGAAGAAGAAGAAGAAGAACGGGGGAGGTGTCGGAGGAGAGAGTAATGTAGGGGAAAGGGGAAGAGCGGAGAGGCGGGTTGGGTGAGAAAAGCAAGGGGGGGGGGGGGGGATGAGGAAGAGTATGGAAGGAGCTCCTGATCATCATGGACAGACAGCTCTCAGTGGACGGATGCGTTGCCATGGATGCCAAATACTGAAAGGAAGCTCTCCTGCAAGACATTAATCAGGGCAGGGAGGAGGGGCAAAGTGCTGTGGACTCCTGCACACACTCATACATAGAATATACATTCACAGACAGAGAAAATACATTTTCAGGGTTCCCACTCTCCCTGGAAAACAGTTGACAAATGTTCCAGTTCTGGAAAACCCCTGGAAAATGAGAGAAAAAGTCAAATGTCCTGGAAAACTATTCTAACACTCTCCGCCACACGTTAAGAAAAGTAGCTATTTGTTACATAATACACACGACGCAGATTAAGTCGAATTCTATAGATAATGTAATGGCTCTGCCTCCCCCTCGTGTCAAAAGCTAATATTTATTTACAGTTTAGTTGAGAGGATGGAGGTAGAGTTGTGTTTTCTCGTTGGTTTGAGGTCAGCACATTAACAGTAGTTAGAATGACATGCTAGCTTGCACTGAATCTCTCTCTCTAATCGGTCTTTCTTGCTAGCTGCTGTCTCAGTTCCAGATCTGTGTTCTGCTATGACTTTGTGCCTGACAAAAGTGATTGTGAAATACAATTATTTCATACGTTTAATAAATGCCAATTGGCTATGTTTATAAACTGCAGATTGGAAAAGATAACCGCGTCATGTGTGGAAAAAAACGTGTTCATATGCACAGTGAAAGATGAGTCAAACACGGGCCGAATACTGGATAATGGTCCTTTTACTTTGCTAGCATTGTCTCTTCAAATCTTCAATCTAATCCATTCATAACCTTTGTAGCGGTAGCTCACAGTGGGTGTGATTAGCCTTTTTAAAGACTTCACTTAATGTTGTTGTGGCACGATCACGGACTGTCATACCTGCTCGATCATTGTCAGGAAAAGTGAAAAGTCCTGGAAAATGATCTCTGGAAAAGCGTGGGAACCCTGATTTTTCACATTAACTAGTTAATTAGTTGACAGGTTTTGTCAACTTTAGACTTAAAAAAGCTTAAAAAAAACTTAAACTAGCTAATCAGCAGTCTTTTTGCAGCTGTAGACTATTTTTAAGTTGGAATATAAATCATGTTTTATTTTAGGGAACAGAATAAAAACTGGTGAGACAAAAAATTGGACAGCGGTCCAGAAGAGAGGCCAGGGAGTGTCGGTAGGAGTAGGTTAAAGGTCATTTAACTGACCTCATTCAGCAGGAATGTGGGGCTTCATACACTCATACACTTGACACATTCAGAGTGAGTGGACTACACATTAACTTCATGGTTACTTCAGTCACATCGCTGAAGGGCGCTTTGTTCCTGACATATTTCAGTGACAGACGTGTCAACTCGGATGAATTCAAACATCCTACACTCTGTCTGACTAGGGCTGACTTTCCAGAAATGAAGCACATGATGCTTACATAAAAAAATCTATTTTTTTCTCTGCTCTCGACTCTTTTTTTTTTTTTTTTTTTATTTTAACAAATGCTTATTAATTGGATTGACATTTCTGCCAAAAACAAAACTGTTGATTTCAATACTCTCGGGCATTTGTTCACAAACTTTTTTCACGCTAAGGGACACATAACTAAAACAAAAAGAACCTTCATTTATTACAGACAATGTATGAAACCCATGACCAAAAGAAGTAGTTTAAATGTCATTGGGGCATTTTTAACGTCTTGTAGTGAAACTAAAATGCTTGGCACCCCCTGTATTCCCCTCCAAGTACCGATGGTGGACCCCACTTTGAGATCCACTGCCCTGTGATGATGTTGTCCAAGTCCGTGTTTGGGAAATAGAGTGAAAACTGTTTTCACTTTATTGTCTTTTCGCCATGTTAACAGTTTTTAAGACTTAAAAATAATCTGCTTGGGATAATAATTAGTTTCTGATGATATTTTTACACCACATGTTGAAAAATGTCCTCCCTGAGTTAAACCTGTTTGTTCCAACTGAGCAAAATCAAATAAAATTCACGTTTAACCAAAAGGGGCAAAGGGAAGAATTCCCCCTTCAGCAGATAAAATGTAAGAGAAACACCTTGTTTATCTCTGCACATGCACCTTTTTGCACATTGAAGGTCGAACATACAGAAAAACATCATCATTAAGTGAAGGGAGAGTTGTTTTTGTATCTGTTGTATTGTGGTGGTGATTTTTTTTTTTTTATCTTTCCAGACACCACTGTCCCCCAGCTAACCCTCCGTCCACCTCTTTGGCCGTTTGGCATAACATTACTCATCACCAACAACACTTCAACACACACCCTTATAGCTGGAACCACAAAACACACAAAGAGCAACACACCAGCTGTGGCGCCCATTACCTCACCCTCTACACCTCCATCAATCTCTTCCTAACCTTAAAGCTCACTCCTCTACTCCTGCTACACACTGTACACCTTACACTTCGTTTGAAAGCACATACGCATACACACATTTAAGCTCTGTGCTCTTAGCTTCATCTTCATTTTACACACACACACACACACACACACACTTACCTTGCAGTCTTCCCCTGGTCGTTGCCCACTTTCCTTTTATCTTGTCCTCTTCTATCTTTCACCCTTCACTTGGCTCTACTTCTTTTTTTTCCTTAATTTCTTTTCCCCTCCGGTCCAGTCTGTCCTCTGTTCACTCTCCTCTTTTCTCTGTTGCCCTCGCCTCTCCTATCACTTTTCAAACACTTCAATCCATCATGATAAATGTTGTGTCGCCCCATTAAAATTCACTGCTTGTTCATTAGTCTCTCAAGGTTTTTGACAGTTTAGACCTCACCTATTTAGATCTTCACAGAACTTTGACATTGAATGGATAGTCCGACATTAAGGCTTCAATTTCAAGACTTAGTTATAAGATGAATACCTCTAGTCTTCTGTACAGTTGATGTGCAGCTACATCTGTAAGCAAGCTAGATAACCTTAACACAAGGACAAGGAGGAAAGCTAGACTGACATCCACCTTGAGCACTTCTTAAGATCACTAATTAACAATCTGTATCGCATTTGTTAAATCCAAAATACAGAAAACAAACTGAGGCATAATAATGGTACTTAAATCTATATTAGGGGGTGTTCAGTCTGGTCAGTCTACAATTCATTTAGCAGACGCTTTAATCCAAAGCAACGTACATCAGAGAGTTAGTACAACACTAATCCATTCATACACCGCCACGAAGCAGCAGGAGCAATGCAGGGTAGAATTGTAGAATTGAGAGTAGAATTGTAGAATTGTTCAGTCTGGAATGATTTGTAGAAGAGACAGTAACTCCCTCTGGAAGTCTCCCCGGCATGTCAAGCAGGGAGGAGACTCAGGGGTAGACCCAAAGCCTGCTGTGCCTAGAAGCACCTTGGAATTCACCCCCCCCCCCCCCCCTCAAAAGGAGCTGGAAAACATTGCTGTGGAGACGTCTGGGGCAACTTGCTTAACCTACAGCCAACACGACCCGGCCCCAGATAAGCGTGAAGATAATGGATAAACAGTGACTTCCTAGACTTTACCTCCCAGCAAAAATAATTTATGCGTTTCCCAACATGTCAAAACTATACCATAAAAAAACAATTGAACCCACCCCTAGTAAAATTGTTGAAAGTCCTCAGAATCAATTTGGTAGTTAAATCTAAAAGTATTCATTACCGTGACTGGCATGGATTATCAGATGTGTTCAGATCCCACACAATGTGAGTGTTTTTCACATGGAGTAACGATGTAATGACAATAGACAGGTAGCTGCCTTCACATTATAATCAATAAATAAAAGACAAAAAGACAATCAATAGATATGGCACATTACCTACAGTGTATTAGGGCTGCATGTTCCTGCCTCACAGCAAGAAAGTTCCTGGTTCCAATCCCGGTCGATTATACGGCCTGCTTTAAGATTGCATTCTTCAAAAAACGAGTTAATAAACAGTACTTTGTTTTCCTGCAGGTCGTGAGCGTCTATCAGGGATCCTCGGGGTGAGTGCTGAGCAGGCCACCAGATTCCAGGACAGCTTCCTCCAGACCTACAGAGAGGTCCAGACCTTCATCCAGAAGACCATCCAGCAGTGCCACAAACAAGGTCTGTGTGTGAATGACCCACTGTGTCTCCTGTATGAAGTGTCAACTCAAGATTATGTTGAGTCTTAAAGCTGCTAAAGGAGAAATAATGTTTCATACCATATAAGAGCTTTCCAAACTCATTCACAACATTTTTTATCAGTAAGATCATAGAGTCCATGGTTGCGATCACATGTTCAACACAGGTAAATGGGGTTTAATGTTGAGGATTTAAGAGGAGAAATCAGCAAAATGTCCTCACAAATACACCCGAAACGTTTGTGTATGTCTGGGTGAAGGTCTGCACTTTTGACATACACTACGGAGTTTGAATTTCCCATGCTTACACATACACACCCACGCTCTCTTGGAATGCCTGTTTGTGTTTGGCTGAGGAGGAAGATGTGCTTGCATTGGCAGGAATGAGACAAACTGCCGTGGGTCAATACACGAGGGGGGGATGGAGGGGTGTGGGTGTGTCGGGGCTGACGGTTCTTATGGGACAATCTATTTATATTCGTCCTGAACTGCCAACACAGCACACCTGAGACTTGAACATGCTCACACAGAATAGTGTAAAGTCTGCACTTTAACCGTCATTGCACACAGTTCATGAGCATAGCATTGACAAGCAGAGAGATGAGGTCAGTCCAAGACAAAACACTGAGGCCTGTGTGGGGGTTAAAACCCCAGCTATCTTATATCTATTCTGTGTGTACCGAGTCAACTAATGAGTTAAGTATGAACCAATTACAGCCAAATCAAATAAGTAGAAATCTTTGAGAAAGAGCCACTTGTGTGAGTGCTAAAAAAAATGCCACAACGTCGACTTTAGCTACTCTCTCAGGCTGTTTGTGCAAGGAAAACGATGTCCTCAGTGACTATATCTTGTAGAACAACCTTGTTTTCTCGTAAACATCAATAATTAGGTCAGGGCTAATCTCCTTTCATAGATTCAAAATAAAAAGCAGAGCCTGAACTCGGGTCAGGGATTTTAGAATCGGAAGTGATCTCGTTTCAAGTTAACTTTGCAGTCAGGGTAGTATTGACCGATCAGCAGGCTTTGGTGGAATCAAGAAAAACAGTCAGTATGGGGAGCAGAATTGGCAAAACTGATCTGGCTCGCATTGGCTGTAATGTGACATCAGTTATGTTATCTCTATAAACAGATATCTGCGTGCAAATGCAGCTAACAGTTCCTTCATGATCACGCATTTCAATTTGAGCATCTGCAATTTTTATTTCATCTTTATGTGGCATTGAGAAAATGTGTGGGCTTGTCCTCTTTCTCATGCTGTGTTTACGTTGCTGACATATCTGCAGGGGAGATTTTCACTTGAATTTTGAGCTTGCTAATTGGACTGTAAGCGGTGCAGAGCACAGAATCGGAAGTATCGGCTGTAAGAAGTTTGACCCCTAACCACTGGTTACCCTCTAAGGCTCCCTACATATGAATCACGGTGGGATGATAGCCGTGTCTGGGTTGGGGCAGATCATGTTTTTTATGCCACCTTTGTCCCAGGCACTGCCCCGCTGACACGCACAGAGGGGTGCTCCATCATCCACAGCAACCTATCACCCATGACACACCCCGACTCATTTCTCCCCTCCCTCTCTGGAGTCAGCTTCCTAATCGTAGTGCTGTCATGTACTTATTAACAGATCACCGTGGAAACTCCTCACTCTTAGCAGTACAGCGATGGTTGCGCCAAATAGTCTGCATTAATTCAGCTCATCACTATGGTGATCCTCCCGTTTGAGACAGTGCGGAGATGTATCTGCCTGGCTTGTGACACTGTCTCTTTGTCTTATTGTCCTTCAGTCGGTCTCTTTCTTTTTGTTTCTCTTCTGTCTCTGCTCTCTTGCTTTAAATATTCTCTTCCTTTTACTAGACACTTGTCTTTTCACATCTCCTTTCCTTTCTCTCTCCCTCATTCCATACCAGGAATTTAGCAGAAGGGTAAAATACTCCTGTGTAATCTGGAAAGAAATCGACAGTTTCTCACGAAGCTTCCTCTACACGGAGCTTGGAGATGATTGGTATCCGATACGGTGATATTGTGTTCAGAACTGCTGCATGCTGGCAGGCTGAGGCAGAGATGAGGTGAACTGTGCCGGCTCAGCTGCTGTCATATTTGTTGGAAATGTGTCGGGAAAGGGCAGAGTGAAGGTGAGGTCAGTATCACAGCGTGGGTGTTACAGCAGCGAGAGAAGAAAAGAGGCTGAGGAGTACAGAAATGTAGCAGTGAATACAACAAAGATGAGAGACCAAACAGGAGTATTTTCACTGTTTTCATTTCACATGCTGCAATAAATTAATTCTGTGAGTGGTTCACACTCTGTTTGACACTCGCCGTCTTTTATTTTGAAATGGAATAAAGCCACCACTCTGGGTGAGCCTGTCCTGTCGTGCACATTTCATCAAAGCTCTTGGGCTGGCTGCTGCACCTTCACTTGTAAAGACTGCCGCAGATAAAAGGAAAAGGAAAGAAGAAGGACTTTTTTTCTTTCTTTTTGGAGAAACAACAGGGGGAATCGCAGACTTGAAAAAGTGTCCGTGACTTCTAAAGGCCACAGCAAACACATGGAAGCCTGGATCTGCATCGATATATAAACCCCCTGCTGTGCTAGCACTCACACAGTCACACCCTGGCTCTCAAACACTGTCAGACTGTTCCTGCACGCACACACACACACACACACACACACGGAAACTCAACCTCAGACTCCTGCAGACAGAGGAGCTGGCAAAGGCCTGTCATGGATAAAAAGGAGATTTGCTGTTAGCTGTCGCTTCAGCCTCTTATGCTCTGTCATGGATAAAAGCACATGGCAGCACAAATGGCAGCAATACTCAGTGATGGGAGCAGCGGCAGTTCAAACACTTTGCTTAGACGCTATTGGTCTCTGGAATGTCACTTCAGTAACAATTTCAGATATTTATTTAAGACAAGATTTACTTGCAGGTGACGACTGCCAATCTTACATCATGGTCATTGAGATGTAGAACATATTTTAGTGTTACAACGGAACACTCTTTATTTTTCAATATCGGCAAAATCAGTACAACAACGACAAAAAAACATGTTCTTTATACGCTGCCCCTTGTGACCAAAGTACATTTTGTAAAAGGTAGCACCGTAATTTATGTTTAGGGCAGAATCATCTTGTTTTATTTTAAATTCATGACTAAAATTCGACAATATATATTTTTACATGATTCTTATATTTTCGAAAATGTACCACCAAATATTGTCTGTGTTAAAAAACTGTTCTTAATAAAGACTGATTGGAAAATAATCTTTCAGGGTCTCCAATACCAACATTTCTAATAACTGATGAAATCAATGAATTTGGTTAAACATAAGAAAACGAAACATTACCACCAAAATTTGATGAAGATACTATTGAATAGCTTCACATTCTTTGTTTCTATTTTGTAATATATCTATAGCGTCCAGCCTGAACTTAGAAAGCACTGGCTTTACAGTAGTGTTTCTGACCAGCCCATTGGCTAACAAAGTGCACATTCCTGTTGGAGTCAAGGTCATACCTGTCCATAAACGGACATAACGTTTGTCTGACACATAGTAGACCCCCAGTCTCTGTCATCGGGCCCCAGAACAAAGGTCACATTCCTGGTGGAAAGGTCACACGCATGTGTCATGGGTCGGAGGCAGAAGGTTTTTTTTGTGTGTTTCACTATCTGTTGTGCGCTCATTTCCTATTCATTTGTGACTGTGCGTGTGTGTGTGTGTTCTGGGAAGCGGGTCATTCAGGCTTCATGCCCTGCTCGGTTTTTTTCCTCACAGTAAGGGATACTAGAGGGATTTAGCTCCTAAGCCCGCTACATTGTGTGGCTGCTGGAATGTACTGGTCCACTGTGTGTGACTGTTTTTGACGATTTGTTTTTGTATGATGTGCGTATCCCGTCAATGAAATTCTGACGTGTCCTTTCATGTGCGTGCCTTTGCTTCAACTAAGAATTTCCCTCTGTTTCTCTTTGCTTTTGTTCTTGAGTCAGGTGGATTCCAGGGATGTGTTTTCCTGTTCCACTGCAAACCTGCGGTTACTATTACCAACAACAATGACATGTGACTTCTCTTCCCACTGTTCTCTTCAAATCACTCTGGATTTATCAGCGTGTGGTTATGGATGAATTACTCGACAGAAAGGACAGAGAGGGTTCAGAAAAAGATAATTGTTTCCTCCAAAAGACTTACGCTGGACTAAGTTACAGGACAAACCTGATTCATCCTCCAGGATTGGAAATTAGATTGTCTCAGCTTTAGATGAGCGTCCTCTTCATTGACATGCTGACGTTGGAACTGCACAAACTTTACACGTCTCCTTTCATATCCATCTCTTTACGGGTCTGTAATAGAGCCCGACCGAGAACAAAATGTGACTTTCTGTTTGGAAAACCTGGACGCATCACTCTCTGGGTTAAAGAGGAGACTGACTGCCCAGCTTGTTTTCAGTGCAGCTTTAAAGCCAGCATCAGTGATGGTCTGGGGGTCTATTAGTGCACATGGCATTGGGTAACATGCACATTTGTAAAGGCACCATTAATGCTGAACCATATATACAGCCTTTGGAGCAACATCTGCTGCCAAATAGATAACTTCCTGTTCAGGGAAAGCCTTGCTGATTTCATCAAGAGTGATAAAAGGTGATAAACTGGCCGTCGTGCAGTCCTGACGAGTCACCAATTTAAAATGTTTGGAGCTCTATGAAGCGTAAAATAAGACAAAGGAGACTCTGAACTGTTGCACAGCTGAAAATCCTACATCAAGCAAGAATGCTAAAAGTTTCCACTTTGGAAATTACAGAAACTGATCTCCTCAGGATGTTTGTTCATAGAAAAAGTGTTGTAACAATTTATAAAGATGACCTTGCCCCAACTATTTTGAACATGTTGCTGGTATCTAATTGGGCACATCATTTTTCCCAAAACCATTACATTTCTCAGTTTGAGCATCTCTCATGTTGTCTTGGTGCTATTTTCAATCGTATACGGTGTATCAATGTGTTGTAAATCATCATAGTCTATCTTTATTTACATCTTGTTGTTATTTCGTTGTTTGTTTAGGTTATGTGCTTTCCATCATGGGTCGGCGACGCACCCTCCCGAACATTAATTCTCCAGACTGGGGCATCCGCATGCAGGCTGAGAGGCAGGCCGTCAACTTTGTGGTCCAAGGTGAGATGACTGACAGTTATGGGTCAGCTTGTTCCCTGGTGACAGCATTATTTTACTTCTGATTATTGAGCAAAAGAAGGTGTTTATAGATAAAGTCAGTCATTGTATCTGTATTTACATTTAGCTTTAACTCTATTTAATCAAGTCAGCTTCACCACGTTAGCTTACTTATGTCTGGCTTTGTTGTCAGTTTGTCAGTGGATGTTTTCTGTTTTCTGGTATGCAACGATCTGAACAATGATTGATTCAGAGGCATGTTTTGTTTCGCATTGTAAAACCCTACAATGCTCTCAGCACTGCCAAGCATCCTTGAAGTGGCCCTAATCTGAGGAGAACGGTCTTTTACTGCCATGGTTAAGGTTTGAGTTTCCCTCGGGATCAATAAAGTACCTATCGATCTATCCTTAGCTATCCGTGTATAAAAGTGTCAAAGTTTTTAATGAAACTGACAAAATGTATTCTTTGTCTGAATCAGAGCCAAGCTGATGCTGGTCAGCACTATAATTGGTTGGCAGGGTGTAATAATTATATATTAATCCTTTCAATGAAGTAGCCTGCTAAGAACCTGTGCATAGCCATACCGAGGTAAAATCCTTGTAGAACAGATCTATTTTTATTTTGGTTTAAAAATGCAGTATATTGGTGACCGTATTGGTTATTTATAACATTTCCCTCCTATATAAACATCCTGTTAGCCTCAAAATGACTTTATCCCATAGCTTCTTCTGACTCACCTTCTCAACATGTTCAGGGTCAAACAGACGTGTGTGTGTGATGTGGTTTATTTGAGCACAGGTTCAGCTGCTGATCTCTGTAAGATGGCCATGATCCGGATCTTCAACCTGGTCTCCTCCTCCAGCTCGCTCTCTGCCAGGTACGTCCAACAAATACATCTCTCCTGACTGAAGATGCTCGTATTAGAAGCACAGGTGGTAGCTAACACACTGTTGTCATTCAGCCTATTTAACAACAAACTCACCGGCTCTTCTGAGTGTCTTGCACTCGGCCTTGATCCACATTTGCAAATCACAGCCAAGTGCTTTATTAATGAATCAAAACTCTGAATGAAGAGTCACTACTAGCCACAGTCATTTGAAGAGCAAGCGCTTGTAGGCAAGAGCATCAAAATAACAGAACTAGATTGGTATGATGGGAGAGCAGAGTGCTAAATACAGAGAGGACAGAGCTGAAGCCCTCATTGTAGTGTGTTTGTAAAGATCAGTTTGTTCATTAGCTGTAGTTGTAGTGGTAGCCTATTAGCTGTCGGTGTGTTTAATACTTCTAAATGTATTTGTAACTGTAGGCTGCTAGCCCAGCTGCACGATGAGCTTCTGTTTGAAGTGGAGGACTCCCAGGTGGAACAGTTTGCAGGTAAATGTTCTACTTTTTTCTTTTTTTAAAGGAAGAATGTGCAACATTTTACACGTTAATAAAGCAGAAATCAAGTATCTTATATACCTACTGAGCGTTTTAGCACCATGTATGCTATTTTAATGTGTTTTATATGTCTTTTATATTTAATGTTGACACTTAAGTGTAGCCTCTTTTCAAATCATCATGCCTGAATAACCTGAGGGAACATAAACCTCTTGAACCTGGAAGTCTGACTTAATTCTTTTACATAAAATGATCAAAATGTCTGTGGCAGAGTAAGAGACGTGGTCTTTTCTGTCCCACTCCTTTTGTCTGCAGCTCTGGTGAAGAGCGTCATGGAGTCCCTGCAGCACATAGACCAACATGGAGTACGTCTCAAGGTGATTTAACTGTGGATGGAACACTTCTTTGTTGCTATGGGACCCAGAATAATAGAGAGGGAACATGGCCCAACAAAATGACACATGAACTATTTGTAGGTCTGCTTTCAAAATCAAGTGTAACTGTTGAAAATCTCAGTAAAGTGAATAATATCAAGCAGAAACTTCAATGTTTGACTGGGAAAATTTATTTTTCATTTCATGGGGACTTTAAGCCTCCAGACAAACCGCTACAATGCGTAGCAGTGAGATCAGTCACGTCCCTGATTATGCATAACTTGTATCCTGCAGAAAATCACCTTTTTGTTTATACATCCATTGTTGTCGCCTGTTTTTGGTTAAACAATATACCTTAAGACAGTTTTTTTTAAAGAATCACAAATGTATGCCTGACTTTTTGTTTCATAAGAAACGGTCTGTATATGTCCTGATTTTCTTATGTGTGTGTTGCCCAGGTCCCCCTGAAGGTGGCGGTCTCCAGTGGCAAGTCTTGGGGATCCATGTCTGAGCTTAACATCCCTCCAACATCTCCCTCTCAGGCTTCCTGACTCATTCCCTCTTCCCTCGCTTCCTCTTTCCTCCATCTTTATCGAACACAATCTCCCTTTTCTGCTCCTAGCGTTCTCCCTCTGCTCTGTCAGTGTGCTCTCGTCTCTTTCCGTTCCATTTCTCTCGTCGCACAGTCTCTCTCGGTCTTGCTCTCCCTCATTCTTCACTCGTCCTGCATCCACATTGCTATGGAAACCAGGCAGTATCTGGGGGCAACGGCAGGAGCCACAGACTGGATCGCACCAGTTCTTTTTTTCTCTCTCTCTCTCTCTCTCTCCATCCCAGAAAAAAGACTCCCTTTCCTGCTCCTCTGCTTAGTTTTCACACTCTCCTGTTAAGACTGTCCTCTCTGCTTTATTGCCAAGGTGGAGCTTCATATTTCTCTGGTTGTTCATGTGTTTTTTAAAAAGGCAGATCGGTTGACCTACTGTATATACATGAAATATGCTGTTTTGTTTCATGCAGAAAATGTTCCTTTTTCATGCTTTGCCACATTAGCTTGAATTCGTCTGCGAGCTAACCTGTTGCAGGTTCCCACTTCATACACGTAATGACCTTTCCTTCAGGCAGTTTTTTTATGCTCAGTTGGCGCTAGTCCTTCATTTTCAAGTTTGCACGTTCTATCTGAGTGCATTTTTAAAGGCTGATGTACTGCATTATAACCTTGATTTTAACAAATGTTATGAATCCTGTTCCAGAGAGAAATTGCAGGAGAAATAAGAAATAAAATACTTCTAAATCAGGTCTGATTTGTTGATATTATATTTTGTAATGGCATAAAGCTATTATATTTTCAGTGACATTCTCTTTAATACAATTTATCTTTCCTACAAAGCAGATGATCTAATTTTGCTCAGCCCTTAACGTCCAGCCCCTTGCTCTCTGCAGCTCATCTTTTATTCGCTTACTCTGCTCCAGCCCACTCTCCTCTTTGTCTTGCTCATGCCCCTCTCTCTCTCTCTCTCTCTCTCTCTCTCTCTCTCTCTCTCTCTCTCACACACACACACACACACACACATACATTCCATGAATGCTGTTACACACACTTGAATATCAGTCCCCGGCTTCCAGGCACACTGACCGAGTTTCCTTGTCCCTGTCAGACACTTCTAGACTGTTTTTGCCCCTTTTGTTTTATCCTCCAATTAAGACCCTGAAGCAAAATGGGTCTAGTCAGTGACATTTTAGACAAAGACTAAACCCCCTTACCAACTGGGAACGTCAACCTGCTAATTATAGGAGCTGTTTCTTGTTAAGACAGCATGAAGGTGCCATGTGGGATATTGAGTGTATCCGCTGAACAGTTCTGTCTTGTCATGTTTTAACACTCCTCTAGATTTCTTTTTCCGCAGCCCTTCAGTTGCTGCCTGTTGAACCCGCTGACAGCGCCGTGAGCGCCGTGGTGTGAGAGCCGCTTTTCTCACCGGGTCAGTACGAGCATTTCAGAGCCAGAGCAATGGACAGTGTTATGGAAATCTCCCCCTCTATTATCTCATTGTTCAGCAGTTTAGGGGTGCACGGCCGTCCCCCCACCCCCCACCCCAACCCCTCTTTGAGAGGGGAGTGTGAGACTGGTATGTGAAAATTCTAGAGGGAACTCTGCACTTTTCGAGTAGTGTTTCAAAAATTGGCAATGTGGTAAAATAAATACTCGTAAAGCTGTTTTGAATTTTGAGCAAGTCAAAAGAATTTGTCAGAAAGTCAGGAGGAGTCCATCAAGATGAAAGTTCTACTACCACTTTGTGCTGTCCCTCTGTGAAAATCATCATGCTTGTGAGGGACAATTACGTCATTTCCATCAATCCACATTTCTGCAGAATTACCCAGAGTTCATAGCAGACATGGTGAAGGAAAAGGATGCGAGTTTTCTAGCCTCCCAATAAATAAACAAATGCTCGTATACTGAAGAAGTGGTCGATAGTTATAGTTATTTTTTTATGTAAACATTGCGAGAATGGACAGGGAGGGAACATAGCAAATAAGTGTATCTGTAAGTGAGAGCTCATTGGCTGGCTTATCACTGATGTAGCTATATGTAGCATGTTTGTTCAGTCTTGTTTTTTCCTGTCTAAGTCCCCATGAAGCAGAACTTTGTGAGAATCTAACTGGTGTTGTGATGTATTTCCACATCAACAGAATAGAACCAATCACGAGATAGGAGGCGGGACATTACGTGAGGATGTTTCTGACTGGATCGTTAGCTTTTTAATAGGGGGAAAAAAATGTAGTAAACGCCCCTGAGTGCAAGATAAGTGCTCCAAAGTAAGAGACAAATACCTTCTGGAGATCATCTTATTTTATCTTTAAAATGGGGCATCTTGTTTTCAGACAAACTGGGATTTCATGATCGTGTGTCCAATTACATCAATATTTATTTCTGTCTGTTTCATAAGCAGCTAAAAACTCCTCACAGGAGCTTTAACTGAGTTAAGCCTTCACTCTAATAACCTGTACCTCTTTGCAGGCGCCCATGCCCGAGGGTCCCTCTGAAGCCTCCAGTTGTCAAGGGCAACAGCATGAGCTTCCCTTTGCTGCCATGGTGACCACGGGATGTGTAAGTAGGCCCTGCAGCACACATCCTCACTGCTGACACTTGCATCGCTTCTAATCGAATATCTATCTGGATTTATTCCCACTGAGTGTCGTTCCCTCTTTTACTCTGTGATGAAAAACAAACTTTATACTGTTGCAACATATAAAAGCTTTATGCATCATCATTTTAATTGATACAGTATATGTACATCCATGTTTCAATCATCGTCATAATGCAGAGAAATGCCATCTTTACATCTATACAGTGTTCCAGTTGTTGTCAGTATAAAAGAAAGGGTTAATAATCACAATAATAATACCATATGGTAAAACAGCAGGCTTCCAAAGGAATGGCAGAAAGGGAACTGAAAGCTAATAGACCCCCGATTAAAACCAGGTTGTCACTGCAGGCTCACTGAGGTTGGGCAGAGCGGTTGTACCAACAGCTTCTACACCGGGACAAGCTTTGTCTTCTTCTTCTTCTCTCCTAATAAATCTTCTAAATCAATACATGAGAATGTTCTCTTTCAATAACCCAGGCACTATCTCACAGTGGCTCTACTAGACATACAAGAGGACTCATTTCTCATATTCCTAACCGTAGCACCGCCCCCCCCCCCCCCTACAAGTCCCCAACACCTGTTTTTCCAAATTCCCTCTGTTAGAATTTAACTCCCTCCTTCTTTAATCCATCCATCCATCTATCCCTCCTTCCATTCCTCTTCGAAGGCCGGCTGGTTGACCCGCCTGCCTCCCCACAGTGCGTCTGCATATCACTCCCCTGCTGTGCTTTGTGCGGGTCGGTTTCGTAGCAACATACAACTGCCATGACATGCCTCCAGGGCAGAGAGAGCCTCTCTTTGCGTGGCAGCAGCAGCAGCTTTGTGTTAACTAGATAGCTCCATCTAGAGCTGTGCTAGAGTGTGCTATGAGCTAACAGAGCTGCTGCTGCTGCGTTCGAGGCTCTCTCTGACATTGTGAGAGTTCAAGCAGACAGACGGGATAAGGGAGGCTGTGTCAGTGCCGGACACCAAGGCTAAGATGGCGCGCACTGTAGCTCCTGAAAGCAGCAGCTGTTAGTCGGTATGGGATTGTCATGAGGTAATCCAGATGAAGACACCTGCATTACTGTAGAATCTCTTTATTAGTGCTGTAAATATCTTTAAAATATATTCTTATATATTTTAAATCCAAAGTTTCTGTTACAAAAGGAGTAAAAATGACCCCCAGATTCTATTTACAGTAAAATATACTTTACAACTTTACAGTTCCTAACTTACAGATTCAAAAAAAAGACTTTGAATCTCCCTTGTAAGAAAAGTCAACACGGTTGAGAGTTGCGATTGTGGCAGCTGCAGCGTGTTTTTGATTTGATTAGTTTGTCGATCAGAGTGGTGGTTGTTGAGTTGCAGTGCATGTCTCAGTGGTGCAAGTTTACCAGGAGTCTTTGTGGTTTGATAAGAGACTAAACAGCAGATTTCACTTTCAGACTGAAGCTACGCCATCTTTTTCTTCCCCCCTGTCTGCTTGAACTGCTCACTTTTAGCCTCCATGATTCCCCCTCTTGTCTTTCCCCCCTGTTTCCTTTTGACATCTGTACAAATATGCAGAGGTACACCTGTGTACTTCAACTTTAAAAAATAAAAAAAAAACACACATCTTTGACACGTCTTTGTAAAGAAAAATACAAAAAAAACAAAAACAGAAACATTTTACAATCAAACACCCTTCAGGCTTGGATATTATGAGTTGTAATGCGTCACTGCCACTGTTAGGTACATTTTAAGGTATTTCAGATCAATGCAGCATTTCATGTTTTAGTCATATCATCGTTGATAGTGTGTCATGTTTTCGGGTATTTCTCTCTTTTGTATTTATTGCTTGATTGGATGGCACGTGGGGGAGGATTTTTGTTGAAGAATACCAAGTTAGTACAGGATTGTGTTGAAACAAAGCAGCCACATAAGGGACCAAAAACGCAGCAATTACCAGTACTGTCACCTTTGGCAAATATTCATCTCCAAAAATAGCTGTGGGTCGTAGTGCGAACATGGTGGATTGTATATCTGCCTATGATGCGTACAATCCATAATACAGGTGAAAGAGAAACTGGAATCCATTTTCTTCATAGGAAAGGTAAAAAAATCAAACTATCTGTACCGTAATAGCAAAACAAGACACAGTTGTGCTACAAGTGCTTTTGTGTTCTTGGCACCTGTGGCCTCAGTCCAGAGTGAGTCCTTCTGTATTTTTGCCACAGTGGAGCGAAGTCCTCACCAGAGGTAGAGAGAGAGAGAGGGAGTCCATGCTTTGGAGCTCTGTGGCCACAGACCTTCTCCCACCACACGCCCACACAACCCCCCCCCCAGCCCCCCAGCCCCCTGTTTAACTGCCAATGTGGCACATTCCTCCCTCACCCCTCGCCCTCCTCGTTAGGTGGAACATTCCAGACGATAGCCATCTTCTGAGACAAAAAAAAAATGAACTCCATCGGGTCGGTTAAATCCAGCAAAGAAGACAGGTTGCAGTAAAAAATAATACAATTACAATGTGTAGAGATACGGCTATTTACAATTACACAGAATGTCTAACATCTAATGCAGTGGTTTAGTCACTGAATGAAAGAACACAAAGCTGCTTTTCATCCTTTTTTTCCCCCCATCGTCATTCTTCTCATTCACAAAGTAAAACAAACAACCAGGAAAGATTTAAAACAGAAATCTTTCTAAGACCGTAAATGTTGGCAGTTTACATTCATGCCTGTGAGTGTTCCCCCCCCCCCCTGAGGACACACACCATCAGAGGAACACAACACATCCACAGGAGCTGTACATTTGTGCACTTTTAATGCGTCTTCACCAGTAGATAAACTGAATGAAATATTGATCGTGACAAATACTGCTTTGTTTTTTTTACCGTCTGGCTGGTTTAACCGCGAGAAATTCTTTGTTAAACTTTGAATCACTGCTGAAGTTGTAGCGTCGGCTTTCAGTCGCCTCAGCTCGGGCATCACATGATCATTTTTTTGGGTTGTAAAGCACTCATGACTTAAAAGAGCCTCCTCATCATTCGAGGCCTTTATGCAGCATACCTTCTCAATCCTCTCAACACACTCGCACTCAAACAAATCACAGAAAAGCAAATGAAAAAAAAAAGTTGTTTGTTTTTTTTCTTGGATTGTACATCAGCAAAACATTTCCGAGGAAAGGTTTGTAACTTCATTTACACACTCTGGTAGGAGTTGCATTCGGTTTGACGACTACATTCTAACATGAAGTTATGTGTTTTCAACGGGAGGTGAGAGTTTACAGGGCATAGCATCCACATGAAGTAGAAAAACAGACATTGCTCGGACTTGAAATAAATGCATTATAGTAAGTCAGTGCACTTCATCTTTACAATTCAAAATCCACCCTTTAGGTACCCAAAGCCATGCAGTCCACGCGATATGACAACTCCAGTGTTTGATTCCGGTGCATAAGGCCTTAGCGAAGGCGTAATGATATCGTTTGGCTAATGTTCTTGTATGGATACTTATTTCATCCCCCCCAAAAAAATTACCATGGAGTATTTAAAATTTCATCTGGCAATAAAACAAACATTTGCAGAAGCAGAAATGGCTCAGATTTGACAGACTTCACATGTTGTCATCAAACGCCAGACCACAGTTTATTTTACAATCCACCTCAGCAAAAGCCCACCTCTCACTCTAAACCTCCAGACCTCTCCCAGGTCTATTAAAGAGTCGTACAGGATGAGCTTAAACACACTGACGGCAATCACTGACACGAGTTATATAACTACTATAACTTCTATGACAAAATCTAAAGCCTCAGTGACGCTGACAGCATCATTGGAAACCGTGAGATCAGAAATAAGTGCAGATTTACAGGTTTACAGTCTGCTATGAAGTCTGATTCTGTCATCTATCTCCTGTCACCTGTTATCCTATAGTTTATTAGTTGTGTAATGTCAGCGTTTTCTGTTGCTCCAAAAACATCACAATGTGGTCCTCTTTTAACTCTACAGCAACAACCAAGTTCAAAGCAGACGCATCAAAGTGTTGTGAGGCATCCTCCACATGTCGGCCCGTTAGATGCATCCCGTGCAGTTTAGACTTTTTTGTATTTGTCCAATATTACTGTCTTTGTGTCTGCTTTTACTTTATTTGATGAATTAATCTTGATTTCATTAAAAGACAAAGAAACTGTCGATTGCTAAATCTCCTCTAGACATGGTTTGAACACATGGCCAGAAAAAAAAATGGGTTTAAGTAGAAGGTATGTCCCACTTCTTATATGCAGTCTGTGGTATCTACATCCTTAAATAAAAAATATATAGAGGGGAAAGTTTAATCCAAAGTTTGGTGCAAAGAAACAGGGATTTGTTGGCATGATTCTGACACTAGTTTGAGGAAACACTGATATCACCAGCATCGCCCTGAGCAAAGTCTGACCTTTTGACACTGACTCTATCCTGCTGCCTATGTATCCATTATCTGCATATAATAAACTTGACATTTATGAAATGAAAGATTACATACTTTTAGCAATATTTACTGCAGGGGAATACTTGTTCTCTTGTGCCAATATCAAATACCCATTAATGATCTTCCACAAGCGGTTTCTATAGAAGATCTCATACCCACTGTGACCAAAGAAGGAAACAAACTTTCTATCCACCAGTCAGTGATCAATCAGTCTGAATAGCATTCGCCTCTTTTAAAATTTAGCAAAACTCAGAATTGAAAAACAACTTATCCACAAGGGCTTGCTGCCTCCCAAAGATTAAGGAGCCCTCTTGTGTCTGGTACTAATTTCACACCCTTGTCTTTGACTCCAGAGGATAAAAATAATTTAAAAATGAAACAAACTGTTGTAAAATTACACGTCTATGGTTCCACTGTATGCCATGTGCTAGGAGTCTGTCCCCTAAAAGTTATATTTGCATTCAAAGACACATTTCATGCAAATGGTACAGTTGTTCTTTTTTTTTTCCATACAAAGAAAACACACATTTCTTTAATATGTTCATCTAAAAAAGAAGCTCAGTTTCTTTTTTATAATATATATATTTATATATTATATTTATAAATTGTTTTCTACACTTTTCCAGGGCAGGCACCGTACACACACCGGGTACAGAGGCATGCCACACTTGCATTGCTTTTTGCATTCTACAGTTGGTTGGCTGGCAGGCATGATGTCATCTAGGCAGAGAAACATATACAAACACAGTATTTCCTTCACTTCTTCTGTATCATCTGCTTACAAGCACACGTCATCAACCTAGCACCTGCCTGTCCCAGAGCTTTTGACACTGCCTTGATGACATCATAGTAGGGGCGGGACTTAGGGTTGGTCCAAAAAGCTTTAAATGGAATAATAAAAGCAGTGCAGCAAGGCTCTGTGGCGCATGCAGAGATGGGCTGGGGGAATGGGCGTGGCCTGGGAAAGGAGAGGTCAATGGTCAGTGGAGGGTGTGCAGGGTTCAAATGGAAGGTTTGGGGTCTAGCCCAGGGTTGCAGACAGATTCATGAGTGGGGGGTTGGGAGAGTTCAGGGGGAGGAAAGGGTGGCAAGGCAGAGAGGGGCCATTGCTATGATGATTACATTTGTATTCAACTTCTTTTTTTTTTTTTTTTTTATCTAATTTTTTTTATTATTTGATTTTTTTTTGCATTTCACTTTTTACAAACGATGACTCGTGACGACACAACTTAGGCTCAGAATGGTGAATGGCTGAATCTACTGCTGGTTGAATGGTACGAGGATAGAGATGGAGAGGAGTGTTATGGGAGAAACTTTAGTTCGCTACATGAGTTTTCAGCTGTATACACGATATAAATACATGTAGGAGGAACACTCATGCCAATACATTTGTTTAAATAATGAGTTGCTCTTTGTGCTCAGTTATGTACTGTAGGTTTGCAAGTATTGCTCATATGTTTTACCCAAATTGACCACCAATAACCTGGATTAAATATGTGTCATGTCGACTGTGGCTACTTTGTGTTGGCCATACTTTGGACAGTAAAATTTGCATATTACAATGGGGTAATTTGTTTTTACAAAATTACTAATTATCAGTCAAATAGTAAACACACGGAAAATTATAGAATTTATATTTCCTTGATCAGTAAACAAATATTTAGTACATATAGAAAGTAGTAATGTTTTGTCAGATAATACTTGACTCGTAGCAAGAAAAATGCGTATCTTTTCACGCAAAAATAAAAAAGGTTAGTTTTTCATCAAACACAGAAGCAGCATGGTCTTATGTTGGACCATGGCTTCAACACACACAAAAACAACACACTCTGAACAGTCACACACACACACACACACACACACACACACACACAAACACACACTCACACACAGACACAAGCTCTGACATGCAGCTATATTGTTTCTCGGGATCTGTCAGCGAGAAAGTTCCTCCCTCCAGTCACCTCAACCAATCAGAGACCCTCTCCTCAGCTTCAGAGAGCAGAAAGGCAGCAATAAACTGAGGATAGGAAACAATAGAATGGCAGGGAGAGATCCAATCAGATAATCAGTGAGGACGAAGAAAAGCAGGGTTATGAGAGAAGATGCACTGTGTTGATTCATATCCATCCAGGATGCAGGAAACACAGCACATATTCCGGTAACAATCCTGCCATCCTTCTCTCTCACTGTGGGGGTCAGTAACACACTCTCGCTGTGCTTCAATATGGTGTCTTGAGAGACTGGAAATCAGCCAAATTACTTGTTTTTCTTGTGAGTGTGCAGCCTAAATTGCACACAAAAGAAGCGATATTGTAGAAGTATTCTGAAAGAGAGTGTGTACCACAGGCTCCCTGAAAAGGTTTCGTGTGTTTTGATCTCAAGAAAGCCATATTTGCCCCTCCCAACCCATCCATTGCTCCGTCCACCCCCACTCAAAAAAGATGCAAATGTCTTCTTGCACATCTAAGCCCGTCTGTTGAATTTTTTTTTTTTGCTGTGGGGAAATCAGGGGAATGTGGGAGGGAGGGGTAAGGCTAGAAGTAATGGGGGAGGGGCATTGAAGGCATTGGGGAGTAATGAAGGGGAGTATTGATCAGGGACGTGGTCATGAAACTAAAGGGGCCTGGGAGGGTGCCTTGTCGGGGTGCTAGTTGGATGTGGTATATAAAAGCTGATTTTCTCACACAATGAAAAGGGAGGGGTAAAGGTACCAAAAAATAGCTTAAAAAACCGAGATAAAGAAACAAAGTCTCATTTAAAATGTAAAAGTATAATACAAAAACAACAGCAACAAAAGCATAATAGTAATGAAGACGTTAGTGACTTTAAATATGAAGTAGAAGTGTTAAGTACTCAAAGTTATCTCTAATGACACAAAATAAATAAAAGCTGTCAGAGGAGAGGAAGCGGTCGAGGCTCTCAGGTGACGGAGGGTCGTTGCTCTCTCTCTCTCTCTCTCGCTCTCTCTCTCTCTCTCTCTCTCTCTGTCCCTCTCTTTCATCATCTCCATCTCCCCCCTCTCCATCTCTCTCTCTCCCTCTCTCTGTCACCTATCACTCCTCACGGAGCTGCAGGCGGTAGCGGCTGTAGCGGATCTGGAAAAAGAGCCTCTCCAGCGGCGAGCGGCTCATCCCGGGAAGCCTGTAATCCTCGCTCTGGCCCGTTCGGCGGAAGCCCAGCGACTCGTACAGCTTGTGGGCGGCCAACTTGACGGCTGTCGTGCCCAGGACCACGGCGGCGTAGTTGTTGCGCAGGGCAAACTCGAGAACGCGACGACCCAGGGCCTTTGCGATGCCTTTGCCGCGGTAGTGGGAGTCCACTGACATGCGCCGCAACTCGACCGTGTTGTCGTCCTCGCGTCCTTTCGCCGCCACTATCCCCACCACGCGTCCGTCCAGCAACGCCACCCAGAAACAGGAGCCTGACGGAAACAACAGAGAACAAGTTTGAGTTGATTTGAAAGATTTACACTTATGAATAAACACAAACAGTTAAAAGATCTCCACCACTCATGTCTGTACGATGAATATGAAGCTGGAGCCAGCAGTCAGTTAACTTAGCTTAGCATAAAGACTAAAAGTAAGGGTGAACAGCTGGCCTGGCTCCATCCAACAGCAACAAAATGGTCCTACTCTGGCCTACAATTCTACAATTCACTTAGCAGATGCTTTTATCCAAAGCGACGTACATCAGAAAGTAAGTACAACACAAGCAAGGATCTAGAAAAAAGGGAACAATGTCAGTAAGAGCAAACGATCAGATTTGAGTCTGATTGGACACACAGGTGCTGACAGGAAGTGACCAGAGGCAAAGCACAACATTGAGGGCAGTTCTTGAGAGCTCTAATCAGTATAGAAACCATCTTATAAGTCGTCGTTATCAAACAAAAACAATCGTCACAACCATCATCATCATCAATAATATGGAGACCATCATCATTAAGTTCGTTGGTATTCATGAAAGAGCTGGGTCTTTAGCTTTTTCTTAAAGGTGCAGAGGCCTCAAACACTCAGTATTTCACACGTGCTTAATCTGTACACGATTCAAAGTAAATACAGCCAATCCGCTGCTGGTGGGAGCTACACACCTAACAAAACAGACGTGAGTGGTGTCAATCTTTTATTCTAACTGGATTAAAAAGTGAATAGATGTTCTTCCCCAAAAGTCTAATCATTTCTCCAACATACATTCCTTAAAGCATGTAATTTAGACGTTTAATCTCTAAACTGTTTTTTTAAAGACTCTCACATTGAGTTGCTCCAATATACTGTGAAGCCAAAGACCATATGTCACATTTCTATTCATATAATGAACCTTTGCTCATGGAGAGAAATCAATGCTCTAACATAATGTAGCCACATTATACAAGTGTTTACAGAACCTTAAATAAAAAACTTTGAATTTGAATAATTGTATGAATGAATCAGAAGGACAGGGGTGGTTGATGGGAGTGTTTTGGCTCCAGAAAGTCAAACCCAAATGAACGGCCTGTCTTTCCATTAGCAGCACGTTGCATCATGCCCTAATCGCTGAAACGCTCTGAGAGGAGGGGGAATAGAAGAAGAGAGGATGAATGAGGAGGGCAGGGACCAGCGTCTGACTGGAGCTTAATGGCATTAGCCACTCAGGGAGACACTGCTGATTAAAAGAGCAGGCATGACGGAGCGGTCACTCAGGGCTCACAGTGTAGTGGAGCAGAGACACTGATCTCATAGGACAGCAAAAGTTTAGGGGGAATTCGTCATAGATAATTTGGCAGTTGTCTGGTTTATAGGATTAAATTGAAGGGATTTTCTTTTTATTGTCAATATTTAAAAACTGGAGGGGAAAAAAAACTCAAACAGATACACGAGAAGACTAACACAAACAAACACCAATTCATTCAAAAATGTCAGCAGACAATGCTCCTCCACCTCAGCACCGCTTCAAGCTTTAATATCCCCACATTTTGACTATTCACGTTGACACTGACTGATTGTGCATGTAAATCACTCTCATTTCTCACCTTTTCTCACCAGCCATTGTGTCTGAGGTATGTCAAACTGAGCTACAGAAACATTCCTGTTTTAACTTGAAATACTACTGCATCACGAGCTGCAAGCATCATGAGCTTGAATATCTGTATCTCTGACATTTTGAGCTTCAGAGTAGTCCCCGCACAATGTGAGAAAAATATGTGAAGTGCGGAAACAAAGAAAATACTAAAGAGTGCACACAGACTATTACTCAGTTTCTGTTCCTCTGCAGTTCCTCATGATGCAACACATCCCTCCTGAATGAAAGAAAAGTTTTTCACATCTTAACGGCCACCTATTAATCTGTTGATTGAGGACAGCTAGCTTGAGCTCCATTTGACTTCATCAAAACGGCACGTCATTCAGATGTCATCATACCCAGACTTCCATCCAATGGATCAAATGTATCCATGTTGAGTGAGAAAACATTATTTATTTTTTGCTGCTATTATGATATGTTTATTCCTAATACCGCAATTAATCCCTCTGTTGTACATATTACCCACAATACTCATCATCGGAGTTCACGGATGATTAATCCTCCATTAAAAGCACACAGAATATTATCATGAGTAAATAATGCTGTGCTACATCATACTTCCTTTGAATCTGAGCCATGCCTTCTTTTAAAAGCATTAAGTGTGCACTTACTTCATTTCCTTGGCAATCATAATCTTTCAAGGAAAATGCCCGTCTCTGCTTCCTGTTTATTACGTAACTACGTTCAAAACCGCCTTCTTTCCATCAATGTGAGCAGTATTTACGACATGTGTTGGCAGTGGTTACATGGTTTTGTATTAAAATGCCATCTGTTTGTTATAGATCAAGTTAATCTGAATCTTCCGTGACTGACCTGCGGACAGTACAAACAAATCTGTGTCCGTCTGTCCAATACGTCTGAACCCTGATTCTTTTTGGTTTGTGCGTACTCTCTCTTTCCTAGTATCCTCTTTCCCTTTATTTCTGCCCTCACTATTACACAAACACACAGAAAACAGACGGTGCTATTAGCATCATGCACAGTGTGTTAGTAGGGATTTGATGCCCCTGCAGGTCGGAGTTAAACTGACCCGGAGGCTTCAGTTTCTGAATTAAACGTCTATCAGCATCATTGTGGGTTTGCAGCTGCAACAGGAAAGTCAAAGTTAAACAGGGGTACGTAATCACAGGGAGACTGCCCACAACCTTTTTGTCCATAAACTCTTAAGGGGGCTTAGTTTTTTAACTATATGTGACAAGATTTGTAGTGCTGCATCATCTTAAATGGAAAAAAACCTGATTCACAATTTGAGACTTTGTAGATTAAAACATCTGTGATTGACTGCTGACAAGTCCAGGGTATACCCCGCCTCTCGCCCAATGACGGCTGGGATTGGCTCCAGCCCCCCGCAACCCCCAATGGGAAAAAAGTGGAATAAATAATGGAGGGATACATTAAAAACTTTCTCGACGTTTTTCGAAGTTTGCAAACAAGAAGTGATCAGAAATCTTCATCTTGTTCACTTTCTCTGTCCAAACGTAGCTCAGACGATGACACAGTTTACTGACGTTGCATCTCTGCATACTAAAAGTCATTCACCCTTAAGAAAGGCAACCAAACAGTCTTTTGTTGATGCCATTTGGGAACCCCAAAGTGTGACACTAGAGACTTTATTTATGGGATTGTCTGTACACAGTTTGTAATTGGTTAAGTATCTGGCGGGTTTCACTAATGCTATGGAATGATGTTTATTACACACAGATGTCAGAGCTGCGGTGTCAACTCCTGTGGCTCTCTGCTTGCATTATAACGCCGGTGCGCGGCGTGGTGGAGGGCGGGGTTAGTCTTCCATAAAGCCCTTCTGACCATCTGTCTGAAATGAGCCTGTGCCAGGAATGAGGACAGAACAGGAAGGCACGCGAGCCAAATATACAAATCTGCCTATCACACTGTCTGTATTACTTAACACTGCTTCTCATTAACATTGTTGATACACATTGGACATTAAACACGGAGGGGGGGGGGGTGAGAATATATATCACATCTCTCTGACTGTGCTTTTCTTCTGAAAGCTGAGCTGGGTATATTAACCTCTACTCTTCCTGATATACCTCCAGGAACTTCACATCTGCTGCATATGGCACTTTAAACTACATGGATTACACCAGCTATCATTGTTTCTGCTGGGAACTGCACTTCCAGGAGATGAATGGATGGATAAAAAGAGGGACAAAGAACCGAAAAGATGGAGATAAAGTTGAGGAGTGGGCAGAATATTAGGCTCCAGAAGGCGGCCCCTGTGATCTGAAGATGCGCCGGACTCTGCAGATCTGCTACTGAAGCGACGGGTTTATCTTAAATTTCTTTGTTTTTAGTTTCTCTAAAACAGACACGGTAAAGCTTCTCTTTGGCACTGAGCTTGGGTTCTCTGGAATAAAGACTTGATTTCAAGTTCATTCCACACTACAACATGGCTCAATCATGGAGTCATGGTGCGCTCTGGTTGATCATGGAAGTCGGAAATTCTAAATGACTGGTCTGATACGTCTTCAGTAACGCCCCCCCTGAAGTTGGAATTCCGCCTCGAAAACTTTTGAGCAACTTCAGCTGTCCGTGTGTTGTTTCCTGCCTGGTACTAGCTAACAAAACAAAGGTACACCATGTTGCTTTTCCAACTTGCAACTGGAATGCGATGAACTCGGGTGTGATGTCATTCCCAGCTCCAAGTTCGCAGGTAAATGGAACGCACCATTTGTTAGCACTCACGTTTTGACCAGACTGAAATATAACTCAACAGTTCTGGGATGGATTGTGTTCATGTCTCCCAGAGGATTAATTTTGATGATTCCCTCAGAAACAGTTCGGCTAAGGCCCCCCCCCCCCACACTTTGGCCTGGGGCGGTTTGCTCAAAGCATTACCAGAATGGCTTTAGACTGTTGGTCTCGTCGAATTTCAGCTTTCTGGCATCATTACTCTTTTTGTGTGGCAGGCTGGAGGAATGAGGGCTCTGTTTAGCAAGTGAGAGTCAAACAGACCGAGTGATAGAGCAGATTTCCCTCTTTAGACGGCCAAGATGGTCCTCTGTCATAGATTGGGTGTGAAGAGTTTGGCAGGTTGTCACGAGAATAAATAACGGCTGGAGACATTATTGTGTCTGACAGTTTTTAGAGGAAAGAGGAAAACAGCCAAGTAGTCAGACATTTTATGTATTAAAAGAACTGCTGCAGGGTTTTAGGATGGTTTATAACGACGATCTTTCTCTGTTGTATCCGTCTGTCTACATATGTCTTCCCTCTTTCCTGTTGACGACTGTTGGTTAAAATCCAGGAGGGACACGCTGCTTAGTCCTGCATGTCACCACAAGGAGTGATTGGGGAGAGGAAATTGATCTCAGAAATACCATCCCCCTCCAAAAGAACCAAGACAAATATTTGCCCATTTGCTTTTGAGAAAAAGTCACAAATCCCCCCTGTTGCTTCATGAATGCATAGCTTTGCTGAAGAGCACGGCTTAATGCAGTGTTAAGAGGGTGCACAGATCATCTTTGAGTGTGAAACTAAAGCTGGAAAATCGTATAAATGAGCTCACTCACTCAGAAAAAGGAGTCATTGCGCGACAGGGAAAGAGGCAAAATGAAGAAGATCATTCATGTGTCCGCTGTGAAAGAAAAGGCGAGCAGAGGAAGAGGGAGGCGAGGCATCTGCGTTAACAGTAATAGTGATGAGCCTGAAAGGATCCATTATTGCTGTGAGGGCAAACGAACGGGGCGGAGGGGATGGGATGGGAGGGGGGGAGGAGGAGAAAATCCACCATTATTACAGAGGGGGGAGGGGGTCCTGAAGAATACAGATGAGATCTCAAGACGAGACATAAATCACACTAGAGAGTGAAGACCAGGAAGAGGAAGAGCTCTGCAAATCCTTCCTCGTGATTCTAAAACAAGCAAGAATCAGATTACTGTGTTCTTCACACCACGGATCACATTACCACTTTACAGAGATATTAATAAGCCTCCGTGCCCCGTGTGTTGAAAATACTAAATATGGCACCCATGCTCGGACACAGGGATCGTTTTTAGGCCTCTAAAAAGAAAGACGTTTTCCTTTAGATGGAACCAATGGAGTTAATTCAGTGTATAAGCGTTCAGTCTAGACGACGCCTCACAGTGCTGCACTGAGCACTCTGTGGGTGTAAGCCCTGACAGAAGCCTTTAAGTAGCTTGGCTCTGATATTAAAAAAATGTATTGTTTCAATGTGCTCTGATATCTTAAGAAGTAGCACGATTATTATTTTATAATTCCAGATGTGCTCGTGTCGTTTGCAAGGTGTTAAATGGAGAAAAGGCGTTGCTGCTAGTGTTCATCTTTCCACCTCAAATACATGTTGTGCAATATAAGACAGACATTTTGTTTGGGCTCAGGAAGAGCAAGTGTCCTATAGCAGCGTTTCTCAACTGGGGGGGTCGGGACCCAAAAGTGGGTTTACATGGGTCGCTAATTTGTGCCTGGAAAAAAATATAGTTTTAAAAAGTCTATGAAGCACTTTTTCAACATATTTGTTTAATTTTGTTCTGTCACATTTTGTACTTTCTGAGGTCCAAACTGCACGGTTTTTCATCGAACAAATCTTGATTGGTTGAAAAATATCGGAAATTGGAGTCGCGATTTTTCATGAATAATTTGGTGGTGGGTCCTGAGGCTGGACCAGTTGAAAGCCACTGACCTATAGGAACATGGTTGACTGCTTTTCTCTTACTTTTGAGCGTATAAACAGGCGGATGCACCAAGCCATGATCTGCAGCTGCCACAGAATCAGCAATTAAGTTTATTAATTATTTTTAATCACTCCCTTTTTGTATTTATAAAAAGTTATCTCTGGAAGCTTTACAAAGAGAGCAGGTCTGGAAGTTTAGCGAGACTCAACATAACCCGTTATGAGCCAGAACAGGGCAACATTTGGACACAGTGGCAAGGAGAAACGTTCTTTTAAGAGGCAGAAACCTCGAGCAGAACCAGACTTATGGATGGACTGCCATCTGCTGCGGCTGGACGAGACAAGAAGATGGTGCAGAAACAAACAGAGTGACACACCCTCTTCCTCAGGTCAGGGTGCATGCTGGGAGTATGGATTAGCCTGTCATGTATAACTCATGCCTCAGCACTTTCCTGCTCCGTCACGGGCAAATGAGGGGCGAGAGGGGAGGTGACGGTCAAACACAGGATGCTCTGTGCAGATGTGCTCACAAAGTCACAACCGTGCAGTTACAGAAAATGAAAAATTCATGTGTATCGAAGGCTGGGTTTAGAGTAGAGCCAACCTTTCGCATCAACTGGGCCGTTAAGTCAAAGTTAATATGCAGAGGGGATGCGAGCATTGACCCGTGTGTTGTTAAATTGAACTGTTTCGTTTACAGAGAACGACCCACACATCTGTGCATGTTGTTTGTTTGCAGGCGTGCAGGTACGAGCGCATATTTCACACACTTTATTTTGTGCACGCAGCTGTTCTCATGGCTGCTACTCTCTCTCTCTCCCCCCCCCCCGCTTCTCTCTCCAAGGGTGTAAAAGGCGTACATCTAACCCTACACACTGCACGTTTAGACTGTTTAGAGACCAAAAACAATTCATTTCAACTCTATAAAGCAATCAAGTTATAACCAGCCTCTCAAAAGGCGGGCTTAAAAAAAACTGTTGTGATCAAGACTTGTGATTGGTCACCAGAGAATAAAGATGGTTTGAACATGCACAACAATGCTGCTGACATTCAGTCTGCTCTTCACAGTGAGTGTCTTTGTTCAGTATTGATTCAAGCAGAAAGTGAAACAAAGGATGCAAATGTTCACGTTTTTTCAGCAGCACGTAGCAAAAGTAACAGACCGCCCGAGGTCTCTAGTTTCTCTTGACGCACAGACTCAGGGCAGTGATCTTCAGGTTTTGATGATGTATCAGAGACTAAATGAATCTGATCTTTAATTCTAACATTTTTCAGCAACTATATCAGCCATCTTGACAGCATTAAGTACAGCTCCTTGTGACTAAAAGGAAAAGTCTGACACTTTACTTCCTGGCAGGGAAATGTTAGAGAGAGCCAGGTTAGTGTGTTCCTCTGTTTCTGCTCTTTAAGCTAAGCTACGCTAACTAGCTGTTGGCTGCAGCTTCACATTTAGGGAGCACATACTGTATGTGAGGGTGGTTTCAATCTTCTCCTCACCAGAACAGAAAAAAAAACCTGATTAACCGTCAAGTCTGTAAAACATGAACATCAGAAGGGTTTCTGAGTTTAAAGCAAAGAGCTCATTTGTCTGTATCTGATAAATACATTTAATGAAAGTCAATACAAAGTGACATTAATGTACATGTTTCTATATTTATTTATTTTGTTTTATTTTATGTGTTTTCTCTGTTGTGTCTTGGGATATAAAGGTAAATATTTCATGTGATCCTGATTTCACTCAGTGTAACTAAGTTAAATGTTATGGTATTATTTTGGTTGATAAAAACTTGTAAGTATGACTGATGAAGGCAATAAAAATAATTATTAAAAAAAAAAAAAAGAAAGTCAATACAATAAATGTTACTTTACAAATTGTCGATTGAGGTTCTAATTATTTTTCAAGAGCTCGATTTAAGATTCATTTGAGTGTCGATAAACTGCAGCTATGAGACTCTAAATCTGTTTTATTACATTTGTTCTTCCTGCGTAAAGTTTTGCCAGGTTTCTCACTTTATGAAAATGTCTGCCAATTAAAACTCAACATTTTCTATGTTTTCTCCGCTCCTATAAGATGTTGGTGCCCCAGCTGGGAGGAAACAAGACTTCCCCGGTGCCAGGATGATGGATAACCCAGATGAGCCACTGCGGCGCCTCCCCTACACCTTCAGCGTGATGAGAAATAGAGACGAAGAGGAGAAGGAGCGATACAGGTGAGAGAGAGAGAGAGAGGGGAAGGAAACAGAGTGGCTCTAACAGCAACAGGAGGGAGGGAGAGAGGGAAGAAAGACGTTTTAATCGGAGGAGCTCAGCTGTGTTGTCACCCTGGAGATCCGTTTGTCTTTGTGCTCACCAGGAAGCTGTTTGTTTCTGGTTTGTTTTTTTTTTTGTTTTTTTTACACACACACACAAAAATGTATCTCACAGTATGAGGAGCAAACCCCCTCCCTCAGATGCCCCCGTTTCTCTCCAGCACTCTTATCACCTCACACAGTTTTCTCTTTCCCTCTCTGTCTGTCGTTCAGAGCTAAAATAAGCACAGCAGTTACCGGTGCAGAAAGCTAATCACACACACACACACACACACACACACACACACGCAGTTGTTATAATGCCCTCTGCATCGTGAGACCCTGCAGTGGTCATGACGCCTCATTAAACAGCCTGTGTTACGGCGTGGGTATCACTTCCCGCCAGGAGGATTTGGCTCATTGTCTAATGCTGCCCTCATTAAATTATATTCACTTTTTGAGCACTAAGCGGCTTTAGATTGACCTGTAGTGGTGGAGCGAGGAGCGCGTGGAGAGCGTGGAGGAGAAGGGAAACCTTCCTCTGCCTGTATCTGCTTTCCTCTTTCAAGTCAAGTTTCTCAATATTTGCCTTTTTTCTTTCTCTCATTGGAGGATGAAGCGATGGCGTGTATTAGAAGTGGTCACTTAGACCGTCTTTTCTTACAAGACGAGAGCGTTTCTTGACAAAGGTGCTGACAGGGGGAAAAGTGCAACAACATAGCACCATAAGTAATCACTTCTCGAGGTGTTTGTGTTTGTTAATGTTTGGAGATTGTTTTTAACAGAGGTGTTTAAAAAAGCCTTTTGAATGCCTATGTGCTGTTCTTCATGTTTGACACAATAGCTGTTGCATCCTTCTTGATTTAAAAAAAAAAAATCACAGCTAGGGCGCTGAAGGCCTAGCAACCTCGGCACTTTGCTGCATGTCATCCCCCCCCCCCCACACTCTCTCCCCTCCTAACATTTCCTGTCTCTCGTCAGCTGTCCTAACTATAAAGGCAAAAAGTCCAGAAAAACAACTCAAAAAATATATATATAATTCACAGCTAAATCTGCACCAAAATAATCTGAGGGTAGCTGATAGCCAGCTAGAGCTTCATCCTCCTCAACTTCTTTGTCTTATCCATTGTGATAGATTCAGACTTTTGCGATGTGTGTGTTTTGCTCATATTGGGATAACGAGGAAATTGAGATTTATTGTGCATCCCCAGTTTAATTAAATCAAAGTAAACTCAGAGTTATTTGTTATTAAAAGAAAAACGAGCCAAACATAATATATTTTACATAAACACAAATCAGTACGCCGTGAAGCTGCCACTTATCAAAACATTTTGTGTTGCATTGTCTAGATTTGATATGTCTTCACATTCGAGACGATGGTTTTATCCAAATTGTGTCGATTTCATTTTATTCACTCAGTCAGCCTCAGTCTGAATCCTGCAGCTGATTGAAAATATCATGGAAATGTTTGTAGTTTTTTGGGAGTTACTCAGCGGTTGTTTTATTAAAATGAAGTCAAAGTTTGATGCTTGGAGGAACTATCATTGTGTTTATGGTTTAGATCAGCTGACTGCACTCTTTAGAGCAACAACACGTGATGAATCATATTTCATCTGTGAGGAAAGATATTCAATTAGACGAGAGTCTCATGTCTTCATCTGCAGTATCTCTCTGCACTGTATTTCTTCACACATTATCGGTGGATGTATTGATCGCCAGATTGACTCATTATTGGTTTATCGATTCCACTGAAGGACAGAGGGAGAGAGAGAGAGAGAGAGAGAGAGATGGTGGAGAGGAGGAGGAGTCCCAAGTGCACAAAGAGATTGGTGATAGCAGATGTTGTATTTCCTTAACATCCGTTTGAGTTTGTCAAAGCTCAAACTGAGCTGCTGAATTTGAATAATGGATTTTAAGTAATTAAAGGTGTGCAGACTTCTTCTGTTAGCCTTTTTTAAACACACCCTGATTACTGAAATCAGACTGAGAAGATTAAGATTCAAGTCAAAACGATCAACATTTGATTTAATATCAATCAATGAATATGTAAAACTGTTGATGTTTAAATACGCTTTGATTAGGAAACTCACTTACAACCAATCATATTTATTCTCCTACTGTTTCTTCACTTTGCTTTACGACCTCTCTGACTGCACACACACACACACACACACACACTTTATTATGTAGTAAATGAAAGAGGTGACAGCTGGCCTTTAGAGACAGCAGAGTGAGTGATCACAGCACACACACACACACGCAGCAGATAAGAGTATTGATTGGTGTAGTTGTTTCATGCGTACAGGAACATGTGGCTCCGGCTAGCTTTCATCTTTTACCCCAACAGACTTTAATAAATTCTGATTACGCTTTCATTTTCTAAAAAGATTACTTAAGGAAGTCTTAAAGTGTTTCCTTTTTTAATCTCCCCCCTCCCTTACTTTCCTTCTCTCTTCCTCTGGATTTAAAGATGTGATTCTCATTTGAGTTGATCTATTGCTGAGCTGAAGAGAGACAATATTTAAATTATGTGATTCCATCCTCACCAAGATATTTCAGCTCGTGGACACCGATTGAAAATTATGTTTTTGGGCTCATAAAGACGAAGAAGCAGCAGTTCTATGCACACCCCACCCTCACACCTTTAATGGACATTACTAGTCCTGATTGTGGTGCTTACGTTTACTTTGAATACAAGTCCATGTCAAGCTGATGTTCCAACCGTTAGCCTTCCCATTATCCCTCATGAACACTGTGTTATCAGATATTGTGCCTCAAATGACCGTCTCCACACTACCTCTGCTAAAGAGTTAAGATAGCTGCTTATAGCCTGGGAAGCTTATTGCAAGCCCCACCCACCCACCCCCACACACACACACACACACACACACACACACACACACACAGACAGATTTCCATCCAGTCATATTCGTCCGGCCACTCACAATTCTTCATCTAAACATCAAAGAGAGTCGCTGCTAACGAGTACGCTATTGCTTCACTTTCAACCAGACTGAAAGTTCAATGTTTCATTCAAACGGTGAGTTTTGCCTCCTAAATCTTGTCATTTCAACCAAATATTTATTTTGTGAAACTAGCTAGTGAGCATAGCTACCTCCCCTCAACATCACTGACAAAGTAAGGCACAACCGCTGGAGTTTTGAATAAAACAACAATGCTCAGCAACAATAAATAATTTAAAATTTAAACAAATATTGATTACTTGTTTTTGATTAGAATTAAGAGTTTAGTAAATGTTTATTAGTTTAATTATGTAAATAGAAAAACCACCGCGCAACTGACATCAACATCAGATTTAACTGTTGCTAAATCTGTATTGGATTTGTGACATCACATTTTTTCCACTAAGCCCCGCCCACTTGAATTAGTCACAAAGAGCACAGACAAAAAAAAAACAAAGTTTTCTAATAAATGACTAAAACTGATCTAACTTTGGTTTAAAAAAAAAAGCAAACAGTGTTTATAGGATGTGTTTGCAGAACGGCATCACTCATTTTTAAGACGCTGACGGGATGAACACGTTTTCGGCGCCTTTCAGTGACATCATCCTCTGCTGTGATCCACGTCACACTGTGAACATGATCACACACTCCTAACTGTCATGACATCCTGTGTATACAACACACACACAGAGACATGAAACATCGCAACAAACGACAGAGACATATGTGGTGCCCCTCTATCTGGACTGCACGTTGGTACCCAGGTGTTGCCCCCCCCCCCCCCCCCCCACCCCCAGGGCAGCCCCCCCTCCGGGCCCATTCAGTTTGCATGGATATAATCATTAGCATTGTCCTGGGGCAGCGGTGCCTGACCCCCTCTAAACCATCGCAGCCCTGCGGCAATAATGGGAATGCTAAATTGCAACTGTGTGTGCAGTGGATTACCAGGCCAGAGGGCACAATGTCAGAAAGAAAGAGACAATGGGGGGGCAATTTACTGGCTTAACTAACACCTGCTTTTTATACCAGCCGGGAGGTGCAGGTTAACTGGGGATAAAAGGGTGCAAGAAATTACAGTGCAGCAGGAATGTGTGCAAAAATGTGGCATTTTTGTGCTCCATCTCAGCACTCGCCTCTTCAAGAGAATAAATAGTTTGACGTGACACTACAGGCCGATTGATTTTGTCCAATTAGAAGCTTAAGCCGAGGAAATGAGCCTTGCCGACAGCGAGTTTACTGCAGAAAGTGTATCAGCAGTTTTCTTCTCCTTTCATGCAATCGATAGCCCTGTGATGCAATGCCTTCCCCATCCCTCCCTCTCCTCCCTTCTTTCCTGAGACCAAGAGATGCTGCTCAGAGAGGAAGCAAGTGTGGGGGGAAGGAGACGTAGAGGAGGGTGGAGGAAAAGGAAAGCGGAGAGACAAGCTGCATATTTGATGAATTGCCTGAAGACGCTCTAGAGCTGGCTAGTTGTACACTTTCTCTCCCCTTTCATGTCGCTTTTCAAGGCTTTTGTTGCGCTAATTGCTTTAAGTGTGTAGTGAGATTTTTCAAGCCACATCCTTTTTTTTTTAAACGTATTTAACTGAAATCAAAAGTAGTGGCCGAGCATTGCCTGCAGACAAACAAGACAACAGATATTGTTCTAATTAGAGACACTACAGTGAAAACAACATCCCTCCCTCTTCTTACCTGTGGGTGTCATGTAATAGGCCTCTATGTCAGCCATGTCCGTGTTCAGAGCACAGTCCAGATAACTCTGGATAACCGTCCTGCTGTAGTAGTAGCGCGCGCCCACCAGAAACAGAGGCGCACAGCAGGTCAGCGTGACGGATTTGGTCACGTAAAAGCACATTACTATGGAGAAATGGAAGAAAAATAAACGACACCTGTCAGAAGAGAGAATCACATGTTTGATTTTTGGCAGACATTGACCCCAAACAGACACAAGTGAAACAATTGCACCAATTTAGTGAAAATGTTACATTTCATCAAGGGGAGATCAGTATGAGTTTCACACTTGGCAGTAAAGTTACATCATCAGACTGTGAAGTAAGACACACAGAAGCTGCAGGGAGAAACATTTCAGTGTACAGCTTTGGGTTGTGCATGTTGGAAGTGAACTCATTGAAACCAGTACTGGAGTAATTAGTCGAATGTGACGCTGGGGGGCGCAAATGGGGGACACAAACAGGCAAGGCTTTAGGGATGCTGCATAGCATGTTGTTGCGTGGCATGCAATAACCAGGAGTCAGTTTAGACAGAATGATTTCAGTCATCTCCATCGATGAGACGCATACAGACGACAGTGAGGATAAAATCTTCTTGTGGGATTTTAAGGGCATGACTGTCATGTTTTGAGAACTTTCCGAGTATAATAAACGTAAAATGCTCATTTAGTCACGCAGAAACTTTTAGCTCTGAAGTACATAAAGGTTTGTATGACGTGAACTTGGCGTCGAGGCTTCGATCTGCGCCGCCAAACATCAACAAAAGCCAAACGAGCTCGGTGCATAAGTGGCGCATAAACTGCTGTGCAGAGGCGAGGGAAAGGTGGGGGGAGAGAGAGAGATTGTGTGTTGGGTTGTGTGCGGGGGATTTTTTTTTTTTTTTTTTTTTTTATCTAGTACGTGCGCGCACCCTGTGGGCAATTCCTCATATTCATTCACTCATTCATTCACGACACACCGGCATGTCATCACTTCAGCAGCAGGCCCCGCCGGTTCTACACGTGCACCATGCGCCCGGCCATGCCTTTTGTTGCATGATGAGCAACATGCCGGTAAGTGCCGGCGGAGAGGAGCTCAGTGTGCCGCTGCAGAGTCATTCAACCCGGCTGTTAGACGGAGAGTGCAGGGGAGACGTTTGAATCGTGTGGGATTTTAGACAAGTACCTCAAATGAAATCACATGAGTAGGCAAACATCAAGGGGAAAGCAGAATCTGAAAGTGATACCTCCTTCATGCATTATTAATGAAAGGCATTACGCAGAAGTTTTCTACAGCATTAAAAGTGGCTCTGAGGCCAAGATGATGTTGTGTAATGATGGTACCTACCTGTCAGAAGAGCATATAAAAACTGAGTCTTGGGCTGCTGTCTGAGCCCCCTGAACGCAGTGTTGGGTATCCTCTCCATAATGCCCTCGTAAAAAATGCGCCGCACCTCCTCCTGGTCCCCGCGCTCGAACTCGCGGATAAACACCGCGTCTTTCCCCACATCCCGGGCCTCGGCCGCGTTCACAGCCGCGCTGGACGGAGGGGAGCTCCACATGATCGACTCTTTTTTGGTCCCAGGTATAGCGTCGTGCTCGTCCGCAACAATTTTAGTCTCGCAAACCATTTTGGGAGACGAACAATGCATGCACCTGGCCGCGGAAAAAACAACCACAGTTCGGAAGAAGAAAAAAAAAACGGGGGGGGGGGGGGGAGGAAGAATGGAAGTGAAAAAATGGATGATGCGTGAGGTTTTTGTTTTAAAAACAGAGAAACGATGGAAGGGGAGGAGACGAAGGGGGATGTTCTGCTGCAACCCTGAGCGTTTCTGACGACCAAGACTTGCCGGCGTGATTGGAGCGGTATTTATAAACGCGCGGGGCGGGTAGATTCAGGTTCAGGGGTTGGGGTGGTCCTCCCGCTGCACAGATTGGTGGAGGCGCTGCGCCGTTAAACGCTGATGGATGGACGTGGGGGGGGGGTGGGGGGGGAGGAGGGAGAGAGACAGACTTAGGTCCTCTCTCTGCATCTCATCAGGCTTGTGCGTGTGTGTGTGTGTGTGTGTGTGTGCGCCGGAGACGTGTGTATTTCTTGATTATCATGTGGACCCATGAGGAGGGGGGTGTGATGGTGAGATTGCGTAGCGAGGTTGTTTCTGGAAGGTTTTTTTTTTCTTCTTCTTCTTTCATTATGTCTTTGAATGAGGAGGATCCCCGGTTTTGTTGAGATACCTTGGCTGTAAAGGACGCGATATGCAGCACTAGAGCGCAAAGGTAAAGCGGGGGCGATGCGTCAAAACAAGAGGAAATCCCTTATGCAGTAACAGGGCGATCTTAAAGAGAAACACCGGCGATTGAATGAATGTAAATTATCGAAGTTGTTTCGCACTTGGCTTGATTCGAGGTGTTGCTTTGGTGACTGTCAGAGTCTCCTGAATGCGTCATATCGGCGAATTTATTTCTGTTGCGCATTTGAAAAGGCCGGACCGAGAATGTGTTGCTGAACAGAAAAGATCCACACACACACACACACACACACACACACACCCTGTCTACATTTCGCTGTTAAATTGGACACTATGAACGCCTCATATCCGGCTGATATTCGCCCTCCTGTGTGCGCACTGGCTGCAGGCTGGCAGTGGGCTGAGTGCAGCCTCCTCCTGTCTGCTGACTGACAGCTCTGCTGCACTGCAGTGATTCCTCCACGGCTTTCCCCCTCCGCTGCTCCTGCCATCTATCACTCCTGTAAAACACGGTGATATTATCTCTTTTTCTGAAATCCCCCTGAATCCCTCACATTAACTCAGGCTGTCGGCGACTTGCACCGTGCACCAAGCGGCGACGCTGCGACGATAACGCCGGCTTTACGCACGACGTGTGATGGGGATGCTGGTGGTGGACCAGTCTCTTTGTTGTCCCACGACACTCCCTATGATTAACAGAGACTATTATTATAGAGTTAAAAAAGTATATGGACCGACGTGCTGTCATGTCATATGTGAAAGCTTCATGATTTATGTCCATATAATGTATTACATGTTCATAAAAAAGACTTTACAGCACAGTCATAGCGCCCCAATATCTCCACTGAAATGATGGTGTAAAGTTTTCCTTCTGCTTTCAGGGAAAAGAGCTTTTGGCTGCAACTCTGAAAATGTCTTAAATCTCGGTGTCATCGTCGAATACGTTTAGCAGAACTAGTTTGAACTGGATCATCAGAGGCAACCTGCTATTGATAAGGCTGCATCCACCCCCCTCCTCCTCCTTAAGCTATCTCCCTCCCCCTCCTCCCACGAAAGAGCCGCCGGTGGGAGGAGGAGGAGGAGGAGGAGGAGGTGGTGGTGGTAGGGGAGGAGGGTGGCAGGCAGATAACCTGCAGAGTCAAAAAAAAAAAAAAAATGTCCTCACACACTCTGCTCAGCTACATAGAAACTGCGGTGGAGAGATTGTTGTCCGCGCATCACCCGCTGCTGCTCTGCTGCGGTTCTCACCATGCCGACCGGGCGGAGGATGCTCTGAGCATGCGCGGTGTCGTCTCCTGGCGGACTCCAGGCATTGCTGCTTTCAAGTGCTGTCGGTTATGTGGCATCAAATCGCAATCGAGTTGTAACAAAAATTATAATAATTTCATACTTGTAAATTTAAAGCTCTATTAAGCAATATTTTAAAAACAAACACAAACAATAAACTGTTAAAATCTGACAATACTATAATGTAAATGTTTTTAACCGCAGTAGTAGGACTGCACAACTTTTTTTTTTTTTTTTTTTTAAATAATACAAACTCCAAAGAATCATTAATTATATTGGCTGCTTTCTATTTGCTCGAACATTTCCAGATAATCTCAAAAGGCCCGTTTTCATTTTTTACAAATAGATGGTTATTTGGGGCTCTGGTTAGGGCGCTTGGCTCATGCACCCCATGTACACAGCGTTGTAGTCCCTGAAGGGGGCGGCCTGGATCTGACTCCTCACTCTCCACTCTTACTCTTTAGTTTTCTTCTCCATCCACTTTCCTCTCTCCCAATATAAGGGCATTAAAAACACACAAAATATTTAAAGATCCAACACAAACAGAAGGCGTCTGTGGAGATGGATAGATATGAATGAGAATCTTAAACAGGTCCTAGTGTGGCTGAAGAACTTTGAACTGTGTACTGATTATACAAAGCAAACTGCAAAGAAAGATAAACAACAACAAATAAATATGAACAACCACAAAGAAAGCTGAAGTCACTTTGCTGGTGTTTTTTTCACTTTCTCTCTTTTTCTGAAAGTTTACAAACCAATCAATTGCAAACAGAATCTTCAGATATATTCATTATGAAAATAAGCATTTGTCTCCGTCCTGTATCTCAACCAGCTAAAGCAGCTTAACTCTGCTTTAACACGTTATTATAATATTTAAATTAGTCACAAAGACAGATTCTGCATATACTCATTTTAATACTCAATAAAACTTGCATATTCTTATTTCCGTGCTGAAGTTTTACTTCTAATGAAATATTTTGATTATGAATATCTTTTCCATCTCTCCCTACAAAGTACAGACCCGTTAAAAATCAGCGCACACCCAGACCCACATATTGTTCCAGTAGTCTTCACTGTGACCTTTGACACTCTTGAGTCCCCCTGCAGCTGAGGAAACCCCCTCTAAAGGTCACGTCTGGCCCCTCTGCCGCGACCTCTGCCCTCTGCTCTCTCTCAGAGACCGGGCAGACAGGCTAAGCTCCAAGTAGAGAAGTGTGAGAATACAGAAAGTTTTCCAAAGAAGAGCACCTTATATTTTATCAGCAGCCATCGAAGCTTGTTTGGGAAACATTTGAACATCAAATAAACTCAAAGTTCATAAAGGCAAGGACCTTTTTAAAGACCCCAACACTAGCCTTTCAGAGCATCCCCACCCCCACATCCTATGACCCCGCATCATGTTCGCTCTAGCTCGACACTGACTCCTCTGCACAAATACGAATACAAAAACATACAGAACAAAAAATACATTTTCAGCCGATTTTATGGACTTTAGAAGTTTTTTATATTTTTAAATCTTGATATTATTGTTATATCTCTTCAATCATATGTGAACAAGTGCAGAGCAAAGTAGTGAGTTCAGTATTTATTAGGCTTTACATTTTTATTTACATGCCAGGCTCCTGCAGTTTGTATGCTAATTTTCAGCTGTGGCAGAAATAAGAAATAAAAGTCTTTAGACTGTGTGTGTGTGTGTGTGTGTGTGTGTGTGTGTGTGTGTGTGTGTGTGTGTGTGTGTGTGTGTATATATATATATAGTGTGTGTGTGTGTGTTCTGACTCACTACCAGAGGCATGTCTCCCTCTTGTGGTCACAGGTCAGAGGCACAAAGCACCACTGGAGTTACAATAGACCTCTGTAAATAAATAAGGTGTCTAAACTGTGTGTGATGTTTCACCTTAAGTGTTTTAATCTCCAGCTAGTTTTTGATTAGCTTCATTCTGCTCTGAGAAATATATCATCCTCTTTTTTTTCTAAGATTATTTTAGGACTTTTCTTTTGCCGTTTTTATTGATCAGACAGCTGGAGAGAGACAGCACAGTTTGTTTGTTTGCTATTCAAAATCAACAAAGCCAAATACAGGAAGCAAAGTACCAGTTGCATGAAATGCTGGTTAACTTGTTCTTGGGGCCACATGGTGTTAAGAGAGATCTCCAAGATCAAAGCAAATTAGTGCTTTATTTTCTTTCATGAAGCTCTCCTTAATACGTCCATTAAAGCTTTCCACACTTCTTTCTGGAGATACCTGCTCAAAGTGAAATAATGAAAGAACAGACATTCAAGGTGTGGGAGGGAAAGATCACTGCGTTCACTACAACAAATCTGTCTCATTCTCAGTGTTATATATTTTTGAATCGTTAGATTGTTAAAATAGTTCTGTTATTACTGAGACACGATTATGTAACACCTGATCAGCAACAAGTAATGTAAGTGAACGGTCACTTTTTTGTCAGAGGCCTTGGAGGAGTGTTTAACTGACTCTGATAACAGGTTCTGTATTCCTAACACAACAAACACAGACCAGATAAACTCAAGAATAAATATTTATTTCCGCTTTCTGAGTGACAAATCCGCCCATTTTCCAGACCCTCAGGGCCCCCGAAGAGAACGGACAGTTAGTAAACAAATATCTGGAAAGAAAATCTAGTTTTTCGGCATCTATGATTCATTAACCTTGTTACGTTTAAAATATCATTTACGACAGATGAACATTTCTCTTAAAAATTATGAAGTAGGCGAGTTTGTTTGTACAAACAGAATAAAAACAAAAAAGTTTTTAACAAATTCTGGCTTCTGAGTTAAAAAAAACTGTTGGAGGCGCTTCCTGTTTTTGGCAAACACAGAGATATAACTTTTAGTGTCAACTAAACTATTAAAATAAACATATTATAGTGTGTGATTTAGATTTTTTTTTCATATATAAGCTTTATAAAAAGGAACATTTTAACCCATACTCTTAAAAGCACAGAGTGTGTCTGCCTCCCGGACCCTGAAGGGTAGATGATGATTCCAAAGGAGCTCTACCTCCCATACTACATTTAGAGACTGTACCACGAGCAGGCCTGATAATCAAAGGCTCTACCTCCCATATTACATTTAGAGACTGTACCACGAGCAGCCCTGATAATCAAAGGCTCTACCTCCCATATTACATTTAGAGACTGTACCACGAGCAGCCCTGATAATCAAAGGCTCTACCTCCCATACTACATTTAGAGACTGTACCACGAGCAGGCCTGATAATCAAAGGCTCTACCTCCCATACTACATTTAGAGACTGTACCACGAGCAGGCCTGATAATCAAAGGCTCTACCTCCCATATTACATTTAGAGACTGTACCACGAGCAGGCCTGATAATCAAAGGCTCTACCTCCCATATTACATTTAGAGACTGTACCACGAGCAGGCCTGATAATCAAAGGCTCTACCTCCCATATTACATTTAGAGACTGTACCACGAGCAGCCCTGATAATCAAAGGCTCTACCTCCCATACTACATTTAGAGACTGTACCACGAGCATCCCTGATAATCAAAGGCTCTACCTCCCATACTACATTTAGAGACTGTACCACGAGCAGCCCTGATAATGTGTTCTCGATACAGACTACAGTTTAAATCAACCCATGGTACTAACATTAGCTTATTAAGTTACCTAGCTTCAGCTGATAAAGTCTGCCAATGAAAGATGTCATTTGTACGGTTAAAAGAAACAGTCATCAGCTCTGAATGAGAAGCCTGACCAGCTGCTTTCCTAGCTAACCCGTCCATCTGCAGACTCGCTCTGTGCCTGAAGTAAAATGAGCTACATGTAGCAAAAAACAAATATTTGACAACAGTAAACAAATAGTTTGCAACTGTCTTAAATTTAAAAAAAACGGTCTGATGAATGTAAAATCCGCTTTGTTACAGTATCTGAGCTTTATAAGACTCTGCTAACTTCCCGGCTAACACAGCTGTTGTTATCCTCTTATCCACTTCTGAGTAAAACTGTTTGTTACGTGGTGATTTTTTATCGATGTAGTAAGCCAGACCATTGCTAAAGTATTGATAATTGATCTAAACATCTCGGCCAGTGTTCAGGTGGTGTTGTTTAATCATAGCACTAACTGCAAAAGAACAGGTTAACCCATATATATATACATATATATACATATATATACATATGTATACATATGTATATATATATATATATATATATATATATATATATATAGGCTATTTAATAACACGAGAAATGTAAAGATGTGTGCAGCAGGCACTTTGTTTTGAAAGATGTGTGGTCTAAATATTTAGCTATGAACAAGAAGAGAACAGTGCATTTCTGAATCATGTTAGATTGTAAAGCTAAATTTGCTATTTTTCTGTCTCTTTTTTTCTGAGTACATCACAGCAGATTACACAGACAACAAGCTCCAGTCTCCTAACGAGTGTTCCAAGGTTCCATGATGAGGTTGGGTGGCAGACAGAATCCCCACAAGTCTCAGAGGCCACACAGACATACCTACCTCCAAAGGGGTCACACACAGTTGGCCTGGGGTACACTAAGGGTACAAGCAAAGGTACACACACACACCTAAAAAAATTGTCCAACTGCTGAAATCTGATTTCATTACATGATTGCTGATTTTAGCTTTTTGTATTGTAGCTTGTTGCTGTCTGTGATGCATAACAACAAACATGCTGAACGTAATAAAGCAACAACCTCTACAGGATAGCTGGTCTATAAGGTGGCATTCCTCAAATCCCCCCAAAAAAAGACACAACATACAGTGAGTTACAAATTCTTTTATTTTTTTAAACCGGACGGAATCACAGAGTTTTACAATGAAAATATAATCAACTGTGTACAGAATATCGTGGGATTTGTTATTTGAGGAGTTTTACACGCGTATGGTGTACCTGCTGCTCCTCTTCTGTTTGCATGTTGCAGGTAGGAGCTGACACACACACACACATACACACACACACACACACACACACACACACACACACACACACACACACACACACACACACACACACACACACACACACACACACACACACACACACACACACACACACCGGAATGCCAGCCATGGCACATCTACTGGTATTTACTCTTAGCGTAACACAGTTCGTGATCTGTATGGACTTTAATATCTACGGTCGATATGGATCAAGTCTTTATGCCCGGGAGGGTAGATACATAATCCAGTCAAACGGCCGTTTCCACTTTTCCCCGTTCTCTCTCAGCTTGTCTGCATACTGTATTTATCAACAATCAGCACCTTAGGCTGTTATCTCACAGCCTGCTGTAGTCTGGGAACGTCTTCACACACACTGAAAAAAAGCCAAAAGTCAAACAGCCAATAGCTACTCTCCTTACTGAGGAGTTGGCAACACGCACTTCATCTCATGGTCAGTGTGACCGTGCCCTGAGGTCACACTGACCATTAATGCCTTGGAGCATCGATTTCTCACAGAGCAGCACAAATATTTGTACACTTTTCATTGGACTAGCTTTTGTTTTGAGTCACAGTCACTAAACAAACATGTTTATCTTAAAAGCGCATATATTTCAAGTTTGTCTCTTGGAAAGCCAGAATACCTCTGAACCGACTTAAAGTTCCTCGTACTGGGAGTCACTGGAAACTGTTGGTGAGTGCGATATCTTTATGTGACTCTTTGCTCAACATTTATACTTGGTAAAAACACGCAGCACTTGGCATGTCTTTTTGTTCATTTCATTTTTATTTCTTTCAGAACATGAGGATCCAAATCGCGCTTCTGGTCGCTGCTTTTGTGGCTGTAACCAGTGCAGCACCGACAACAATGCCCAATACAACTACAACAGCCCAAGGTAAGAACATGAATTTGAAAAAAAAATGATGTAGGATGTGTCTGACGTTATATTTGATTTTTGTTTTAAGTAAAACTCTTTTTGTATATTTCAGGTTTTTAACTATTCTATAAGATTTTATTTCGAAGTAAAAACACTTGAATTCTTTGTCTGAACTGAAATCCCTTAATGTTTGATCATGAATTTATCCACAACAGCTATTCATTCAACCCAGCATGACGTAATGGTTTCTGATGTGCCGAAGCCTGATGCTGATGCTGCTGTTGAAAAGCTAGAGCCGAGGGCTCTCGCTGTGGAAGATGAGGACCTTGAGCAGGACACTGTGGAAGATGAGGGCGTCGAGCAGGACGCTGTGGAAGATGAGGGCGTCGAGCAGGACGCTGTGGAAGATGAGGGCGTCGAGCAGGACGCTGTGGAAGATGAGGGCGTCGAGCAGGACGCTGTGGAAGATGAGGGCGTCGAGCAGGACGCTGTGGAAGATGAGAGCGTCGAGCAGGACGCTGTGGAAGATGAGAGCACCGAGCAGGACGCCGTGGAAGATGAGAGCGTCGAGCAGGACGCCATGGAAGATGAGAGCGTCGAGCAGGACGCTTCGGACGATGAGAACCTCGTGCAGGACGCTTCGGACGATGAGAACCTCGTGCAGGACGCTTTGGACGATGAGAACCTCGTGCAGTGGGCTTCCGACACTGGGAGCCTCATGCGGGCCGCTTCGGACAATGAGAACCTCATGCAGGACGCTTCGGACACTGAGAGCCTCGTGCGGGCCGCTTCGGACAATGAGAACCTCATGCAGGACGCTTCGGACACTGAGAGCCTCGTGCGGGACGCTTCGGACACTGAGAGCCTCGTGCGGGACGCTTCGGACACTGGGAGCCTCGTGGGGGACGCTTCGGACACTGGGAGCCTCGTGCGGGACGCTTCGGACACTGGGAGCCTCGTGCGGGACGCTTCGGTAAATGAGAGCCTCGTGCGGAACGCTTCGGACACTGCGAGCCACGTTCGGGACGCTTCCAACACTGAGAGCCTAGTGCGGGACACTTCGGACACTGCGAGCCTCGTGCGGGACGCTTCCAACACTGAGAGCCTAGTGCGGGAAGCTTCCAACACTGCGAGCCTCGTGCGGGACGCTTCGGACACTGCGAGCCAAGTGCGGGACGCTTCGGACACTGCGAGCCTAGTGCGGGACGCTTCGGACACTGCCAGCCATGTGCGGGACGCTTCGGACACTGCGAGCCTAGTGCGGGACGCTTCGGACACTGCAAGCCTTGTGCGGGACGCTTCGGTAAATGAGAGCCTCGTGCGGGATTCTTTGGATAATTAGAGGCCTATGTAGGACGCCTTCTAAAATGATTATTATCCATGTAAGCCATATAACAGAAGACATACTGACATTTTCGCTGATAAAAATAAGCAAAATTTCCCACAACATCCTTCCTGTATTCCACAATCATGCACAACTTTCCCCTGTACTCCTTGAAGAATATTTCTTTAATCAAAGCAGCGTCTGTAGATTCATTATGTTGTATTAAAAAATACTTTGCTTACATGTTTGTCTTGTCATGTCTCTTTATTCTCGTGTCTCCATATCTGCTCTTCCTCTGGTAGTTCTCAACCTTTCACCTGACCTTCAGCTCCAGTATTTATCATGACCGCCACACTATGTATACTTATGGTAATGAGACAACACGGAATAACATTTTTAGATTTTCTTTACATTGACTGTTTTCTGATTACCAGAATTTTGCATTTTCATGAAATCAATTGTAAAATATGTTGTGTAAAACTCAAGTAATTCTCTTTAGACATGTCTATAATTTGAGTTTAAGATATTTATGATTTCATTCTACAATAACATTTTGCTTCTAACCCCTTAAATCTGCAAAGTTTGGATTTCTAAGGGCTAGTAGTGATGCTATCCAGGTAGCTTTTTATTATTTTCATTGTCCACGAGGGGAAATTTGGTTTGCAGCCAGGTGAAAACAATTTTAAAAACATTTAGAAACACAGCCACATAGACTCAGACACTATAGAAACAACATACACCGCACAAGACAGTCACCTTCTGCCACGCAACAAGAGCGGCACCCTTTCCTCAGAATGTATTTGTTGTCAACATTTAAATAAGTTTGCCATAATGAGCAAACATACTGAGTCAACCCTCGGGGGTATATCAACAAAAACTTGTCTCTCTCCGGAGCCATTTGGGAAAGAAACGACTTTCAGTGTCACTGTTGATGATATGGTTGCCAGTTTGAAACATTTCATGAATACTTGCTTCACTGTTATTGTGAAATCAAACTGTACTGAAGTTTATGTTAACACACATAGTTTATGGCAGAATTTAAAACATTGATTTGGTTACTTAACAGAAACTATTCAAATTGCCTTGGCAACCGGCTTGTGTGCATCTGTATTCACTATGTCGCCTGCAGTTGCTCTATATGCCTAAATGATCATTTCAAACATCTTAAACTTCAAACTTTTTTTTTTTTTTTTTTTTTACTTCTTCAAAAAGACTCTTCTTCTGTCACACTCCATCTTTTTCTCCACATCTCTGTTTTCTGCAGCACTGTGGTCAAGCATTATCCGAGATGTCCTGTAATAAGTAATTAATGGTGGCCCGGCAAAAAATATACATATGCATAATTAATACATTATCATGCATATCACTTATTCATGGGGCTGCTAACATTAGCAAATTCTCTCGAGTACCGCTGTTGCAGTGGCCTTCCGCTAACGTAGCACATATGTAGCAGTATGCATTGACTTACTCTTACAACTTTCCTTGAATCAAAGACATGTGAACTTAAACACTGATAAAAAAAAAAAGTGTGCCTAAATTAAAAAAACATTTGGCTTTTTTGACTGTAATGGAAAAGTCTGCAGTTATGCGAGCAGCTCTTGGGGCAGACAGGTCACCTCGCTTAATGCTAAAGGACAATTTCATGACTCACCCGAGGTGTAAACAAATAACTCATACATGACCCAACGTTTAGCTTACCTGTATTGTGTTCCAAGCCAGGTGAGCTATATAACCATATTAGCTAAACGTCTCAAATTCAGTGTTCTTCCTGACATACTGCCTGCTCACCCTTTATATAACATGCAGAATAACTTGACTTAACACAGGCATGTGTTCATGTTCTTTCAGTCACTGTGCTGATTCTGAATCATGTGGGGGCATGTTATTGTGGGTTCAAATATCATTATTTTATCCTAATTATGGAAAAGGCGTTACCAGCTGGTGAACAGCTTTGTTGCTTTCACAGCTCCTTTTACACACACCAGCTGTTGGTCTCTGTGTTTCGAACAAATCATCAATTGTTTTGTGATGGCCACTGTGTTAACCATTACTTACTTGTTAACAGTCACTTTAATTCAAATGTAAACAACCAAAATGGCCACCCTCTGTAGGAGTACCACACAAGAATGATGGGGAACCACTTTGTTTGATGATTTCTTTTAAAACCGTATTAGACTTTTGGCATTAATATGCAGGCTCTGGTGCGTGGCTGCATTATTCAGAAACACCTGGCTGAGTTACGTTCTTGTATGCTGAAAAACTCCCACGCTTCTCGTGCAATGAACAAAGTTTGGCGCCAAGGTCAAATCAATGCCCGAGGAAGATTGAGGGATAAAAGGGGAAGAACGAAGACTCGAGGATTACGCCCGCAGAAGAATTTCAAACAGCTGGAACATTTCTATCGTTTGTAGGAGCAGATGAAAGTAAAGTTGAAAGTGTGCTCTGTGGAGAGAACAAGCCAGTGGGTGAGTGGGAGCCAGAGTGAGAAGGAAAGTGGAGGCTGCTTGACAACGAGGATTTTTTTTAGAGTGATTCAGCGTATGCTCGGTATTCCTGCACACTCAGACCTTTCCAATATAAGCCTATCGAGTCACAGATACCTTAGCTGCAGAATAGGAGGATCCTGTGAAATAGGGTTTCATGTGTATCATGGTGCAGTTCATTTCCCCCCCCCCCTCCCTCCTCCCCCACAGGCTGTGATTCTTGCTTGACTGTGTAGATGTTTTTATAACTTAAATATTTACATCTATTTACATTATTTCCTCCTCTCTCTGAATTTACAGCCATGGAGGAAAGGCGAATGTGTTAGGATTGCTGCATCGCTGCGACACAGCTGGCAGCATGCCTTAACTTAGAGCTCCTCCTGCTGGTGAAGATCTCTGTATTGCAGGGGGGTTTTTTTTTTTCATTTTATTTTCAATGCTGTAATCCCTGTTGTAGAAAGATAAAGAGGTGTGCCTGTATGTGTGGGAAGGGATGAGGTCAGCTCAAACTGCAGGACCTCATAACACCCCTCCGGAGACTGGTAGCCTTTACTCACACACTCAGACACACACACACACACACAGACACACACACACACACACACAGACACACACACTACTCTGAAAGGATTGAGGCTCTGCAGGCAAGCTCAGTCAGGCTTTGTGTCACTAAAAATTAAGTTGCAACGATATTGTTTAGTTCACTGGAGAGAGAATTGGTTCTCTTTTGATAAATATGGTTTGGTTTTTGGCTGATGAATGGAAGCCATCAGTAGACATGCATCAGGACCTTTTATTTTATTTGTTTTCCGGTGATAACAAGTAATTCCTGGTTGTTTTCTCAAGATCTCGACTTATTAATCTTGGCAATATCAGCATGGCATGTCGTCTGGTCTTACAGGGTGACGAGCCTTTTGTTTTTTTTGATTCTAGAGTGCAAGAATATTATCCTGTTATCACAATAAAAAATGTGTTACCTCGATATCATGACATAAATAATTATAATAATAATAATATAATTCCATGTAAAAAAAAACAAAAAACAGCTTTGTTGTGATCTTAAGAATCAAATGTGGTGATGCATGTCCGCTAAGGGCTTCCGTAGTGTTGGTTGAACAGATCTCAAAATGATTACAAACTAAAGAATCTGAATAAATGGATGATTCAGTGAAATAATTAAGATTACGCTGTGATGAAAAGGATAGCTGCAGGGCCCGTTGTGGAAGTGAAAATACTTTTTGTTACACAGTCATCACGACGCTCCACCTCCACAGGAGAGGTGAGACCAGAATAAATATGAAAAATGAATGAATGGATCTGTGTCTATTTCAAGAGCGCAGATGGTTTGTGATGAAAGCCCCATTAAGAGAAAACAATAACAGCAGCAGAGGTCATACATTTTATTGTTAGGTACAACATTAAGACAATAAATTGGGCGTCTTGTGACATAATGTGAACAAAGTACACTGATCATGAACAAGCAACAAATAAGACAAATATTATTCCATCTGTACGTCATCGCTCCATCACGCCGCCCTTCCCCTGCTGATATTGCAGTTCATCTGATACTTTAGCATACACGTCTGTCACACAGAGAACAAGTCTGTGACTACATGTACCCGTGTACTTATACATAATCTATACATACAATCTATATTAACAGTAGGTTAACAAAAAGTGCTGTAAATTCATGCTACAGTGCTGTGCTAAATCAAGACTTCAAAGAACGCTTTTTTTTTTGGCCTAATAAGTAAAAAAAGAAAAGAAATTAAGGTATTATTTCTTCAACTTGTGGTAAAACTTCTAATTTCTCTCTGGTGGCCATTTCTTTTGAAATTAAAATAACTTTCTAAGTTGGTTACCCATCCGATTTTTTACGGTCGAAAAAGCTTGGCTCGCGTATTCGAGCTGTTAAATAAACTCCACATGATGCTACAGTTTGATGTGTAAAATCATCGTCAACATTAATCTCACACAAGACATTCGACAAGTTAACTTCACCGACGCATTCTACTGTATCTACATTATACAGTCAAATACGAAAAAAGTACAAAAAAAGAGTTTATGCTTCACAGGAGACACGTCGATAATGATTTGAATCCTGTGGCGACAGAAACGGAGTCATTCTACGAACACGAGTTAAAACATCAGTGGTATAAAAGTCGTCCCAGACAAAACAAAACAAAACAACAACGTGCCTCATGATGAAATTCAAATCAAAGCTTCACTCAACATTTACATGAGAGAAAAGAAAATAAAGTGCCCATGGTGTAAATAAGTTAGTATGAGGAGAGGTTGTTTTTCAGTGTTTCTGACGGCAGGTGGAAGAGTCTTCAGGTGGAGTGCAGAGTTCAGCGCAGTGAGTTGGTGGTCATACAGTCGCACAGAGCCCTCCTCTCCGCCCTCAGCACCAGCATCTCCGTCTGGAATGGACAAATCAAAAAACATGACACTGTGAGTTCAAAAGCTTCTGTAACTTCCTCTGTAGCCTCTTGAGATTCCCTCGGAGAAGCTGAGTTCATCAAACATAAACTCTATCACCTCTGGGATTTCACTTTTTGTATGTTTAGTTTATTCACCTAAAGGTGCGAGTACTGGGGCGCCTGTAGCCTAGTGGTTAGTAAACACTCCATATATGGAGCCCAGGTCTGAATCCGACCTGTGGCTTCTTTCCAACATGTCATTCACTTCTGCTTGAGTTCGGACTCGATCCACTGACCTATCTCTAAACGAAAGGCACAGAAAAGCCCCAAAATCAGACCTCTACAGTCCAGGGTGTAGCCCGACTCCGGGGTTAAGCGGTATAGATGATGGATGAAATAAATCACATAAAAGTAGATTAAAGACAAAGTTTGTAAAAAATTAAAGCCTCCAGAAAATCATTCCAGCCACCGTCATCCGACACAGCCCTCTTTGTTCAAACACAAAGTCATCATCAGAGACAATTTGTTCTTTGAAGGACTCATCATCTGCTGAATCATGGGCTCATGTCACTTTGTAAAGCACGGGAGGAGAGCATTCCTCAAGCGGGAGCTTTTTTTGACAACAAAACCTGATTTTTTTTCGATGTCCTTCACTCACCCGGGCATCCAGGTTAAACGCCGTCTTCTTTAAGTCTTGCAGTGCCCTCTGCATGAACTCAAACGCGTGGCAGTCCACACATGGACGACCTGGAGATCAGAGGGAAAACTTCAGCAAGTACGTAAATAAACATAAATGTCTCCTGAATGAATTTGTTTGTTTTTTTGCTTTATACCTACATTACAAGGCAATTCATTAGCTACATAGCAGTATTTGCCTAAGGCAGGGATGGGCAACTTTGGTGACAGCAAGGGCCACATTCATTTAATTCTCACTGCCAGAGGGCCAAATTAAACGATTAAAGTCGATTATGTCTCAAATTTAACTCCACATATACCAGTGATCAAATATTATTATGAACATATTTCTGGTTTTCATGATAGATTTTGTCATGTTTTCTTCATGTTTCCAATTAATTGATATGTAAAAATTGACCTGAGGGGCCACGTTGAGGGTTGATGGGGGCCGCATGTGGCCCCCGGGCCACTAGTTGCCCACCCCTGGCCTAAGGTTAGCTAACATAAGTTGTGGTTATACCAAACCAAGCTGGGCTAGAGCAACAAAGCCCCTGAGAATAATGAATAGAGCGACTATAATCACACTGAAATGAACTGATGCTGATGTGTTTTACAGCTCTTATGATGTACCACATATTGCTTTATGAAGATATTTATGATGATTGTTATTTTGGCTTTTCCTGAAAGGTTTTCTGTTCCATTATTTGGACATGCCTGTGATATACCTCGACATCTGTGGTCGGGTTTTGGCAAGTAGAACCGTTTGTGAACCAATCCAAAATTTAAAAGCCATAAAAAAAAGTTGATTTGCGCCACTAAAAATCATTTCCACTTCTTCTTCTGATCAGCAGGTTACTGTGCTGCCACCATGGATGTATTACGGCTGCCACTGGCACTGATTATTTTAAAGCAGCGAAGAACTAGTATCAGGATTTTGTTTTCATCTGATGGTCATACGTAAAAGTTTGTAAAATGTCAGTCTTGTTATGTAGAACTAGGTTTAAAAAAAGGGTGATTTTTTAAATTCCTTTCTCTATGTGAAAGGTCTATACCAGGGGTCTCCAACGGGTAGCTCGGGGGCTACCAGGCGGGCAGGTTTTTAGTAGCTCACCTATAGGTTGAGCGACTGTGTTAAAAAAAAAAATAATAATTTAAATTTAAATGCACCTCTTTCTTGGACATTGATGTGAATTTTCAGCAACATAGCTCAGTATGTGGCACAATAAGAAGTGTAAAATAATCATGTTTTTTTTCTTGGACCTTGATGTGAATTTAATATTATTGATAAGCATCGGCTTATTGCAAATTCACATCTGTACAAACAGCAGCTTAATTCAGCTGATGTTCGCCGTGGTGTAAATAAATGCAAGTAGCTCTTGGTCATTTTTTCAAAGTAGCTCTCAGATGAAGAAAGGTTGGAGACCTCTGGTGTATGTCGATTAAAAGGTAGGCCTAAGTATCAGACTCAGTATACCTGGGAGATTAAACATGTCCAACCTTAATAATGACAGGTTTTACTACATGCACAACAAACCCCTGCTATATGCCTTTAAACCAATACAGCTTTGCACCTGGTAGGAATGATAAAGCGAGTCTTATAAATAGCAGTGAACATCTTCATGCTGTGATTTATATTCAGACTATTCCCACTGAGAAACCTCTGAGGGACCTGCTGTCATGTGACCTCAAGACGCATCACTGTGGCACATATATTGACCATCCTCTTTCAAAATATTATAGCCTAAATCCTGACAGTAAACAAAGACAAATCAAATGAATGAATCTTGTATTTAAATGCACATACTTTCGGCAGGGATGACGGTCCCTGTCTCCTGATCCGCATCTGCTGCACCGAGACTGAGAAGCTGGAGCGCCAGCAGGAGCACCGCTGCCTGCACCGTATATCCACTAGCTGCCATAATGATGCTGTGTTCAATTATCACTACCTTTCAGATAGGAAATACAAATGACAGACACCAACAAATGCAACAAAAACAGCGTTAAAAAATGTCCTGCACCACCGTCAGGGAATAAAAAAATAACAACATCTGAAAGGCTTTGTGTTTAAAATATTCCCTGTTTTCATCGAGGAATTGGTTTTTGTATTTTACATCGCAGTCTGCAGTTAAAAAGTAAAGCTCAATTAACAAACTGAACGTTAACCAACCGTGAATCAATCGAGGATATGATGCTCAACACCAGATCAGCGCAAGATGCCCACCGAGGATTGTTTTATGTAGACTGAAGGACTGCGCATGCGTGAAAAGCTCATCTTCGGGGACCAGATTCAAGACTTCCGGTGGCAAATTCGAAATGAATATATTAAAAGGAACAGATTGCATGTGTTTCATAAATATAAACAGAAATGGTTTTAATCATTTGGTGTTAGACGTCGGCTATTTAAAACATTATTCACGTGCTTTACTTTATTTATTTTCTGCCACTCTACAACATTTGAAAATGATAACACTTGATAAACACTATAACACTAGATAAATATATTTAAGCATACTTAAATAGATGAATATATTTAAGCATACTTAAATAGATAAATATATTTTAGCATACTTAAATAGATTTATGTTACAACTTTGGTAACTTTGTAATTTTGCAGATACATTTTTTAAAATCAAAACATCTTTTTTTTTTAAATATGTTTATATTGTGGACCTAAGAATATATTTAAAGTTTTAAAATGGTAAAATAAATAAAATTGTTTCAAAATATAAACCAGAGAAGAGCGTGTAGACTAAAGCCATGCCAAATCAGGAGACCAGAAAACTAACGAGAAGAAGAGGAAGCAGGCTACGTGGCATTTGACCCAAACAATAACATATCCTAAATGTATTTTTTCTCCCTTTATTTAACTGGTGTAAATATGTTTGATTTTTTTTCTTGTTATTTTTAATAATTATATTCCTGTTTTCTTGAGCTGTTGTAACAAAAAAATTTCCCCCATGGGGATCAATGAAGTTTATCTTTATCTTAGAATAGAATAGAATAGATGTTTATTGCCATTTGCACAGGTACAGGACAGTACAGGTACATTGGAATTCTTGTGCGTTTCTCCCTGAGTCAGCTTCTACACAAAAAAAGTTAAAATTATATATAAAGTAGAATAGCATTATAAGAAAAAGTAAAAGTAAAATTAAATAAGTTGTAGTAACAGCTAAGTGATTTAAAATAAACTGTACAGAAGCTATACACTGTATTAAAGCAAAGATATAATACAAAACAAATAACAAAGGGGAACACTGTACAATGAAATGAAAATATAAATATGTTTTCTTGTCTCTAACTTTCTACATCTCTTATTGCACCTGAGGTTATTGCACACATATTTTTCACATTATATAATTGCACAGTTTTTTTTGTTTTTAAGGTTAATGTTGCACACTTGTGTTGCACTGTGAGGTGGTCAGCTGTCCATTTAGTCTGTGAAGTGTTTATCTTTATCTTTATAACATAGGTAATGCTTGTAAGGTAAAGTCACTGTAGGATAATTGCAGATATTACAATTTTGTAATTTCTATTAAATCTTGTCATGTTATTAGATTTCAATCGTACCACGCTGGACAATTTCAATGTAAGTGTAGAAAATAAACATTTTATTTTTGTTTCTTGTAGGCTACTTCTCATCAGATTACAACCTACTGCATCATAGGATAGGATAAAAACTTTATTGATCCCCAGAGGGGAAATTTGGGCGTTGCAGCAGTACAGACAAGTAAGCTCAAAATACAAAATACACATTAAACAGAATAGATTAAATAAGATAAATAAAAACAGGGGGTATATACAGTACAAAATGAATGATGAAGTTAACTATGCAGGGAGTTGAGACAGTATTTGCAGATAATGACAAGATAAAGTGACAAGTGATGATTAAAGTGACTTGGTATGATAAATAGCAGCAAGTCATGTAAACAGCAGAGAAGAGAGGCAGAGTTGTACCACAGTAATGCAGAGTGCAGTTATATAATATAATGTAGTATAATATATAATAATACATATAATATAATCATATTAAACTGTCTTATGTGTTTTTTGTCCAGTTAGTTATGCTCCAGTTGAATATTAATGTGTCATTTATAGTATGTTTATCAGGGGGGTCTGAAAGGGGATTTCATTCATTTAAAATAAAATGTAATTTTTCTTTTCATATATAGGCTACATTTATGAGGGAATATACACCATTTGAGCTTTATTACCAAAATATATTTTAAAAAATGGATAAGATATTTCTGGTGAAAAACACCATGTTTCTTCTTTTACATTTGTATTCTATTCTATTATTATATTATATTTGTATTATTATTATTATTATTATTATATTACATTGTATTATATTATAATATTATATTAGATTATTATTATTATATTATATTATAATATTATATTATATTTGTATTATATTATATTATATTATTATATTATATTTGTATTATTATTATTATTATTATTATTATTATTATTATTATTATTATATTACATTTGTATTATATTATAATATTATATTATATTTGTATTATTATTATTATATGATATTTGTATTATATTATTATATTATATTTGTATTATATTATATTTTTATATTATATTATTATATTATATTACATTTGTATTATATTATATTATATTTGTATTATATTATTATATTATATTACATTTGTATTATTATTATTATTATTATTATATATAATATTTGTATTATTATTTTTATTATATATTATATTTGTATTATTATATTATATTATTATATTATATTATATTATATTATATTATATTATATTATATTATATTATTATATTATATTACATTTGTATTATATTCTATTATTATATTATATTTGTATTATTATTATTATATATTATATTTGTATAATTATATTATATTATTATATTATATTACATTTGTATTATATTATTATTTGTATTTATCAGCTGTTAAATAAATGCCGCCGTCCCTGGTGTGGGCGGGGTCCTGACTATTTTCTTAGGTAGCCTGTTAAAATGCCCGAACTCAAAACACTTCTTTTTCCAAGATGGCGTCGATGAAGGACAGCGACACCGGCCTGTGGCTTCACAACAAACTGGGCTCAACGGACGAGCTGTGGACGCCTCCGAGCATCGCCTCCCTGCTCACGGTGTCGGTAATCGACAACATACGGCTCTGCTTTTCGAGCCTGTCGCCGCCGGTGAAGCTGAAGCTGCTGCTCGGGATGCTGCATCTCCCCCGGCGGACCGTGGACGAGGTGCGTTTAGCTGCACTGTTAGCCTGGCACCTTACTTTACCTATAAACTCACAAACACCGCCGAGAAAACACGCAGAATCTCATGCATTTTGCACCAAACTGAAAGCGTAATCCGCATGTGTGTGTTCCGCACAGCTGGAGGTGTTTTTAAAAGATGTTTTCAGGCTGTTTATCTGGCATTAGCTCGCTGTTTTCAACAAGGCTAAGAGGGTCACATTTAGCCTGGCTGAGCCCGCACAGACAGACATGATGGTGGGATGGGCATGAGGGAGCTAGCAGAGAGAGCTGGAGGGCGGTACTAGCGCATCACTGCTCTGTGACACACACATAACAACAGGTTTATTACATATTTAAACTAGTGTGCGTTGATTAGTCTTCACTCTTGCATGTGTCAGATGGAAATGTCTGTGCAACAGGTGCAGGACAACAGCAGAGAGCAAATGTAAACAAGGTGTAAATTTAATGTGCACAGTAACCCAATGTTCAGTTCAGTGTCTGCAAAAATGATTTCACATCTAGTTGCACGGTGGTTAAAGTTTAAAGCGGTGATCACGGAGGTAAGCAGGTTCGCAACAAGCTGCAGGTGTTGTTTCCAAAACAAATACATTTAGGAAAAGAAAAAAAACAGTTTGCAAATGTAAACAAATATGTCGAAATACAAATCAATAAGGTGCAAATTCAATGTGCACAATAAACCAGTTCAGTGTCCTTAAAGTGATTTCACATTCAAGATAAGATAAACTTTATTCATCCCAACAGGGAAATATAGGTGTTCCAGCAGCCAGCATACACACACACACACACACACAAACACATATATACACACAACACAACACAACACATATATACACACAACACAACACAACACAACACAACACACAACACATATATACACACAACACAACACAACACATATATACACACAACACAACACAACACACAACACATATATACACACAACACAACACAACACATATATACACACAACACAACACAACACAACACAACACACAACACATATATACACACAACACAACACAACACATATATACACACACACACAACACAACACACAACACATATACACACAACACAACACACAACACATATATACACACAAACACACAACACAACACATACACAAACACACAACACAACACATATATACACACAACACAACACATATATACACACAACACAACACATATATACACACAACACAACACAACACAACACATATATACACACAACACAACACAACACATATATACACACAACACATATATACACACAACACAACACATATACACACAAACACACAACACATATACACAAACAAACAACACATATATATACACACAACACAACACATATACACAAACAAACAACACACATATATACACACAACACATATATACACCCAACACATACACACACAAACACACAACACATATACACACACAAACACACAACACATATACACACACAACACATACACACAACACATATACATATACACACAACACAACACATATACACACAAACACACAACACAACACATATACACACAAACACACAACACAACACATATACACACAACACAACACATATACACACAACACAACACATATATACATACACACAACACATATATACACACAACACAACACATATATACACACAACACAACACATATATACATACACACAACACATACACACACAACACAACACATACATACACACACACACAACACATATACACACCACACAACACATATACACACCACACAACACATATACACACCACACAACACATATACACACCACACAACACATATATACATACACACAACACATACATACACACAACACATACACACAACACATACACACAACACATATATACACACAAACACACAACACACCACACAACACATATATACATACACACAACACACAAACACACAACACAACACATATACACACCACACAACACATATATACATACACACAACACA